TGTAAAATACTCTGCTGAATAGTCAAGTAACCCCCCCCGCCAATAACCCTTTCTGGACATGGGCGGAGAAGATGTTTATGTTTATTGGTGGGCGCGCGTCGTTTGAGACATGGCATGGCATGGCATGGCATGGTCAAGATCGATTACCTACTTACCTACTTACCTACCCAGATACTGAGTACTTATGCACTAATATCTCCAGAGATTCGCCGAGGTATGTGCAATCTGCATCTAGGTACTCCGTAGGTACAGTAGGTAGTACTCCGTACTTATGTATGTATGAGCGGTACGATGGCCCAGATCGGGGATTACTTATTTTGTCAAGTACGTAGGTACGTACATACATAATACCTACCTAGGTAGGTAGGTAGGTAGTCGGAAGAGTAAGTTGGTAATGTGTGGGGTGTTGTACATAAGTAGGTACCTTACATACGTAGGTAGTTAGTTAGTTAGTTGATGGTGATAGTGGTGGTGGTGGTGGTGGTGGTGATGTGATGCGATGTGATGTGATGTACCGAAGGATGAACCCGACCAACGAAGCAAACGGATTTGCTGGATGTACGGTCCGAAGCGGGGGTTTAGCCCGGTGTTTCATCCTTCCTTCTAAGAACAAGAATAACCTCGGGGGGGGGGGTACTGTAAGTACTAATCTATCTTACTAAGATATCTACTCTGTGTGTGTGTGTGTGGGAAAAAAAAAAGGAAAGGTGGCGTGAGATAAAGAGGAGCCTGGAGCGGCGCCAGGAAACCCGTAGCCCGTAGCCCGTAGATACTCCGTAGATAGCCCGTAACCAACCCATCCATCCCAGCCGCCGCCCGCCGAAGTCGAGGAACCACTTTTATTCTCTCTATCTAGCACTATCTACGGGGTACGTAACCCGACACCTACATCGACACCTACGACGGAAGTACTCACCGTTTTTATTAAGGGCGAAAAAAAAAGAAAGAAAGAAAGAAAGAAAGAAGCAGAACGGATGGCCCTGAATCCTGAAGTCGAACGATCAAGGGACGGCGGATCGCGAATGGCAACGCAGGTCGCAGACCAGGAATGTCTGTCCCATGTCCCATGTCGCATGTCCCCGCAAAATAATAATGGGTACGAATGATGCAAGTCAGTTCGAAAGTTAAGCGACAGCCGCGGGGACATCCCATTGGCGATTTGGCTCTGGCAGGCCCTTGAGTGCTACCGACGCCGTCGATTGTGGTTGGGCCCAGCAGGGAAAGGAGCGCTCCGAACCGTAGTCGCACGGCAGCTGATTGGCACACGGCGTTGGGACCAGCGCACCAGCTTTCCCCCCTTCCTCCGGTTCTGATTTCACGGTCGGGCGGTGCGCGGTACGGGTTCCCAGTGGGTGAGGTTGGTGAAAATCAACCTGGGACGGCGACTGGAACTGCGACTGGGACTGCTCGGGGGATGTTCGGTTCCGGCGTTACCTTAAGTTACCGTGCGGTGAGCAGCCCAGTACCGTGTACACTCGGCGGGGCCGTCGGTCTCTGGTTCCATGGATCTGGTTTTCTACTGGAACTGGAAAGGAAGGCATCGAAGGCCGCCGTCCACTGTCCACATGGAGGATGGAGCAGCCAGAGAAATAGCTACTAATTAAAGTGGCGATAGAGGAGTCCTCTGGCCGAGCGTCATCTCTTTTTTGTCGAGGCGGGTGGAGTACACGGGCGACATGGAACAAGGCGGTGAGGGGGCGGTCTCAAGCGTCAGCGAGTTAGCGGCCTGTGTCAGCGCCGTACAGGAGTCCGAGTGTCGGTAACAATGGTGCGGCTCCAGCGTCATGGTGGGGGGGTCCCATCGCGATCAACCGAGCTGCTCTCAGCTGAAAACAGACACCACGCTGACAACCGAGAAGTGCGCCAATGGTACACCGGGCCTGGGTAGTTCCACCTGCCGCTTCGGGTACCCTCATCGGTGGGTTTTGTGGCGGTGTTGAACCGTATAGTTAGTCGGTAGTAGTCGTGTATCTATGCTCAGAGTCCTTGTACGGGAGTACAGAGTACCCGTATCCCAGTACACCTGGATACAGAGTACTCCGCACACAGTAGGAGAGCATTCCCGTCGGTCCTGGTCGAGGCTGACATCCACAGCGCGTGTCTCGAGTCTCGAGTCTCGAGTCTCGTCCAGAGACCCATCCTGCTTTACCGAACACTCCATAGCCCGGTCTGGACGAGTCGATGAACAGGCGACGCCTCGTATGGAGTCGTGACTTCCTCTTTGCCCGGCATCAGCGATCAACCCAGAGAGTTGAGAGTGAGACTGTCTGAGACCGAAGAGGCCCGGGAGGGTTCATAGTGGGGAGCTTGGCATAAGTTTCCCGGTGCTACAGCCCTGGGACGGCGCCAGAAGGGCACTCCCATGCCCGAAAATAGCTTGCATTAGCGTCACTCGGTCCAAATTCTCTCGAAGACGAGTGAGCAATGGGAAGCTGAGGAGGACATGGACTCTACAGCCAGCCCTGGTCAGGGGGAGGGGGATAGGACAGTGTCCCGGAGCCTGGGATCGTTTGCGGGGTCTGGTGATATCTCCGTCAATGGGCCGGGTCGGCCAGGATCCTTGTTTGATGCCGCCCTCGCCGTCCGTGGTGGTTTGGAGAAGGGGGGAGGGGGGAGGAGGAGGGAGGTTGTAAACCGGCGAATCTGACAGCAGACACGGCTGCATCCACTGGCACATGGGAGCGGCATGGGAACTAACCTCTAGTCCTCCAGGGTAGGGGGCCTAGTCGAAGTTAGAAGGCGCCGTGGGCGGCTGCGATTCGCCGCGGAGAGCGATGGTGACTCGCCCTCGTCAAAGACAAGCCCGAGCATCTGCAACCTAATCACACTGGGACCTTTGAGGACTGAGATAGCACGGCCAAGTGCGAACGAACCCCTTTCTGTGCTCACCCTCCATCATCTCCCGCCGCGCCCGTCGACTCCGTCGTCGACGGGTTATCTCCGCCCCTGGTCGTCGGGATTGGTGCTCTCGGCTCGACGTTGAGCAATGACATCAGTCGACGGATCGTGTGACTCGGGTGGCTTCCGTTTTTGGGGCGGGAATCGTGGCCTGCTTTATCCTTTGGAATCGTCATCAATCCAGCTTTCAATCTGAGGTAAGATAGTAGGTGGTGGTGTAGAGTAGTAGCAGATACTCCGTAGTAGTAAGGTAAGGTAGATACCGTTGTGACACCCAAATACACCCGCCATACGCGTGTCTGTCACGTCCGTCAAGAGACTGCGACTGAAGCTCGAGCACACCATTTGCATGTCAACCAGAGAGAAGCGTCAGCAGAACAGGAAGGCCGGAATTTGCACGGTCGCAAACAGCACGGGGCGGTGGTGTTGTGACTTGGATGCAGAGGCGCTTGTGTCAGGGCGTTGGGCAGCCAGTCCTCCTATCACCATCGCCCTGCTAGTCATCTCCTGGTCATGTCCACGACGGGCCGCCCCGACTCCCGCCGATCTTATGCACGAGGTGTAGTGTGTGAGTGTGCGAGTGTGCGAGTGTGTGTGAGAGAGACAGTATGTGAGACGAGACGGTGAGGGTCATCCAACACAGGTCGCACACCTACTCCTGTTCAGTGTTCAACCCATGGAAAGGCAAGGATGGCCGGCTTCAGCCTCCATCGACTCCCTGTTGCGTTTCGTCTCGTGTTTCAATCCCTCGCAGGCCTCATCTCCGCTGACTCGCTCGGTCATTCATTCCGCCCTTTTTTTGGTGGGAGAGGGTAAAAAAAGCCTCCCCTCGCTGGTCGAGACTCTTTTTTTTTTTCCCACCCTCTGTTGCAGCCGAATCCAAAGCCAGAGCACCAGCTTGGGTCGGGTCAGACCCCCTCGAGGTAGAGTGCTTCCAGATTACCCGACTGCAACGTCAAGGTAGCTCACCTGGTGGGATTCAGGTAGAGTGCAACAAGACGCATTGAGGATGCTGCAGGAAGGGCTGGCGCGTTCACACCTCCCTACGGAGTAGTGTTCCACAAGTTTGACAGTCCCAGGTCGCCGACCGGTCAGCCAGCCAGCCAGCCAGCCAGCCCTCTAGCTTTAGCACATAACGCTTGCTGTTAAGATGATGGCCTGCCTGCCTGCCTGCCTGCCTGTCTGCCTCTTTGGCCCTGGCCTGTCTTGGGGGGCCTGAGGGTGCGAATCCTTTCCGTATGGTACGGTATGTACATACACGCGGCCACCCCGGCCAGAAACGGCGGTCAAAAAACAAAAAAGAAAAAACAGGGATGGTAAGGTCAGGTAAGGTACCTAGCTTACCGTAATGTCAAGTTAGGTTAGATAAAACCGAAACCGTCCTAAGTTTGAACTGAAGGCGGACCGGTCCACTCCTGGTTGAGTTTACGACTTACGTACGGACGGTACCCGGGGACGGCCGCCCGCGCCCTCGGGCGCTTTCCCTTCTGGGAGATAAGTTACCTGACCTTCCGTTTCGGGGCCGGGTTAGTCTCCCTTGCCACGTTTTTACGACCCAGGCGGCATCGTGCATTGGCGTCCGCGTCTTTCCGTTGCCGCCAGAACCCACAATCACCTGCGTGGCCGTGGTGGGCTTCCTCAGGCCTGTCTGTGTCTCCGGAGTCTCCAGGATCCTTCCTTGCTCCACTCCCTGCTAACGTCGACTCGCCTTGGCCGCCCACACCAGATTCCCGCGTTCCGTGGTTGATGCTGAACTCAGGCGCGAAAGGGTTCGAGGATCCGCGGCCCAACCTGGGGCGTCCAGCAAGTCCAGCAAACATGCATGCATGGCGATTCCTCGGAGACGGGGATACGGGAGGCGGGAGGCGGGAGATGAGAGATGGGAGATGGGAGATGGGAGATGACTGTGTGTGGATGGCTGGCTGGATGGATGGGGATGGGAGGGAGGGAGGAGGGAGGCCGGGCGTGCGCGCCCGGCAGCAGCAGCACACGCAAGAAGCCGGGCGGGCACAGTCAGTCAGTGCACAACACAACACACACACACACCTTGCGGTTGGAGAGCCGCGTTGGTCGGTAAGGCGGTCTGGAAACCCCGACCACTCCTTACCTACTCGGCCTATGTCCAGTACAAGTGCTACAGTACTAACCTGACCTTGCTCTTAGACGACCGCTAGTTACCGCGCCGCCCGGGGAGAGCAAGACGGGAAGCAGGCCATGCTAACTGGGATCATCGATCCGCCCGCATACGCCCCCGGTCACGTGAGCGCGCCTGGCCTATGAGCGCACAGCCTTTGCGAGGAGGATCTGGGCATCCTCGGCCACTTTGGGGCTTGGAGGGCCTGAGGGCCTCGGGGCCTCGGGTGGTCCGTCAACGGGGATGGCACACTGCATTGCATTGGGCGGCGGTTCGGTGGCTTGGCTGTCCGTGGTGAAAAGAAGGGCAGAGAGAAAGAAAGAAAGAAAGAACCGCTCGGGTACAGATCCTCCTTCCAGAAAATGACGTGGCGCAACGAGAAGGGCAGGACAGACAAACAAACGACAGATAGATAGCAGCAGCCCTGCTCAGCTTGCCCTGTCTGTCCGACGGCAGGATCCTCGGATGCAGGCGCCGTCGAACCTGGTTGATGGAGATCTGGGCGCAAGTCCGCCCTCTCTGCTCCCTTCTTTTCCCCTTTGGACCCCCCCCCTCGCTCGGTTCGGGTCGGTTCGAGGTCACGCATCTGACCCTGCGCGTGGGAACATCGTGTGATAGTAACCCAGCGTCGGGGTGTGTGTGTGACACGCACACGCTGTACGAGGGGACGCGGTTGTCCCATCAACCAGTTACCTACCAGTGTCTGTCTACAGTTATTACTCCTGCCAGGCCGTTCTCGTCGCGTGACGATAGAATTGGTTAGGCTCGGGAGAGAAGAAAGAACTGGACGGGGAAGAGGGGGAAAAGAGGACGGACGGATGCCTGACCTGACCCGACCTGGTCTGGGTAGGGATGACTTGCACGCAACCACAACAACTCGCTCGACTCGACTCGACTCGCTAACGCGCCTTTTTCCCCCCTCCTCCGTCCCTCCCTAGGGCCCTAAGCCGATGAGGTGGCAAAAAAAAAAAAAAAAAAAGGCAGAGGACAAATTCCACACACACACACACACACACACACACACGCGCGCGCGCGCGCGCGCACGTACGCACAATAATATTGGAATTGGAATCGAGTTCCCCGCTACAGAGAAAACCCGCGATCTGGTGCGCTGCTCAGTGCTCACAGCCCACCGCGATCGATCCGGACAATTTCCACCCTCGCACTACTAAAGCACAGGTCAACTCTAATCCCCAACCCATCATCTGGTACTACCAGACACTTGGAGCGATAACCATCATCCTTCAGATCTAGCACTAGTGGGAGAGAATACGGACGCTTAATCCCATCCTCGCGAAGGGAGAGAGGAGGGGACGGGAAAACTCATAGGCAGACAGGCAGGTAGGTAAGTAGGCTGGTTGGTTCATGGGTCAGCTGCAAGTCGATCCATCCTGTCTTCGGTATGACAGGCAGACGCTCGATCGCAGCATTCGCCAGGTAGAGAGGCAGGTAGGTAGGTACCTAGGTACCTTGAGCCGATGGGCTGGGGCTGTCTGTTTGTCTGTCTGTCCTCTGTCCTCTGTCCTCCGTCCTGCCCGTCTCCAAGTTCCGATGATACATCACATTTTTGGAAGTCTCGTCCCATCGCGTACAGTAGTAGGCAGTAGTCTGTTGGTGCCCCGTCCCAAGCCACCGGAGCAGGTGAGTAGATACCGTACCTACTATGTTAATACATGTACCTAGGTACTCCAAGCAAGGGTGCAACAATAGGTAAGTCTGGGTATCATCACAATGGCAATCTAGTCTGGACCGACCCAAAAGCCAACACCAACCAGCCCGGCAATCGTCTGGTTGCTACCTACCTAGGTACAACAAGCATCGCCCGCAGAACGGAAAAAGAAAAGAAAAAAGAACAGCAGCAGAAGGGAACCGGGGGAAAAAAAAGCAAACAAGCATCTAGACCACCGTTCTAATCCTAGGTAGGTACAGGGGGGTCGATCTGTGAATTGTTACAAAAGTCCGGGTTATAAGTAGTTAAGAAATTGGCTGACCTATATTAAATACTACCCTCACCACTTTGAAGATTTATTATTATTATTATTAATATTAATTTCACATGAGAGAGAATCGATTCGTGGAAGGAAGGATAAGGAAAGGGTAAGGCCATTGTCTTTACTCTTTACAGTGCCTGGGGGTAGACATTTAGTGACTGCGGATTTATATATTGCAATCAAGTACGGGGTATCCAGTAGCTGTTCTGTTGACTAGGTAGGTAGGTAAGTAGGTTTTTAACGGTTATTTGACTGGTTAGCCAGGGGGAGATGGAGATATTCTTACTAATATCGAGAGGAGATCAATCAATCCCAGGGAGATAAAGAGAGAGAGAGAGAGAGAGAATGGATGGATGGATCCTGTGAGATTATGAGATTATGAGATACATGGATAGAGAATATTAAGTTACGCCGTCCGACCCGATTCTTTGGTTCCAATTTCCCCCCAGCCCAATTTGAGTTTGATTGCCTCGAGCAACTGCAGTGCCCTGGCCTTGGTTGTCCTTGTCTTTTTCCTTTGTCCTTTCCCTCGGACAGGCAGGCAGGCAGGCAGGCACTCCAACTGTGATTGTATGTACCGGATACCCATAATATACCTATACCATGGGTTAGGACTACTATCTATCTACCACCACTTTTCACTTTCACTTTCTACTTCTACTTCTACTTATATTTCTACCGCTACACCTCACTCACCCCAATAACCATACCATACCACCACACAACAAGAAGCATCTAACCCTTAACCCCCCTCCCTCCCCTTCCTAATATCATATACTTATCCGGGCAGTATTCAGCCGAACAAGACAAGCCAACCACAACCACAACAACCACTACCTACCTACCTACCTGGTGGTGGTGGTAAGTATCCAAGTCGTAAGTAAACAAATAACTAACTAAATAACCCCTCGGAGCCGCGAGGGGAGATGGATGCTTAGGTAGGTACTTAAGGAAGGTACTTAGGGTATGTAAGTACTACGTAGGTACATACCTAGGTAAAGTAGGATAGTAGGTAAGGAAGGATACTTAACTAACAGCGAAGCAACCCAACAGACGAATCAACAAAGAAAGCAGCTGACCTCCATTCCCCATTCTCCATCCTCCATTTCCATTCCTTATTCTCTACGCATCAAGGGGAAAGAAAGTAAAAAAAAAAAGAAAAAAAGTAAAAAAAGAAAAAAAGTGAAAAAAAAGAAACGAAAACGAAAACGAAGATCGACTGTCGAGGCTCGAAAGGGAAGTTGGGCGAAGTTAACGGAACGGGGTGGTCGGTCGGTCTGTACTATCTTACTATCTAGTACCTAGTACCTAGTACCTACGTAGTACCTATCTAGTATTTAGTATCTAGTAGGAGTGGTAGACTGGTAGACTGGTAGTGGTGATAGTGGTGATAGTGGGATGGGATGCGCGTCTATTATTGAGCGGGATGACCCCGCCAGTGAGTGGGCTATGTAGATTGGAGATTGTAGATTGTAGATAGATACCGGATTCAACCAAATCAGTGCTGATCGTCGATGGGGTCAGAAGTCAGTATTGAGTACTGAGTACTCTAGGTTCGGATCCGAGGGTACGTATGTACATAGGTAGTACTTGGCTACGTCTAAGGCTATACAGCAGTGCGTGCAGTGCGTGCAGTGCAGTGCAGGACGGAGTACAGCCTGGGGAAAGATGGCCGTGCACTGGGTGGGTTGCAGCAGTGGAGAGAGAGAGAGAGAGTGAGAGAGAGAGAGTGTGTGTCTGTATAGTGTATCTACCTGTCTCACCCCCTCCCTTTCCCCTTCAGTGGTACCCTCATCTGTATCCGTGTCGCTACCGCAGACAAGATAGATACCCGGATTCGCATCCTCACGCAGGATTGGCCTGGTGGGAATCACCGCATCCTGGGGACGGAGATGGAGACGAGAAGGGGAGGGGAGGGAGGGGAAGAGAGGGGAGGGGCCATACATACTCCTGTCTCCCCTCCCCCACCCAAGTCTTAACATACAGATACACATACACATACACATACACATACCGGAGGGATGAGGGAGGGAGGGAATGAAACAAGAAAAGGTGCGTTAGCGGTTTGGGCACGGATGCAGAGACAGAGACCACCAGGGCTCCGACACAGGATCATCTCGATGGGAGGGGTGAGGAGTGAAGAGGGGAAGGAGGAGGGGGAAGTACAAAAAATCGAGTCAAGAGAGGCAAAGACATGGACGAATTCGCACTCGTGCAGAAGTGGATAAGCAGTTGAAGGTGCTCGATGGACGAGGTCGTGGAGCTAACGGCACGCCCGACGGCCCGGCTGCGGCGCGCGGACAGCAGGCCATACCATGCACGTCAGTATTACTTTGATTATTATTGTCTTTGTTGTTGTTGTCGTTGTCAAATGTCAAGGGTTGGAGTGAGTCGGGGACCTATCTAGGAAGTGGGAACTAGGAGGAGAAGGGAAGTCCCCGTCCCCGTCAGCTTCTGGAGCCCATTGCCACGAGGGCCGCCATCATTGGGGGATGAGAACTGGCGGTAAAGAGATTCCCGAAGCTAGGTAGGTAGGGAGGTATCCAATTTGGATTCCAAGGCCCTTAGCGCACAGAGGGAAAGAGAGAGAGAGAGGCCTGGTACGGTTCTTACACGAACGAAGAGCCGGCGAAAGGGTCGGAAAAGCCGTGGCATCCCAAGCCAAGGAGACAAGACCAGACCGACCCCCCAGGCAAAGACACTAAAAGGAAACGTCTACAATCCACATGGGGCACAGGATGATCCAGAGACACGTAAGACGCAGATAATGTGTTGCGAGGAGATAGATCAACGAAGGAGCAATGAGACATGACAAAGACCCGAGACATTATTTAACGAACAGCACCATACCTACCTACACATGGGGACGAAGCGAAGACACTGTATCCATCTGGTGTCACCGAGGCGCTTACCGCCAGATGGATGCTGTCAGCGTCAGTCAGTCGGTTCAATCGTCCGACGCCGCTTCGGAGGCCGAGTCGCTGTCCTGCTGGGTGGGATCGGGCATGACGACGCTATTAAGGTACGTGACCTGTCGGGCAATTTTCCCCTCTGATCAGTTACGGGATTCCACACAATCAACGGACAAGGCTTTTGTTGGCACTTTGGCCAGCGGCGAGTGCGTAGAACTCGTGAAGTGGTGGTGGGTATCCTTGCGCCCGAAGCCACACCGCTGGAGTGACCAGGAAGGGAAAGCGAAAGAGGGGGGCAGGGGCACAGGCAGGGAAAGGGCCTTGTAACGATTGATACGGCAGCTAGGATCCAATAGACGCAGGCGCGGGCAAGCGGAGGGGAAAGGCTAAACAGCAGCGATGGCACGGCGGGTGGAATGGCTTACGAAGGGTTCCATGATCCCAATCAACGCAGCGATCCTCTCTCGTGCACTAGTAGGACTCAATAGCTCCTCATCCGAAAGAGGCCTCCCGATGGTGAAACTGCGCAGACGGAGCAGCTGGATATTCTCATTGTCGACCTCGTAGCCCTAGGCAGAAGAAAAGCGAATGTCAGTATCGTCATTGGACGAAGGGTGGAGACCCGCTGGGACGGCGGCAGATGGTGAACCATGGAAACAAGTGAGACGGTGCAGAAAACTCTTCGAGACCAAAATACACTGGTGGGACAGTGCAGGCAATTCCCGTGTCAGAACCAAGAACCCGGACCTTGGGAACTCGGGACTAAGGTACAGATGGATCCCGGGCCAGGCCTGAGGCCGACGACAGCCAGGATGGCAGGCAGGCCCTGCATGGAAGTCCAAGGCGAGGGAGGGCGAGGGCGAAGACGAAAGCGAGGGCAAAGGCAAAGGCGAAGGCGAAAGCGAAGGCCGCCCCAGACCCAGGGAGGCAACCCAAGCAACGGAAGGGCTAGTCGGACGCTCCCGTCCGCGGCTGCGCTTACACCCTCACCACCGAGCACGCCGAACAGCCCCGGACGGTCCATGAATCCTCCCCCATCCCATCATGGTCGGTCTCTTGATCACCAAAAGAGTTGTCGTGTATCCCTCATGGATTTCGCTCCTTTGTTCTAGTCGATTTTTCAAACCCCTCCCCTGAGTCTCGACGATGAACGAAGCCGCGTCCCCTCAAACATGCCCCAGAACCGTCGGAACGAGGTGGTCGGCATTCCGAGAGCTGACCTCAGGGGTTGGGCATAGGTCCAGCGTGTTCAGAACTGATCGAGCCTGTCCCTTCTATGGATGATGATATGATCATCATCATCATCATCTGCACGATGGCCTCGATGGCAATGATCCCGAGATTGCTCCGTGCCCGGATATGACGCGCCTCGACAAGGTATCACCAACAACATGGTGATGTTTCATCATATACCACACCAGATACAATAGCCCGCTGGGGCGCCATGGTTGGGAATAAAGCGGGCGGGGAAGGTTGATTGCGACCACGGGCATGACCCTGCCTGAACCAAAGACAAAGAAAGAGTGCTGGGGTGGGACACGCGAAAGTGTTACTTACCCTGGGCTTTGTCTTGAGCGCACTCTCCTTATTCTGGCTGACGAAGGCTTCGACGGCCTTGTCATCATCGTCTGGTAGCCCGTTGAATATCTCACGACGCATGTCGTCTGCCCTCAGCACTGACTTTAGGCGATGCGAGTTTCTGTCAACATCCTGTCGGAGCAGCGCGAGCTTATCAGCCTCTGGCATCCAGAGTCCCGAACCTAAACCCAGCAAGACCCATTAGCCGACATTGTTTTCCGGAAGTCGCGTTGACTTCAGCTACAATCCTCCATCCTTATCCTTCGAGAAGACTACCGAAGTCTCATCATAAACACAATAGGGAGCATAGAGATCGGGTGATGACTCAGGGGATGGGGTAAAGAGCCTTGGAAGTTGGGGGGGTAAAGGAAGCATGTCTCTCTGACTGCTCCAAGGCTCGATGGAGACACGTTGGCCCAGGGGTGGCTGCGACCGTGGCATGTGGGTACTTGTTTGTTGCATAACTCACCGACAAAGCAGGATCCAGGCTGGCAGTGAACGTAGTACGCAGCGTAAGGCCCCTTTTTACCTGTGCGGGACCTAATACAAGGCTAAGCTGACGGCAACTTCGCACAGTGTTGGATAGATACATACCAGGCAGCTGAAAAGTGCGTCTGCTCGATCCATGGTTAGCCCGGTCATCTCCTGAGTGTTCACAACCCTCCAGGATGTGAGAGACAGATATCCTTAGAAGTAAATACTCGAGCATACCTTATACGGAGTGGGATTTTTGCTGAATCTGATGTCTCTGTGTATGCGAAACACCTAAGACGTATTGATGTTAATGACTTTCTTCTTCCGATCAACCTCATCAGGTTCCTCTCTTCTCCACTCACAAGATCTTTGACAGGGAGTTCTGGAATCGTGCTGTCCTTCTCTATAATTTCCTCTGTGAGGGTCTCAACAAACGTTTCCCAGTCCTTCTTCGAAGCGCGGTAGTCCGCATCGTGTGCTGCAGTTCAGCCCACAGTTAGCCAGGAACAGAAGTGTAAGAACTTCGACAGCGATAGCTTGATACCTTTGAGCCACTCCCGGTCATTGTTCGCAGCCAGGTCCTGCAAGAAGAGCATGGTGTTGGGATGTAAGGTGTCATCCTGGTAGGCCACCGCTCCTGGATCCCTCGCTTTGGGCTTTTTGATGAATACTTCTTTACCAGGGCCTAGGCCAGTCGTGACTCCCTCTCTCCAAAGCTCCTTGCCGCTGGCTGATGCGGTCGTGCTGGCCTTGGTGCCACTGCTGGCTTTACGGGCGGGCGTGCTGGGCTCTTCGCCTTTCCGGTTCTTTCCTTGGCCCCTATTTGATCCCCGCTTCGACTGCGACTTCCCTGTCGTCTCAGCCCCTCGAGGCGCCGCCTCGGGTACCTCTGGGTTCGCATCGGGTGATGCGGGGACTGACGTGTCTGAATCGTTGTAATTGGAGGCTTCCGGCGCAGATGCATGCTTGGGGTCGGGCTTTGGTTCCTCGGAGGTGTCTTCTTGGAAGTATTTGCTTTTCTTTGCAGTGGAATTGACGGCTTTCTGAGCGGTGGTATCTTCGTACTTTTGTCTCTTGGGCCCCGTTCTGGAGGCTGCGGAGATTCTGTCAGACGCGCGCCTTTTTGGCGCCGACGCTGGAGCTGCGGCCGACGCGGGAACGGCCCGAGAGGATCGACGAGGCATGGGCACGCTGTCAAGAGACGGTACAGTGTAGTGTGGTTTGTTTGTGTCTGGGGTACGGGTTTAGGGAGTGTTGAAGGGAAGGGGGGGGGACTCGGGAAGATTGAAAGTAGCTAGCTACTACTGTACTCTTTGAATCCACGATAGGATGAATGAATGGTAGGAGAGAGAGTTGGGGAGATGTGACGTTGTCCAGGCGATGTTTTGGCCGGGGGCTTACGGGTACGGGATGGTAAAGTACTCCGTAGCTTAGCGACCGATTGACTTTCAGCGGTTCAAAGAGAGACCAGGAGGCTGGTAACTTCTGGGGCTTGTTTCGCGTGGGAAAACGCGGGCGACTTTGGGCTTGCTGCTTCCCGTTCCGCTAAACCCCGTGCGTGTCCGCCGCCGCCGAAGGATTTGCTGGCCCTCCCGCCGCAGCCACATTCCACCCCCCCCAGCTGTATCAATTGTATCCTTCGGAAAAGCGGTAGATATAGTCTGCAACGGGTCTCAAGGCCAGAATAGAAGTCCTGCCGAACGAGGTGAACTGTCAGTCCCGATTTCCTGGGAGGGAGAAAGAGAGAGACAGAAAGAAAGAAGAAAAACGAAGGAAGAAAGAAAGAGAGAGAGAAAGAGAGAAATAAAGAGAGACCTTGATATTTGGCCCGCCAATAGTAATCCCACTGGTCGTCCCCTTTATTCGGGTTGAATGAAGTACGAGATGTCATCCATGGACAGACCCTCAGGAGGAGCCATGATCCCCGACGCCTTCGAGTCTCGCAAGCGCAAGATCCTCGCCGAACTATCCATCCCAGAGGCCGAATATACCGATCTGTCGCCCAAGGGGTCCGTCGATGAAGCGATCCGCGTCCTGATCGACGACATCAATGCCCTGCCCGGGTTAGTGACCACGAGCAGCTGTGCCGGGCGCATCAGCGTGTTCCTGGAAGGCCGGAAGAAGCAATCCCAGCAGCAGCAACAGCAGCAGCAGCAGCAGCAGCAGGAGCAGGTATCGGAAGAGCTGCAACAGAGACAGTTTGTACCGTCGGGGGGCAAGGGGGCCGGGAAATGGCTGTATGTGTCGCATGAGCCATTGCAAGAGTCAGAGCGAGGGTCGCGGTCGTTGCATGAGATGTTTGGGTTGATGCCGGGGGATGGAAGACCCCCCGCCCTGAGCCAGATTGGTCAGGCCCCGCGTCTCGTGCGCTTCTCTTTCGAGCCCATGGTATGTCTGTCTGGCTTCTTTCGTCTTCTTTCTTTCTTTGCTCCTGTCTTTGCGGTTCCGGTCCCCTCTTGCGTGTCGTCTCTCTCTGTATTTCTAGGCCTGGTATTTTGCAACAACACTGGAAAAACTAGCTAACATACCCCCCCCCCTACAGATCCTCCACATCATGGCAGCCACCCTGCACCACGCGCACCCCGTCCTTTCAGCTGCGTCTAGCTCTGGCTTCCGCGAAAGCGGACTGCAGAGTCTACGCTGTCTGGAAGCAGACGACACCGACGACGGACCGAGTCCCATCGTGGCTGTGCGCTCAGCCGGTCTATCGCTAGAGTCGGTGATCGGGTACTGCGAGGGACCCGAAGACGACGACAGCCCCGTCGTCATCCGCAGCCTGGTCACGGAGGAGTTCCTCGAGATGCTAGTCGCGATCTCAAATGAGCGGTTCTCCGTCAATGTCGAGCGCAAAGAGAGGTTCCGGACGAACCTGCTGAATCTGTGTGCTACGAGTCGGGCCGCGGGGTCGAAGGCGAAAGGGAAGGGGAAACCGAAACAGCCTGGTTGGGAGGATCCAGAGACAAGGAGGGAGAGGATGAGGGCGGAGGGGCTTTTGAGGAAGAAGCTTGCGGAGAAGCAGGATCAGATGAAAGAGGGTGGGGATGAGGATAATGGCATTGATTTGGATTTGTCTTAACCTAGTCTCGGGATGGGAGAGGCTAAAAGAAAGAATGGAAGCAAAAATAAATAAATAAAATGAAATGATAATGAACGGATTTCTGAATTACATGTCTTCGGGTTGGGGTATCATTAGCTGAGCTACTAGTAATAACTGAGCGGCTGACGTATGAATGTATGTATGTAAGTAAGTATGCAATTAGTCGTCAGGCGAGGCAAATGCGGGTCGCAAAAAGAATCAAAAAAGGGAGAAAGAAAAAAAAAGCACAGAATGAAGCAAGAGAGAATTGAGACGAAAAAGCAAATAAGAAAGAAAACATGCCAAATATGTAGACGGAAAAGGGAAGGGGGTGGTCAGAGGATTTCAATGGCTATGCAAACCGCTTATATTCAAAAGCACATCACACCAATGTAAGCCAGACTCGCTCGGTGCACCGTTGATCCAACCATTTGCAATAAATCAAAGTAGTCCGCTTGTCATGATCGTCAATTCATTTCTCATCCATCGACACGATTTACCCCGGAGGAAAGTCGCAACACCGGACAATGGAGATAGGTGGCAGGTATCATCGTGAGACCAAGAGATGTGCCTTTTTTTTTTTTTTCGAAGCCCAGTCCAAAGGTCCAAAGAGCTCATAGCTTACTCTGTCTGCAGCGGAGATGCTCGCGGTCCCGCATCTGCAATCCTCGAAATCACTGGTTCGCCTTTGGGAGACAATTAGGAGACGAATGGGTGATACGGTGACCAGGCATTCCGCCTCGGAGTCTTCCATGAGGACTAAACAGCAACTTCTGACCCCAGCAGTCTTCGATGCTATCAAAGTGAGGGCTTCCGATATTCCAGCATTCGCTGGCACGGCGCGATGGGGTGGACAGGGTGCCAACCTTGGATAGGCTCTCAGTGCGGGACGCACTCTTGTTAGTGGAGGGAGAGGATGGGCTGAGGTTACTCTGGTTGCTAGAATAGGATTTGCCCTCGCTATGCATCCAGCCGCTCAAAACCAGGTTGGAGAGAGTGGCGGCCTCCTGCTCGACGGCCTCCTCCCAAGAGACACGCTTGGCGACTTCGGTGGGCCATTCGAACCAGATGCGACCGAATGGAGAGATGAGGCCCGTGTTCACGGGGAAGCTGTTGGGCAGCTCGTTGTTGATCGTCTCACGCACTGTTCCTTGGGAGATCAGGTTGGCGTAGTACTACATTGGGGATTAGCCAAACTCGTAGAAGCTGGGGAGGGTCAGGTGCGTCGAAAGCATAGTGCTCTTGACAAGAGAAGTACCAGGGAGGAGGGATGATGAAGACTGCATACCAGGTGTGCTACATATTCGAAATTGGGCAGATTCACCAGGGTATCAAATGGGAACCATTTGCTCAAGTCTGGGATCTTGGCGATCTCGCTGTCTTCCTCGGAGTTGACGCAAAGAGTGTATTTCTGGCGTTCATTAAAACCAGGGCAGTTGAGCCCGGCCTGGAGAAGGTCACGCAGGAGTCTCTGGTCCAGACCAACTGTGTTTGACTTTCTCATGCGAGAAACCAGCGACATGATGTGGCGATTGGTCAATTCGAATAGCTGGTTGCGGTCATGGACGGTGTAGAATTCGGGTGCGTACCAGGGGAACTAGTTTCTATCAGTAGAGGTATATCCCTTTCGTCATTCAGACCAAGTCTTACCTTGTAGAGAGTGCTAATGGTTGACTCGTAGGTGCGTTGGGGGCACTTGGCACAGAACGGAGACTATATGTAGAGTTGTCAGATACCCCTGCCGTGGAACGGAATACCAGACAGTCAAGGACACCTACACGATGGGGCATCTCTGCGTGACGAATCGCGCCAATGATCTCCTCGGTTGTAAAGAAGCCAGCATATCCAGTGGAATAGGGATCGGTGTTGCGAAGTATGCCGGGCATGCCACCCTGCCAAACAACACACTTCGCACGGGGGAACAGGTCCTTCAACAGATCGTCCTGGCTACTGAGTTCAACTTCTACGTGTCGGTTGCCAAGTCTCGGGGCACGACCAGTCTCGAAGATACGGTTGATGCGTTTGGCAGTCTCCTCAGCATCTGCTGGGGTCTGAAACTCAACGAAGCAGTCCATGGTCTTCGCGGTCGGACGCTCCATGATAATGTGAACCGCATGGCCCGGGATAAGGCGTGCTTGACGGCCAACGAACTGCATAATCTCTTGCTTCGTAATGGAGTAGGGGATCTGGAGCAGTGTTAGTCGTGTCTCGGGAGGTGAGGTGAAGATGGTCACTTACGTTTGAAACCTTGACGACACCCCAAGTCGGAGGCGCTTTAGAATGGATGAGACTACCAATGGGCATCTCGCCGGGAAGAGCGACGGTTTCAATGGTCTTGGTAAAGTCTGCGATGGGCTTCAAGCTGCCTGTATTGTTTTCTGGATTGTGATTGCCGGCCTGCATAAGAGAAAACGCCGGCGCCGGAGCACGAGTGGCAGCGAAGACCGGCTCGGGCTGGCGGGGTCGGTAGGCCAGGCCATGCATGGGCATCGAGGTGAAGGCAGTCGAAGGGAATGGAGTAGAGGCAGTGTTACCAATAGTATAAGAAGGAGGGCCGTAGAACGGGTCATAAGGGAGGCGTTGGGGGGTGTTGACATTGTAGAGAGGCTCTTGATACTTGCGGGGGACAAACATGGGCCCATTAGCGACACTCATGCTTGCCTTACGGACATGACGATCCTGTCTATTGGAAGCCATCCTGAAAAAAAGGAGAGGAAGAAACAGGACTATGTTGATGAGAATTAAAGGGAGGGGACAAAGAAGGGAAGAGTAGTTGCAAGGGTGAAGATGAGAGTGAAGGTGAAGGTGAGGATGGAAATGAAAATGAAAATGAAAATGAGAGTAAAGGTAAGGAAGGACAAGAGAAAGATCGAACTGCAGGCGCTTTTGGGAGTTGGAAGCCATCATGGTCAATATATAGTAAAAAAGCGCTGTCGTGAATTGCAATTCACTGGCCAAAGATTGGGAGAGCAGTATTCAATTTCGGTCCTAAAGGGTTACTGAAAGATCAATGAAAAGTCCTCCAGCCAGCCAAAATCCAGAGCATTCATAGGGATCAGTGGCAGCCAGCCAGTCAGGTTGCTCCCAGAAGCCAGGCACAGCACCAGCAGAGACAAGGCCTATTGTCTAGGGCAGCTGGGGCAGCATGCAAGCTATTGAGATCCCCCCCAACAATAGCCCAAGCCCATCGGCCACGAGCCAGTGGGTCAATGGCCGCCTGTCACTGCGTATCCACACCACCGATCGCGTCGCGTGGGGGGGAACCAGATCAGCCTTGCGTCCAGTGTGAAACAGTCAGAACTTCAGGTGCCGGGTAACACGGGAAGACTGACAAAGGCAGTCAGGCCAACGCTCACCACGGCGGCAAACGGTGCAGGAATGGGTTTGGATCACGACGATAGATTCTACGCCGCCGGTTCTACATCGCATGACCGGGGACGGTACCGGAATGTCGTCGCCAGGACGCCGGGTGCTAGGTAAGATCAGGACTAATCGCTATAGCTTTGATTTCGAAATAGAATATGTGTGATTGCGGGAGGGAACAGGCATCGAGATCGAGCACACAGTGACTCTCGATACCAGCCCAGATCGCCTGTACAAGTAGTCGCTTCTAGAGAAAGAGGGGGGGAAAGAGGCCAAGGTCATGTATCAATCAGAGGACCAACGAAGAGGCATTACAGAGCAAGCTAATCGAACTGTGCCAGGTTATCAGCGAGCGAACTTCAACTCTAGACGGCCACGCCATTGACTTACCGGGGTCAAGAACGACTCTGCGACGAAACGAGCACGGGCATTCAACTGGAGGAACAAGACATGTTAGGACTGCGGCGCTCCAACAGCAGGACGTGGAGACATACAAAGAGTTTCATTTCTGAGATTTCCTTATCCACCTCTTCCATGAATTGGATGATGAAGTCGACTAGCTTATGCTTCAACATGGCTTCCGTGTGGAAGTTGGTGATCAGGAACGAGATGTCATAGCCCTTTTCATCCGTTAGCTTCCTCGATAAGCCACATCTGCTCCGTCCGATTATATGAATCCCATACCTTTACCGGCTTGCGCCTGAGGATGAAGAACGACTCCGCACGCTGTGTCAAGAACCGAGTGAACTTATGGACCAGGATATGCTCGATCTCATCTGCCTGCTTGATTCGGATGCTGACGCGGACACTGTTCACGCTGGGCTCGATGAAGACTCTCTCATTCTCGTTACGGGAGATGGTCAGGGGGTTGAGCAGTAGCTCGGGGCTGTCGGCACTCTCTATCAACGGTACATTGTGTCTTTCTGATGTCTGGGAAGCGAAGTTCGAGACGGCAAGAGCGGATGTCAGGGATACTCGGACGGCCTGGAGGTATGGACGCAAAGATTGAGACTGCAGCCGTTAGCTTCAATGGTGCCACTGTGTAAACGCATACGTTAACCCCTGGATGTAGGCAGTTACCATAATGGAGATGTGAGGCCCGCAAGGCCGACGTCGCGCAGTGCAGGGTACAACGGCTCAGAGAATTGACCTCTAGCTTTCCAAATAAACGGGAGCGAAGGCGATGTGTAGCAGTGTCCAGAGCAATGGCCCGCCAGGTGAGCTGCAATGTAGGCCGTCGGTTAATACTAGTCCTTGGGGTCTCCAGCAATGAGTACAGTTGCGTCAGGAGCGACGTGCGGCGGGGGGGGCAGCGCTGGGCCGATGACCTAAGCTCTTAGTCAGGGGACGGACGCTAGCCGGAGGGCGTTAGTCGGTGGATAGCCGGTGGGTGTTTGCGCGGTTTGCACCCCTTTGCCCCACGCCTCGCCGGGCGATGACTGACGCAGTCGTTGTTTATGCAACTGCATCCAACCGTCAGAACCTGAGAGGAGCTATCAATCCCACCCAAAAGGACTTCCATTCGAGTCAAAATGGCTTCCATACCGAGTATTTGACCCCATCCATCCAGAACCCGTCCCACGCTGCTCATAAATATCCCCGCTGACTCCGCTGACTCTATGACGCAGTCATTGTAAAGCACCAGGGCAAACGTCATGAGGTCGAGCTTGACCCGTCTCAGAACGGAGAAACGCTAAAATACCAACTATTCTCTTTGACCGGCGTCGAACCCGAGCGACAGAAGATCCTCGTCAAGGGAGGCCAGCTCAAGGATGACACTCCCCTGTCTTCTCTTAACGCCAAGGCTGGCCAGACCTTCATGATGATGGGTACGCCGTCTGGAGGCCAGGGAGCTGGAGACTTGGGCAGACCAAAGGAGGTTGTGAAATTCTTGGAGGATATGACGGAAGCCGAAGCTGCCAGGGCGGAGGGAGCCACTCCTGCTGGTCTGCAAAACCTCGGAAACACCTGCTATCTGAACTCGACACTACAGACACTGCGAGGTGTTCCAGAACTTCAGGATGCGTTGCAAAAGTATCGGCCTTCTGGAAGCTCCACTGGAGGATCGAGCTTGTCGAACCTTAGTAGTCTCGGACTCGGCGGTCTTGGGGCTTCAATGGATCTGACATCCTCTCTCCGGGATCTTTTCAAGCAAATGTCCGAGACTCAGGAGGGGTTCCCGCCACTGATGTTCCTCAACGCCCTGAGAAGTGTCTTCCCCCAATTCGCTCAAAGAGATCGCAATGGACGCGGCTATGCCCAACAGGATGCCGAAGAGGCTTGGTCGCAAATCGTGAATCAACTGCGGAACAAGCTGATTGTGAAGGAAGGTGAGGGAGAGTCCGCTACCGAAGTGTCCTTTGTGGATAAGTACCTTGCCGGAAGATTTGAGTCGGTTACAGAATGCGATGAGGTGACAGCAAAGGAGGCTGGCGAGGCACCCACTCCGAGCTCCGACGTCTTCTTCAAACTCGATTGCCACATCGGCAAGGATACGAACCATCTGACCGACGGCATTATGGAAGGTCTCGAGGAGAAGATCGAGAAACATTCTCCCACACTTGACCGCGATGCTGTGTACACCAAGCGTTCTCGCATCGCCCGTTTACCCAAATATCTGGCGGTGCATTTCGTTCGATTTTTCTGGAAGCGCGAGACCCAGAAGAAGGCCAAGATCATGCGTAAAGTCACATTCCCGGCCGAACTGGACGCGGTAGACTTTTGCACCGACGAGTTGAAAAAGCAACTTATTCCTGTCAGGGACAAGGTCCGCGATATTCGGAAGGAAGAGGTGGACGTTGAGCGCGCCCGCAAGCGCCAGAAGCTTGCCCACCGGAAGGAGGAAGAGAAGAAGGACGAGGTGGAGTCCGGTTCCAGCATGGAGCCAATGCAGAAAAAGAAAGCCACCGAAGAGAAGAAGGGAGAAGCCAAGAAAGATGACGATGAGGCCATGACGGATGTGTTCAAGTCTGACGCAGACTACGAAGCTGAGAAGGCCGCTTCCATTCTTGCCGCTAAGAAGGAACTGTCTGAGCTTCTTGACCCGAGTCTTGCCTCGGATGACGGTGTCAACAAGACGGGTCTGTATGAGCTACGCGGAGTCATCACACACCAGGGTGCCAGTGCCGACAGTGGCCATTACACGGCCTATGTGAAGAAGCAGCCTAGGGACAACGACGACAACACCGAAGGACGGTGGTGGTGGTTCAACGATGACAAGGTGACCGAGGTGGAGGCAGAGAAGATCGAGACGCTTTCGGGCGGTGGTAAGTTTTATGACGCCTCATTATGAATATCCAAGCTTCTAACTCTGGTCTTATCAGGCGAATCTCACTCTGCGCTGATTCTGCTTTACCGCGCATGCGACCTGCCTACTTCCAACTGAGCAGCCTCACAACTCTCAGAGTACATAGGGGTATGCATAGATAATGAGCTTATGGCTGAATGCTAGGGCCAGACCTTCCTCTGGCCGAAATACTACTACAACGGAGACTATCTTTGTGCGGGGTATTAGAGTATCTTTTTCTTCCCCTCGTAAACATATGCCGAGGCGTATGTATGTACATAAGTAGGTGTGAACATAAATAGATTATGTAATACGGTGCTGTCACGTGGCACACCGGGTGCCCCCGTGCGGGCGCTCCTATCTTATCATTGAAATCCACAGCTTCGACTCCAGCGCCGAGGTTCCCCGTCCGACACTGTGAGGTGACCGCCATGTTTGCTTTTGGTTCACGCAGAGTCCTACAGTCTCGACTGGGGCTCGCGACGCTCCAGCCGCAAGCGCTCTGTCGACGTGCTATCCCTGTCTCGAGGAGCGCCAGCACTGCTGCTCCTGAAGTGGTGCCTCGACCATCGCGGTGGCGGCGTTACTCGAGGTACTTGAGCATCGTGTGCCGACTGGGCTTCTGCGGAGTCGGGCTCTTTGCCGGGTGGATAGCTGTAGACTTTGTGTCACTTCGATATATGCCACAGGTACCTGGCACAAGTTTTGATTCCCTCAAGCTTAAATCAATCCTTGCGGATTACGAATCCGAGCCACCGGTGGTGAAGGCGCTGCGAGAAGACCCCTATTATATAGAGGCGGATGTGTACGGGAACTACACGGAGGAGGAGAAGCTACAGAGACTCAGCTCCGGTCCGTTGGGAGGGAGCAGAGGGCTAGCGCTTCAGGTTCGTCTCGTCCCTATACGGTGCAGTTTTCCGATGGGATGGAATCGTTTCTGACCGCGCCGATTGGGGGGGGGGTGGTATGCAGAAAATCTTCTACAACGATAGGGCGAAGACGGTAGTCAATTACGCCTATCTCGGACTCGGGCTGGAAGGATGGCCGACGATAGTGCATGGTGGACTGTTGGCGACGGTGATGGATGAAAACCTGGCCCGGGTCGCTATCAGACATTTCCCTGAGCGTACCGCCGTTACTGCAAATCTCCAGCTCCAGTACCGTCGCCCCGTCTCATCGAACAAGTTCTATACTTTCCACGCTACGCTGGACGAGGGGCGGAGTACAGACCGCAAGGCCTGGGTGAATGGGGAAGTGCGCGATGCCAAGGGGAACGTGTGCGTCGAGGCTACGGGGCTCTTTGTAGTCCCGAAGGATTATAAGCTCCAAGAGGTTGGGGACCGGTTCTGAGCGGGCTGGCTGCCACTGCGGTTGGTCTGGATATACCCAGGCTGTATACCACCGAAGCCAGCGAGGCGAGCCGTGGGAAGTGTTGTTTTTATCTCTTTGCCCATGTACATAGCATAGAAACCGTCGATGTGGATGTGACCTCGAGGTCAAATAGAGTTAGTTGTCTTTTTGATGATGCGGAGACGCCGAGACTCGGAACCGTTTCATTTCGTTGACCCTGTCAGCGTCTTCCCCACGATCTTCCCCCGCATTTCTTCCTCCCAACCACGCGGGGCAACCTCCCTCTCCGGCTACCACCACCGCATGGACCACGTTGAGATCCCCTCCCTCTGCCTCGGTTGTGCCTCGAAAGGGCAGCACGTCCGGGATCCTGCTCCCTCCCAAGGGTCCCACCGGGACTGAGTTCTGCAAGTTCCATGGATCACGGCAGAGATATCTATACCCCCCGCGACATACGGGCATCATCATGGACCCACTGCGGCAATGGGCTGCGTCAGGAGGATAAACGGTCAATGAGACTTGACTCCAGCAGGGCCTGGCCGTTGTCCAGAGATCGTGTCCTGGTCTATATTAATTAACTCGTCCCCCGCCCCTCCCCACTCCTTTGTGCCTCTCAGCCCACCCAACGGATTCGGTGGCTACACTGGACCGCCTTGCGACGACTTGCACACATCTCTGCCGCGATGACAATGGACATCGTTGAACACTCCAGTCAGTCGCAGGTCGACGAGAAGGCCATCGAAGAGTCGCCCCCGACCGACAATACGGGAAGCAAGTTCAGTCATGACGAGGTCTTTTCTTACAGGGAGGAGACGGGGGCACCCGTGGATAATCCGGTGAGTGCCGGGCGACGGAGGAGATACTGAGAGCTTCCAGCCAACCTATCGTTCGTGTGCTAGATGACCTTCCACCGGTTTATGGGGTTTACAGCGATGGCCTTCTTGTGGACGGGTAGCCAGATCCCCGTTTATTTGTTCGGTGAGTGACTGCGGCGATCATAGGATTGGGTCAGACCGGATCACGCTCTAACGGTCCTACAGGAGGAATTCCACCGTATATTTATGGCGACATTGGTGGTGCGGATAGATGGGTTTGGTTTGTAAGTTTCACGGAGACTGAAGTCATCAGAATGACCGACAAATGCTCACATTCAACATAATATAGGTTTTGGCCAATCTACTGGCTCTTGCGGGTGTTTGCCCGTTTGTCGGGTCTCTGTCTGACCTGATCGGTCGTCGATATGTCGCTCTCATCGGGGCCTCCCTTGTTTGCCTCGGCATGATAGTCAGCAGCACCGCACATACGATGAATACATTCATCGGTATGCCTCCGAATGCGCTTTTATCCCACCATCATTTCACATTTCTCGCATGAAGTTAACGAGTACATAGCTGGGATGGCAATTGCCGGTGCGGGTGCTGGTGTCAATGAACTGACAGCGTTGGCTGCGACATCTGAGATGGCGCCAACCCGCCAGCGAGGCAAATATGTGGCGGTGTTGATCTTCACCATCCTGCCCTTCTGTCCATCTGTCCTATGGGCCCAGCTTCTGGCAGCCCACAAAGGCTGGCGTTACGTTGGCGCGTTCGCTGGAGCCTGGAACGGCTTTGGCCTGCTGACCACCGCACTCTTCTACTTCCCACCACCACGAGTCAACTCGGAGGGACTAAGTAGATCCGACATAATCAGCCGCATTGACTTTGTTGGTGGCTTCCTCAGTATCACTGGCCTGATAGTCTTTCTAGCTGGCCTGCAATGGGGCGGATACCAAGTACGCAACCCCTCACAGCTTCCGCATACATACCCTATGATCGTCTTACTGCCTGCTGATCTGCGCAATAGTACCATTGGAGCTCTGCTCATGTCCTGGCTCCCCTGATCATAGGCTTCTTCCTCTTGGTTGCCTTTGCTTTTTGGGAAATATACGGCGCCAAGTACCCCATTTTCCCGAGTCGGCTAAAGCAGGAACCACGCACCCTGGGCCTGACGCTGGTCATCACGTTCATCTCAGGCGCAAACTTCTTCTCCGTCCTCATGTTTTGGCCCACCCAATCATTCAACGTGTACGGACATAATCCGGTCGATGTCGGCGTTCGAAGTCTCCCCATCGGGTTCGGCATCATGGCGGGCGCATGCATCGTGCTCTGGCTACTGAGTGTCCTACGCGGACACAACAAGGAGCTCTTGATCATAAGCAGTATTCTTATGACAGCAGGTCTGTCTGGCCCCTATCCCTCGACCTAACCTAGAACATGAATGCACAAGCCAAAAGCAAAAACCAAAGCAAATACTAACTCCTCACAGGCTGCGGCGCCCTCTCCGTCGCCCGACTCGACAACCTCTACCGACTCTGGGGAATCCTCACTCTCGCTGGCCTCGGAATCGGCGGCATAGTCGTGCCCGCCTCCATCATGACCACCATCATCTGCCCAGATGTAAGCCCCTTCCCCAACCCCCAAAACCCAACCCATCACCAACCCACCAACCCACAAACAACAGGACCTAATCGCCACCATCTCCGCCCTCACCCTCTCCATCCGCGTCGCCGGCGGCGGCATCGGCTACACAATCTACTACAACATCTTCATCTCGAAATTCGTCCCGAAAGCCGAGCACTACATCGGCGGCGTGATGCTCACGGACCTCAACATCACGAACCCGGCCTACATCTCCGAGGCCATCCAACTCACCGGCGCCTCCCTGCTCGACGACCTGAACCTCATCCCAGGGATCGCGGGCAATCCGGCCGCGTATGACGCCGTCGTCACCGCCGGGAGACTCGCCTTCGCCGAGAGCTATAAGTATGTCTATTATGCCAGTATTGGATTTGGGGGCGTGTCGATCCTCGCGGCGTGCTTTTTGGGGAATATTAGGAAGTATATGGATGATCATGTGGCTGTTGTTATGCGGTAGATGGGGGGGGAGGGGTGTTAGGGTGGGTTGGGGTGGGTTTTGTTGGGTTGGGGAAGGTGTTTGGGTACGGTGTTGTGGTTTAGGAGGTTTGGGGGGAGGGGGGGGTTATGCGTTTATTTGTATTTAGGTTATAGTATAGTGTTTCTTATTTGCTTTTCTTTCTAACTAACAAGGTATACTTCATAGCTGGTCCTGGTCAGTACTAACTAGTAGTAGTGAGTAACACGATGACTCCCCACCGAAGAGAGCCATTCCATTTCGTTCAATTCAATTCACCACACCCTAGATCTTCCACAGGTTAAAGACACAAAATTGACCTCGTACACATCTTCAAAGCTACATAATCTCGAAAACAATATATTTTTCCCGCTCACAAGTAAAAGAAAAAAAAACCATGGCTAAGCAGACATCGGATATGGGGTATACATGAAATGAAGGTTACAACAATGATGAGAGCGTCTCCTCGCCTGGCTGGCGGCCACAGACCATGAGGGTCAGAACGGAAACGGGGTGGGTGAGTTGACTAAGGCAGAAAAAGGCAAGAACCAAGCAATCCAGCAGGTGGTTGGTTGGCCAATCATCTACTCTCGACCTGATTCATAGAGGACCGTTTCGGGACGAACGGCGCAGCGGGAGTATTCTTAGACTTTTTCCTCTCGACGTCCTTGACACGCAGACCTCTACTGAGACCGCCTCCCAGACCCCGGGCGAGGGAGGCAAAGGGCGAGGCGTTTTGCCAGCCGTCGAGGTCTTCTTCATGCTGACCGACGCTGGCAGCGGCGGAGGGGTCGGCGGCGCCGTGTTTGGAGGAGCCGGAGCCGGAACCGTCGGATGGTTTGTTGCGATGGTGTCGGGGGAGGGAGACTTCGGTGCCGGGGACGGGGCCAGGGCCGTGAGTGACGTTGGTTGGGGAGGTGGGGGTTGATTTCCACGGGTGGTGGGGATGTCGGTGTCGGCGTCGGTGTCTATGTAATCTGAGCATTTGCAGCCGCAGCCGGTGGGGCAGAATTGGTGCTCTTCTTGCTCGCTGGCTTGCATGTTGTGGCGGTGGTGCTGGGGGTCGGAGGATGCCATTGAGAACCAGCCTCGGTGGCAGTCGAAGCAGCTGACGTGGCCGCAGCCCAAACAGGGGATGAGCATGCCTTCGACGACTTCGCCGCAGATGACACAGGGGAGTTTGAGGGGGAGAGGGTGTTTGGGGTTGCAGTTGGGGCATGTGAGGGGGGTGGGGTGAAGCCTTTCAGGTGGCTTCTGGGTGCCGCTTCCGTGAGAGTCTTCATGGCGAAGATGGAGAGTTGGAGCGGTTGGCCGCAGCCGATGCAATGGCGCTGGATCTCGAGGCCCTGGTTGTCTGTTTCGGTGGCTACTGCGAGGGAACTCCTGCGCCTGGAGACGGGGAGGGAGAACGAATCGTGGTGGCTTTTGCGGCGGCGGTGGGTAATGTCTTTAGTAGAGGGCTTTGGGGTGCCACCGATTTTGAGAACCTCGCTGCGTTGCACTGGCAACCCCCATATTGAGAGCAGATGGGCGTATGCTGCACGATACGATCGATACATCCAATCTTTCTTCGGGTCAAGGAAAGAGTTCTGCGTTCGTCCAGTACTTTTAAAGGCAGCTTGGTTTTTCAACACCGCTCGAACCTTTGCAGGCGCTTTGGATGGAGCGCGTCTTTCGCTCTCTGTATCGGAATGGGTCTGTGATGTGAGTGCGGTAGAGGTTGTCAAATAGTCGGGGATTGCTGTGGCGGGTTTTGCAGCAAAGGCGCTCGTTACCCACACGCCTGGACCCCCGATTGCATTAGGGCTGCCGCTAGCGTTGAGACTCTTCCTGGATATAGCGGTCGCCGGAGGAGAGGCTGACGATGGCCCAAACGTCAGGGATCGAGAGAGGGAAGAAGCCAGAGCCGAACCAAGCCCAGACGCACTGCGTGGTTGGGATTGCTGGTCAGGGGAGGCGGCCATCGATATGTTTTGACCCCAGTGTTTCCTTTCTGCCGCCAAAGGCCCAGTACGGGTAGCTATAGGAGGAGTTGTGCCGGTGGAAAATGGAGGTTCCGAGTCTGCGCGCAACACTTCGGAGGACGATCGCCCAGAGCTATGTGTAATGGGTGTAGGATGGCTGTCCTTTTGTGTAAAGGCCGTCGGCGTGGCCACCTGTGGTTTGTTCTGCATGATCGAGTTGGGGGAATACAGATCAAACGAAAAAGAGTGCTCTTCCATCCGTCTGGATGCCGTCCTGTGGTGAAAGAGTTGTTCTCTTGACGAGGCCTCTTCGATGCTTGGCTCATACAAAACACAAGACAGCATTGCAATCATCTGCACGTCGCCAATTTGCTCGAAGTGCTCAAAGAGCGCAGGGATAAGCCAATGACCGCCAAATGGATGATCACCCCATTGGATTACCGAGCTTGCGGATTCTTTAGATCGTTGACTCCCTGTGTCGTATGTCAAATCTACAGCGCTATCCTTGCGCTGTATATGTGGTCTCTCCAGGCGATCCAACTCGTACGACATCATCGAGGTTTTACAGTTGTGCAGGATGAGCCTGACAAGTCCCCAGATCCGAGCCAGCTCGTGGTGACCATGATCCAGGGCCACCGCTGCGTTATGGGCACATACGTCGGTGACCTTCCCGCAGATGCGATATTCACTGGCGAGTTCTCGTTTCGCCGGCAGCAGATCGCTGAAGTCGTGGATGGAGATCACATTCTGAGAACCCTCGGACGACTTTGCAGTCATTGCACCAACAGTTGATCGCTGGGAGTTGTCCGTGGAGCGCGGACGGTAAATTCCGAGGCTGCCACCACTTCGCCAGGTCTGAGGTGTCGTAAATCGATGCTGCAGGCCCGATAATATACCGGAAGACCCGGAAGAGCTTGAAGTCTCGGCGTCCGAGTCATCTGAATATTCCGAAGCGCCATCGTCTGTGCTTGCCATCGTGATGGACGTCCGAGGGGGGCCGGGTGAACTTGTTCGTAATCGGCCAAATCCTTCGAAGACTTTGTCTGCTCGTGAGAGCCTGGTCATTTCTTTGAAACCGAGATTCTCCAACCAATTCGATTTGTCCTTCTTCGAAGGGAAGAAGCACACCAGGCGGCCGTCATTGGCCCAAAGCGCGCCGCATCCCTTGGCCACAGGGACCATCACGTTGGCATTTACTGGACGAAGCAATTCGGAGCTCATGCCCAGGTCTTGGCTTTGGGACAGCCCGACTTCGTCTTCGTCGCTAGACTCTTCGCCGCCCAGGTGTCCATTGACGGGGGATTTGATCGTTTCTGCCGTTTCCCCAAGGATCCATGCTATGCTTTCCTCCAAGGTGCTCTCGCCCAACAGGTAGCGCACAACTCCTTCAAGGCACCCTCTTTTTTGGGCAAGGTAAGTTTCGGCGATTGTGCGAAGTTCCGCTAGGATTTTGTCGGCGAGCTGGTCAGTGACAGCGGCAGTTTTCTGTACGCTGAACGTCGGTACGATCGCCCGAGGGTAATCAACGGGGAACTTGATGTCAACTTTCAGGAAGAGAGAGTCACCATCTGCGGCCCATGGTCCATGGAGAGAGATGGTGGCCTTTCGTTGCCTGACGTCAACCGATTCGAAAGCAACCTTGGTAAACTTCTCTCCAACGTGAGTGATCTCGTCACCTAGCGTTTCAATATCCCAGCCTGATATTTTCACTCCCCGCATCCATGCGATAGGATTGGTTTCGTTGCGAACATTTGTTCTTCCCTGCATGCCAATTCTGGAGTCCGTGTTCCCTCCCCCCTGTGTCCAGGCGCGGGCGTATGGAACCGAGATAGTGTTTGTTTTCAAGTTGCGAGACGTCTGTGGCGTAGCGCTTTGCCGAGTGGTGGGCGACAACACCTCCGTATCTTCATCCTCTTGCTCATAACTGATATCCCGGAAAGACCTGTACAGGGCACCCTGGCGTGAGAGATGCAGATTTGTACCAAACGACTTGCCTTTCTCGAAACCAACCCTTTCTAGGACATCCTGGTCTGCTCTGTGCAAGCGAAGCTCTCGATCCGTGCCCCAAGACACTAGCTGGAACTCTCTGTTGTCGACACCATCCGTCACTCCTCCGCGCGCTCGCCACAGAAACTCCTTGACTTGGCCTTTATGCCCTGGAAAGCTATGCACAAGAGGAAGATCCTCAGTGGGGGCAGCGCCATCCCCAGCTCTGCGACTATACAAATGAAGGTCGCTGTTGCCTCTCTGCGGCATGGCCAAGACGCCCCATCCAAAAGGAGTATTCCTCGCCCGCCACACTGGAAACGGTGTCTTAATCACCTTTTCCGGCACCTCTGTGTTCACCGTATAATCCCAGAACTTGATTGTTTTATCCAGAGAGCACGTCACAAGAGCTCCGGGGCGGACCCGGTTCCAATCCACGCCGTAGATCTTAGTGCTGTGCGCTTCGATAGACTTGATAGGATACGCACCCATCCGCTTGTCCCAAATACGCAAGAACTTATCGTGGGAGCTGGCAATGACGTGCGGGTCCTGTCGGTTCCACTTAACCTGAGTAGCTCCAGCAAGCCAGTCGGAAAATGAAATGGCCGGACGTGAAGGCGTCCGCAAATCCCAACAGTGGACGAAGCTGTCTACGGCACAGGTGGCTAGCATGTCTGCGTGATGGGCAGAAAAGTTGATATCGGTTATGGCTCGGGTGTGGGCGTGTAAGACATGTTCAATGGAGTTCTGCGAAGATTGCATAGCCAGGTTCCAAACCAATGCCTTCTGGTTCGACGTACTGACGACCCAATAGTCTCGGATAGAGAACGGAGACCACTGGACATCTGCTACTTCCCATGGGGTGTGATGTGGAAGATACCGAGGTGGAGAATACGGCGAATCCAGATCGATGATGTGCAGTCCCTCCTTGGACGCCAATACCACATCCCGTCCACATGGTGATATTGACATGGAACCGACAGGTTGCTCCACATGAAACGAGCTATCCTCGCCGAACGTCGGGCTCTCAAAGGCCGAAGTCGGGAGCCTGGCTTCATTGAGGTCCACCATTGTTGTGTTGTTCAACCCGGCCTTGAAAGGTGCTCTGGGTTTGTGCTACCTATCGGCTACTACCCACACCCTGGAGATGGAGAAACGTTGGGCTCATAAGACCGGGAAGCGCATTGGTGGGGATAATATATGCGACCATGTAGGATGTTCTCATATCGGTCGGGGTCTTTTGGGACTTCGTCGTCAATTGCGCAGGATAAACAGGACCGAGGGGTTGGTGGCGCGCATGGCACATATGTATGATGGAATACGAACTCTAGAGATGCATGGATCGTCGTAACCTCGTTTGACCAAGAATTGAACGCTACGAGGACACAGGGATTAGCGGACGGAAAAGCCGCGGAGGCGCCAATGGCATACATACCTGCAAGAGAAAGCAAAAGAAAGCCTGAGAGCCAAGGGAGGCACAGGGCCTCTCCGCAAGTCTGGGGTTGGCGAAGGCGAAGGAGGACTAGTTAACTAGTTAGTTAGTGACGGCCGACTTAGTCACGTTGCTGAAATGGTCCGCGCCGCCGCCCGTGCTGACTACGGGGTGCCGGACCCGCCCGAGACGCAGTGCCCCTCGTCGGTTACGTCGTTCCAGATGCCTCTGTGAGTCTCAGTGCTCCGCGTTGAATCTCACCATTTTCCCCCGTTCATCGGCTTGTGGCTGGTGCTATATCGACCTTCTTGCCCCCCAAATAGGAAGCGGAAGAGGTTTCCGCTGCCTTCCGACAACCAAGGAAGATCAGGAGCAGAACCGTAAGCCCCACCTTGGATAAACTCGCAAGCGCGGGGGAGTACGGGAGTACACAGTGCATCCATTAAACATTTCCGCTCAACAGGTTCAAGATGGCGTTGCCGAAGCGAATCATTAAGGAGACTGAGCGCCTCATGGCGGAGCCGTAAGTGGTTCTCCCATCCTAGTGGAGAAATATCGCCGGAATAGAGAGAGAGATCATTGACATGGACGCACGTCATGCTCGCAGAGTCCCTGGCATCAATGCTGTACCCCACGAGGAGAACCTCCGCTACTTCGATGTCTCCATCCACGGACCGGCGCAGTCCCCGTACGAAGGTAAACCTCAAGCGCATACTGGGCTGTCTGGACGGTTGTTTATTGTTCAACAGGTGGCATCTTTCGCCTCGAACTGTTCCTGCCGGAGGATTACCCGATGACACCTCCCAAGATTCGCTTCTTGACCAAGATCTACCACCCCAACATCGACCGCCTGGGGCGGATCTGCTTGGACGTTCTGAAGAGTATGCTTTCCGCGCCCTCCCAGGGAGGATCTCGATGGCTAATCTGTGACTAGACAACTGGTCTCCTGCTCTCCAAATCCGTACGATCTTGCTCTCGATCCAGGCTCTGCTGGGAGCCCCGAACCCGGATGACCCGCTTGCCAACGATGTTGCCCAACGCTGGAAGGAGGACGAGCCGGCAGCGATACAAACCGCGAAAGAGTGGACTAGAACCCATGCGATGACTTAAATGAGACGAGGGGAGAGTTCCACCAGGTTGCTATGAAGACTGTAGGAGCAACAATGGTGTGATGTGACCATGAGCAAAAGTACCGCAACATTCCACCTTCCTGGCATCCCTCTTAGGATAGGCCCCGACTCCCGGAGACCTCTCTTGTCTTGTTATATGCGAAAGCGGATTTTCTTAACGCCCATCTCCGGTTCGTTTCCCCATAAATGCTCATGCATGGCGAAAGAGCTCTTGCTCATCCCAGATGCATGGTATAAGCATATCTTGCCTCCCTCAGGCAACAACTTTGTTTTCCACCTTTCTATATTAGAGTCTTATGCTGCGATAGAATCACAAGATCCCTGTAACCGTTATTCTCCCCTGTTGTCTCGTGGAGGTAGTTCTATTATTCGGTTCGATGCATGCCAGGCTTTGTAGACCTCCAGCATAGATAGAGACATCTTTATGCCGGCATAAATGATCCATACCGATACTTTCATGCTGTATGCCCAGTATTACCGCTCTCAAGGACACTCACTGACGCTTCAGTGAGAAGAAATTAGATGTGCCATCTAAATTTGCTGCAGCTTGATATGTATACCAAAGACTTTAGCGACACATCAATCCCAGCATTTAGTACTTCTTTGGCACAATGTCCTTCTGTGCGCGCAGTGAAATATAGGTTTGAGTAAGGTACTAAATAATTTCCAGACATGGCTCTGTGCTCCCAAGCAATTCACTCTCAACCCATAGTCCCAAACATTATCTTAAGTGAATGTTACTGCAAAAGATATTTCATAACAACAGTAAACCACTGGCCCCCTCCATCCTACCCTTCTCTTTCTCACCCCATCAAACGCCAGATAACCACCACTATTAAGTAGAATAAACCCGTTTTCAAAAACATTGGCTTTCAGCAATCCAAACCCGCCTACACATCTACAAGGCACTCTATCCAACATGCCAAACACCGATAACAACAGTGACGAGAACAACCACAGCGCGCGCAGGTATGATAAGCCCTTCTAGCTGCATCTCACCAGGTTAGGATAGCTAAGACCAGACCTCACCAGCACCTTCACCATGCCTGACAGCCACATGTCTGGAACAAGCGATCCACACATCCCCGAGCAAGACAACTTCGAGGATCTGGACATGTCAGAATTGGAGCAGCTTACCAACCTCACCGAGCAGGTAGAAAGCGCGTTCTGCATTACGGAAGACAGCTCTTTCACGCTGCTCTCTGCCCCCGGTAACAACGAAAACCGGGCACCAAGCCAGCAAGCTGGACGAGAAAACGGCGGCACCTCTCTGGATCCCTCACAACACTCTCAGCATAATCACTCTCTCCCACCACATTCCTACCATCTAGACATACCCAAAATACCCGACCTACCATCTCCACCCTATACATCCGAGTCCCTCGACCTCGTCAGTAGAGTCCCAGCTGGTCCCGAGCTAGTCGGGATTCTGAAGAAGAGCCGCGACAAGAGGGAAAGCAAGAAGGTGAAGTTTGCATCCTCGCCTCCTGGGAAGGTAGTGAAACGCTACCGATCGGGCCAGGGTAAGACTTTTTCGCTGGGTGGGCTATACCATGCAGTGCAGTGATGGCTGATTCGGGGAATGTGTAGATAATCTCGGTAGCTTGGATCTCATATGTCGTCGTCTCAAGGCTGGAAATGCGTGGCGTCTTCGAGACTTCGGTTCTCGGGGGTGGCCCGCGGGGGGGGACTGCAAATGAGAGAGCTTAGGTTGGGCAGGCATGGATGAATGATATGATATTGTTGCACTGATCATGAACATAGAAAATAACATGGCATGGACAATTCCCGACCACGGGTGACCGTGGCTTCGATGTGGGAAGTCAGTAACATCTGTCAGCGTCGACCCGCAAGCTGCCAACAGTAATGACAATGACCTAGCTCTGTCAGATACTGCTCCAGCGATCCTCGGACAGCGCACAGAGGGAAGAGCGTAAAGTATATGGAATAATCCAGACCTCTGATGCGCCAGCTGCCGGCACACATGTCGGGCTCCAACAAAATCTCGTATAGCTTGAAGTCGCAGGACCAGAAGAGATACGCAAGCTGTCTTGATACCACGGGACCTTGTATGAAAGTCTAGAGCGCTTCTCTCTATGCTCGGTGTATAGGATTGCGGACAGCACTTCTGCCTGTACTCTGAATATCGGCGCAAAATATCCAATGAAAAGTATCAAGCGAGCCATCACTTCCCTCTATAGTATAGAGCATATCATACTAACAATGAGCATGCTTATGTAGAAGTATAGGACAGATCCCCGCGCAAAAACGACTGGCAGCAGTAGACACCATCGCCAAGGCAATTATACGATGTGATCGTAAGATTGAAGCCTGAAAAGTAGGAATAAGCACTTATCCTTTTATCTGGTACGAATTACTCATGAGGCTTAAGCTGGAGAGAAGGAAGGAAATCCGTGATAATTGATCATTCCTGAAAGAATATAGAATACGAGTGTTTCGATCAAAATGACTGAAAAAGACGAGGTTGGTTAAAAGCATAACCACAAAACAGATCATTCCGGATATTAAAAGCCTAAACCCCATCAACTTCCTTTTTTTAAGAACAATCCCTTATGCCATCGACCATGTCGAAGTTGAAGCGGAAGAACCCAACCGCCAAGGGCAGGGGCGGTCACGTGGGGCCAGTCGCTTAGCGAGGCTCCGCACCGCACCACCACAATTGTGACAGACTCGCGCAACAGCCTCGCCGCAGACGACCGCTTCGACCTCAACCACCCAACGCCAACCGACAATATCCCGGCTGCGCATCTCAGACGTTCAAGATGCGTACCTACGACGATTCTTTCAGCGGTCAGAAGATCTACCCCGGAAAGGTGCGTTTACATGTCCCATGTCGCCAAAGGAGAGAAGAAGAAGGAAATCGACCCACGATTCCGCGCCCGCGCCCATCACCACCACGAACTCCAAAATTGAAACACGCCAATATTGAAATTTGAAATTGAAACATATATATACATATATATATATATATGGGAACATATCCGTTGACGAATGCATTTTTGCAATCTTTATAGGGTAAGCTGTACGTCCGTGGCGACAGCAAGATCTTCCGCTTCCAGAATGGAAAGTCCGAGTCCCTCTTCCTCCAGCGCAAGAACCCCCGTCGCATCGCCTGGACTGTCCTCTACCGTCGCCAGCACAAGAAGGGTATCTCTGAAGTCAGTAACCGCCGTTTATTCCTCCCGTTTGTTTTGTCTGCCGTTTGGGTTCAAGAGGGGGATATGATATATATGTCCATCCATGTATATGACCGATGGGCTCTGGTTGGGGGTTATTGCATGTCGACATGAGTGTGCTATATGTCATTGTCACGGGACATGATAATATGTTGGATGAGGGGAATTAATGAATGGATGGACGGATGAACAAGCAGAGAACCACACAGGCACGCGTGCTAGGAGGACCATATGCTGACGGGACATGATTTGTTCAACAACAGGAAGTTGCCAAGAAGCGCACTCGCCGTGTCGTGAAGCAGCAGCGTGCCATCGTCGGAGCCTCCCTCGACGTGATCAAGGAGCGTCGTGCTCAGCGCCCCGAGGCCCGTGCCGCCGCCCGCCAGCAGGCCATCAAGGACGCCAAGGAGAAGAAGGCCGCCAACGAGAGCCGCAAGAAGGCCGAGAAGGCCAAGTCCGCCGCCTCCGGTGCCAAGGCCACTGGCCAGCGCATCCAGAGCAAGCAGGGTGCCAAGGGTTCCGCCCCCAAGGTCGCTGCCAAGTCTCGTTAAAAAAAGAAAACCTTTTCCATATTCACCAACCGACGAACGGAATAGAAGCGGTTCTGGCTTGGGCTGGGGGGGAAGTAGTAGGACAGACAGAGAAGAAAATGGGAATGAGAGGATTTTTGGGCGGTTAGATCAACCCCCGGCAATGCGTTTAAAAAAAAACCTTTTCCTTTTTTTTAATACGTATATCGAATCCCGCCCCTCCCATCTACGAATTTTTTTTTCGGCGTATGAGCGATTTGAGAGGGTGTTTGTCCTCCCCTCAGATAGGTCGTCTTATCATTATTGCGCCCATTGGTACCCCTTCCTATTTTACCCCCCCAGAAAAATGGAAAAAATGGATGTGATATGATGGTCCCTGTTTTAATTGCTTTCTCTCTCTCTCTTTCCCTCTCTCTCTCCCTCTCCCCGCGGTTTTCTCCGCTTCTAGATCTGTAGACTCGGCTCGCCCCCCTCTGGCCTCCGCTGGAATATTAATGTAATAATGCGTCATATATATATATCTCTCTCTCTCCCTCTTGCCGTTCCGCCGGGCTCTGATGATCTCATCATCTACCCCTGCCTCGTATAGCTTCAGCAATATACTAGTATGTCAATAGTGGTTAAAGATCTCCAACCAATACGGATACGGATACGGATGTCGGATATGCCATTGCCGGGGCATGGACTCTGCCGTCATCGTCTCGCTGGAATGGAATCTGATTACATAACACGAAACAAGAACCGTAGGGCTCAAACCTACACTAGCCGCTTCGGGGCGTCGACCCTTGCCCGTTATGCCTGAAGAATCCCTCAGGCAGTAAGGTGTCGAGTCCTGCCCAGCAACAGCAACAGCGGTCTACTTACTTACTACTCCGTACTACTGTATGTAGTTACTCCGTCCGTAGTATGGAGCCCGGCCCTCAATTCTTATAATCCCAAGTCCAGCCCGCAATGCACGCCAATGTAATATAAATATACGCGACAGCTACCTACCTATATTACGGGGTTGTTTCGGCATGTCTCATACATATGTCAATATCCCGTCTCTTTCCCAACTGACTGTACTATCAGTTCGTTAGGTAAGTAGGTAGGTAGGTAGTTATTGATACAATACATCAGATACAGTCAAGTCAAGTCAAGTCAACAAACAAACCCCGAGCCCAGTTTCTATGTATGTATGCATGTATGTGAACGCCAAAACAGACAGACACACATATCAAGAACAAAAAGAAGGAACCCCGAAAAAAAAATAAAACAAAAAAACAAGACACTGTAATTACTATATTATTCCCGGCTATACGCGTATTTAGTAGTAGTGAGCCATCTCCAGGCCGGCGCGCTTGAAGCCGCACTTAAGGTAGAAGCCCTCGTTGGTCTCGGAGCAGTCGAGGATACTCTGTAGTATGACGTTAGCTTCCATTCCATCTTTACATGATTCACATCATATAAAATAGCGAAAGTGGAAGAAGAAGAAGAAGAAGAAGAAGAAGAAGAAGAAGAAGAAGAAGAAAGAAGACAAACATACCTTATAACACCCCACCTCCTTCGCCACGAAATCCAGGGCCTGAATAATCCTCAGTCCCAGCTTCTTCCCCTGCTGATTCTTCTCGACCGCAATATCCTCAATGTGTCCGACCATACCCAGCGAGTGAATGAACTTGCGCTCGACGATCAAGCTGCCCGTGCCCACGATGCGGTCCTCGCCGTCGCACACCACAAGCAGGTAGTACTCGTCGTTGCGGGACGAGATCCAGTCGTAGCGCTTGTTCCACTGCTCCTCGCTGATGTCGCCGACCGTGGTCAGCACCCGCAGCACGTCCAGGTAGCCGAGCTTGTAGTCGGAGCGGCGCATCGGGCGGATGCTGTAGTTTTCGGGCAGCAGGGCGGCGACTTCGGGGGAGATGAGGGTCGTGGGGAAGAGGGGGGCGTCCGCGGAGGAGGAAGGGGAGGGTTTGGTGGCCGGGCGGCAGCGGTGGTGGTGGTGTTGGTCATTTTGAAGGTCGGTGGTGGGAGGGTGGTAGGTGAGGAGGTAGGGAGGGAGGGAGGGAGGTGTATCTCTTGGTTGGGGGGAGAAAGTGGTTGTGGTGGGCGAATTCGATGAAGGGATCCCGGGTACGAGGCGGGGTCAATTCGTTTTGATCGTATCTTTTCTTCTGGAAAGACAGACTCAAACAGAAATCCAGTGGACTGGGGACAGAGGCTTTTTCAACGAGGGTGAGGGGAGTTGAGGGAGGAGAAGAGAAGGAGGGAGGGGGTGGAAGAGAAGACAGGTCAGGTCAGGTCCGTCATGGCAGGAGGGCGAGGCGCAAGTAATAAACATGCCGCAAAACCGCGCCGGGACCATGTTGATTGATTGATTGATTATTGCTGGGCCCGCCTGAGACAACCCCAACCATGGCGTTCGCCTTCCCCTGACCCAGCATTATTATTCTCAATTGGTCCGTCGACAAGTCAGTTCCCCCTACGCCATGCTGTCATGGGCAATGGGAATAAAATTTCAGTCTATTACCACCATGTACTTCGTCGGCTTCCAAACCCCCTCCATAGTAGTTACTACTAGTCCATACCAATGGTTGCCCGCCGTGGCCGTGCATGGGATCTGGTGGCTCCCGCAGCTTTCCAAAAATAGCACGTACGGGGTCAGCCCCGAGATCATTCGGAGGCCTAAGGACGGCCGGAGTGTTTAATGCAAAAAAAAAAAAAAAAAAAAAAAAAAAGAACTCAGAAAAAGACCAGTAAGGACATGGCTGAACAATGAAATCGTACAGTGGTATTTCTTGAGTGTACATATATCTGAAAAGGCTAAAGCTAGGTAGTCTTCGCTAAACGGCTTCCCTACAAGCTAACCTGCCAAAGCATCCCCTCCTCGCTCATCAAATGATTCGTCTATACATTTATTTGTGCTCCTTGGGGCTCAGCATCAGCTCCGGGCGGACGTACTTGTCGAAGTCCTCCTCGCTCAGAGCCTTCAGCTCCATAGCACTCTGCTTGAGAGTGAGGCCCTTCTTGTGGGCGTTCTTGGCGACCTTGGAGGCCATGTCGTAGCCAATGACGGGGTTCAGGCAGGTGACCAGCATCAGACTGCATCGTGGTTAGTCCTGGTTCAAGATAGACTGGATAAGGGACGGGGTACATACCTCTCGTGGAGGAGAGCGTTGATTCTGGTCTCGTTGGCCTCAAGGCCGTGCACCAGGTTCTTCTCGAAGCTCTTCATGCCATCGGACAGGATGCGCACGCTGTGCAGCAGGTTGCTGATCATGACGGGCTTGAACACGTTGAGCTCGAACTGGCCGTTCATGCCGCCAACGGTGGCCGCGACGTGGTTACCCATGACCTGAGCGCAGACCATGGTGAGGGACTCGCACTGGGTGGGGTTGACCTTTCCGGGCATGATGGAGGAACCGGGCTCGTTCTCGGGGAGGTTCAGCTCGCCCAGACCGCAGCGGGGACCCGATCCGAGGTAACGGATGTCCTGGGCGATCTTGAAGAGGGAGCAAGCCAGGGTGTTCAGGGCACCAGAGGCCTCGACGATGGAGTCGTGGGCGGCCAGGACCTCGAACTTGTTGGGGGCGGTCTTGAACTCGGTGCCGGCGAGCTTGGTGACCTCAGCGGCGATGGCCTCGTCGAAGCCCTTGAAGGTGTTCAGACCAGTGCCGACAGCGGTACCACCCTGAGCCAAGAAGCGGAGGTGGGGGAGGCTGGTCTGGACGCGCTCAATGTTGCGGTCCAGCTGAGCGACATAGCCGGAGAACTCCTGGCCAAGGGTGAGAGGAGTGGCGTCCTGCAAGTGGGTACGGCCGATCTTGATGATCTTCTGGAAGGCGTCGACCTTGACCTGGAGAGCATCGCGCAGGCTCTTCAGGGAAGGGAGCAGGCGGTTCTCGAGCTCCATGACGGCAGCGATGTGCATGGCGGTGGGGAACGAGTCGTTGGAGGAGGCGGACATGTTGACGTGGTCGTTGGGGTGAACGGGCTTCTTGCTACCCTTCTCACCACCCAGGATCTCGATGGCACGGTTGGAGATGACCTCGTTGGAGTTCATGTTCGACTGGGTGCCGGAACCGGTCTGCCAGACGACGAGGGGGAAGTGGTCGTTCAGCTTGCCCTCGGCAACCTCAGCGGCGGCCTGCTTGATGGCCTCACCGATCTTGGGGTCTGTTCGCAGGTTAAGATCGATCGACGCCCTCTCGTCTCAGTCGAGGGTGGCTTACCAAGGCCATACTTCATGTTCACGGTGGCGGCAGCGCCCTTAAGGATACCGAAAGCCTTGACGACAGCCTCGGGCATGCGGTCCTGGGGCTGGTTGATGTCGAAGTTGCCCAGGGAGCTATTGTCGCATCAATCAGCATCCTCCCCTCCTTCCTGTTGTTCGCATGTCCATCCGAATCGGGTTCTTACCGCTGGGTCTGGGCACCCCAGTACTTGTCCGCGGGGACCTATAGCAGGACTTTGTTAGCAATGGATTCCGCGTACCGCATTTCCATGGTGTGCACATACCTCGATCGGGCCGAAGGCATCGGTTTCAGTACGAGTGGCCGAAGACTATGTGACAATAACCGATCAGCACAGGGTCTCCATACCGAGGTCGGTCGCAACGAGAGGGCTGGATGCGACAGTCGCACGAGATTATGAGGCCATGAGGAGCCTTCTTCCCTGCAATTCCGATCGACCAAAAGGCGGGAGGTCCTACCATTCTGACGGTGGTGCCGAACGCTCTCTTGGAGGCGATAGAGGTCAAAGACTGAAAGCGGGGGCATTGAAGAGTACGGCTGTTGGAGCTCAACAGGCGGCGGGAACCGAGAGAGGGGAAAGCCACGGCAGCGCGGACAGCCGCGGGGGAGCTGGCGGACACTCGAGTGGCAGCATGTGTTAGGGAGGCCATCGAGCGCACCGCGGCTCGGGAGGAGTTGGCAGATGTCAACATGACGACGGCTGTGTTCTGCTCGTCACGCGCGTTAGTCAGGGGATTGAGGGCACCAACGGGACAACCTTTGGGGTGTGATCACCGGGGGAGATCTGGGGAAGAGGGGGTTATACATACTTGAGAAGGAGGGGAACAAGGAGAGAGGCTTGATTCAACGATTCTACCCAAATCTGGGGACGGACGACAACAGAAAAGCAGAAGGACAACCGGGCATATTTAATCCACTCCAGTCTTTTCCGATACCGCCTGCCGAAATCTCCCGGCCCGGTACCGTCCTGACGCTGGCTGACGCCGGTTACCCGCGTGGTCCCTGGCCCGCCTGGTACGGTACGGTCACGATTATCGTCGGATAAACCATGATCCTGGGCCTCTCCGCATCTCCAACAGCAACTAAACCAAATCGAACGAAACATACATGATGTCTGCTTCACCATCCCCCCCCAACCGCAGCATCCTTTCGACCGAGTCTCTCTATATTCTATCTAACGAGCTCCTTCTGCATCGCCTCAATCACCTTCGCATTGTATACCCGTCCGCACTCCAGAATGCCATCCAGCGCAGAAAACGTATGCGGTGCTCCCGCCATCCGCAGCAGCTCCACCTGACACCCGGCAGCTTTCAATTTGGCGGCGTACTGCTCGCCCTCATCCCGAAGAGGATCCATTTCAGCGGTGAAAACCAAGGCGGGTGCCAACCCCGAAAGGTCGGGGGCTACAATGGGAGAAATCTTCCAGTCCTGAATATGTCTCATGTCAGCGACTTGTCTTTCGCAGGCACGCATGAGCATGGACACGCACCTCCTCTGAACTGGCTGGCCGGGGCACCCCCAGGAAATGTCTATGGAAATAGGCCATCCGTGCCATGGGAAGGGCCGTGGTGAACTCCATCTCTCTATACGAATCATACGGACAATTGGCGCGATCGAACCGGCCATCGGGGGTGAACGCGCCGAGTAGATCACACACGGGCACGTTGAGCACCTGCAGGCGCAACGGGATGCTAGCATTGCGGCAGAGAAGCGCGATCACCGCTGACAAGTGACCTCCAGCTGAACAGCCGCCGACCGCCATCCGATCCGGGTCGACGTTGAACTCCTCGTCGGTTTACGGTCGTCATATGTACCTGGCGCATGCACGGGAACTCATGGCTAACCCAATTGAATGCGGTCCAACAATCGTCCAGTGGGATGGGATACTTGTGCTCGGGTGCCAGCCGGTAGTCGATATCGAACGCGACCAAGTGCCCGTCTAGACCGTCGACGACTCTCTTGCAGAAGTCATGGTCGACCGACAGGTCACCGAACACCCAGCCCCCTCCATGGAAGTTGACAGGTCTGCTCCGTAATGCGAAAGACATCCGGGCCCACCGCCCGGCCGTAGTTGGTGATGTACTTGGCTGGGTCTTTCCGGAACTTCTCAATGGGGACCTCGTGCGTGTGTAGCCTCCCCGCATTGTACTTGTTGTAGTGTTCGACGTAGACGGGGTCGAACCGAGAGAGCAATTCCGGAGGGATACTATTATGCAGTGGCTGCAGGATGGTCTTGGGGCGGAGGTCCCGCAAGGTCTTTTCGTCGAGCGTAGCCATGTTGGAGCGGGCAGGTTTAAGATATGTGCCAAAATTAAGATACCAGGCGAGAGCTGGGATGCGCCTAAGTAGTTAAGGGCCCCGATACTGCGAACCCTCTTGGGTGCTCGGTCCGTTATCAGTGGCCGATCGGGCAGCGCGATCCGAGTCTTATTATTATTATGATTAACTTTGTGACACTCTCCTCCCTGTTGTACACGAGGCACGAGGTATGATTATCTCGAGAGTGATGATGATGATGATGTCTTCACAACCCTCCGCTAGCAATAATAAGCTGCGATACCCGCTCGGTTATTGCCGGGTAACGCAGCACGGCCATCCCGCCGACTCTCGTCCGATCCTATCCGCTCCCTCTTCACTTCCTCCCACTCGATAGTACAAGATTTGAAGATAGACACGGCGACTTAGGTAAGTGTTGCTTTTTCCTATCATTAGCCAGTATACGCAACAGATATCGAGATAGACATGGGGAGCTGACAGCCTCTCGTCACGCTAGTGCCACGGATGACCCCTCCTACCTCCAACTCAAAATGGGCAGAGCAAGACAGTGAAAAGAGGTCAGCCATCAATTCGGAGGCCGGGAACTCAGCGTCTGAGCCAGTCTGCTCGACCATAATGGCCCGAAAGCTGGGAGGCTGAGGGCTGAGACGATACGATATCCTCCGCGGCCCTCCAGCAGTCCAGCCTGCCATTCCCTGCCTCCTGCCTCCTGCCTCCAGGCACGAACCCGGGATGGCGTCCTGGTCGTTCCCAAGTGTTCCCATCCTCTGGGTCGACCCACTCCTTGGTGCCTCTTGGTCCCTCTTCAGGAACCTTCACTAAGCGGACTTTTCCGCCCTCCAGCAGTGGCGAGACAAGCAAAAATCAGACGAGGGGAACCGGCAGCCAGACGGCGGCGGGTATTTAGGCTAGTCGTGGGCGATATCGGCCGATCCCCAGGGCTGCTGCTGCATCTCGGAATTATTTCTATTGACTCATGCGCCGATCCACCTTTCGCTTACCCCTTCAAGCAGCCCGTCATTCCTCCTCTGTACATACCTGTCTCAATTCTTGACCACTCTTGAGTCCCCAACTCGCATCTTCTCCCAGGTTCGATCCCCCTTGCTCCACCTTTGGCACAAACCCGATCCCTCCCTCCCGTCTCATCTACTAGTCTGTAAAAAACTTATCGACTGCCCCTCCTAATCTATATATCAATCCAGAACCCCTCCAACTCCATTGGAATTCAGGAGTTTTCTCCCCCACGAACCCTCTCTCCATCCGATCTCTGACCCCTACACATCATTATCACCATGTCCATCCTCGACCTGGCTCCGCTCCCGGCGGATGAGATCTTCGCCCTGAACCGCGAATACTTCAACGACTCCTTCCCCGAAAAGGTCAGCCTCGGAATCGGTGTCTACCGCACGGATGACGGCAAGCCCTGGCCTCTGCCCGTCGTGCGCAAGGCCGAGCAGCAGTTGCTCGCCGAGGACAACCTCTTCCGCCACGAATACACGGCCATTGAGGGCGACATCCCCTTCCTCGAGCTGGCTCGGGACCTGATGTTCGGCTTCGACGGCAAGAACCTCTGCGAGGAGCAAAAGGCGCTGAAGGGCCGCATTGGCTCCGTCCAGGCCGTGGCAGGAACCGGCGCCAACCACCTGGGTGCGCTCTTCCTCGCGCACAAGATGAAGCCCAAGAACGTCTGGCTGTCCAACCCCTCGTGGGCCAACCACGTCACCATCTGGGACCTCGCCGGCGTCCCCGCCAGACCTACCCCTACTACAAGGCCGAGACCCGCTCCTTCGACTTCGACGGCATGATGTCCACCCTGGAGGCCAACGCCCAAGAAGGCGACGTGATCCTCCTGCACGCCTGCGCCCACAACCCCACCGGCCTTGACCCCAGCAAGGACCAGTGGAAGGCCATCGCCGACCTCTGTGACCGCAAGAAGATCTTCCCCTTCTTCGACTCCGCCTACCAGGGCTTCGCCTCCGGTTCCGTCGAGGAAGACGCCTGGGCCGTCCGCTACTTCCTCCACCAGAAGCCCCACATGGAGATGTGCGTCGCCCAGAGCTTCTCCAAGAACTTCGGTCTCTACGGCCAGCGCGTCGGCGCCTTTCACTACGTCCTCCCCGACGGCTCCCAGAACCTACGCGATCTCGTCGTCAACAACCTCTGCCATCTCATCCGCGGTGAATTCTCCATGGGTCCCACCGGCGGTTGCACCATCGTCAAGAAGGTCCTCACCAGCGAGACCCTCGCCCCGCAGTGGCACGAGGACCTGAAGGTCATGAGCTCCCGCATCAAGGCTATGAGAACCGCTCTTTACGATGAGCTCGTCAGACTCGAGACCCCTGGAACCTGGAAGCACGTCATCGAACAGGTACTTCACTTCCTCCTACCCCTCCTCCTCCCCCCCCCCTCCCCAACCCCGCTTCTTCCAACCCAGTCAGTCACTAACATATTCACCAGAACGGCATGTTCTCCTACACCGGTCTCACCCCCACCCAGGTCCAGGCCCTGAAAGAAAACTTCCACATCTACCTCCTCAGCTCCGGCAGAGCCTCTATCAGCGGCTGTAAGTTCAAGCTTGCTTCTATCCCAACCCTCTCCAATCCCATATAAAACCATATTTAGTCAGTCAGTCAGTCAGTCCCACTAACAAATCCCCAAACCAGTGAGCCAGAAGAACGTCTCCTACGTGGCCCAGGCCATCGACAACGTCGTCCGCAACGTCAAATAGATGCATACATGCATGTATACATAGCCCGCGCATGCATCATGGGGAGAGAAAAAAAATGAAAGAACATGGGATACAAACAAACAATACTCTAGCGGAGGGGGATTGACTCCTCGCCCTACATGTTTACCTTTCTACCTACATACCTACCTACGCATACCTACCTACGCATACCTACCTACGCATACCTACCTACCCACCTACCTACCTACCCTCATACTCGACACACACAACACACACAACACACACATATACACAAATCACGCGCATCAGCGAAACGACCTAGAATTTTACTTCACGAAGAAATGCATGTGAGATGATGGCCACTGGATTCTTTTTGGAGGAAGGGGAAGATATGCTATTTTTTTTTCTTTGTTGGAAGAGAAGAAGCTAGCCATGTTTGATTGGGATTGGGATTGGTTGGCTGGATAGAACCGATCTACCTTATCTACCTAGTACCTACCTATCTACTACCTACTACTTGGAATTTCACGCTTGATCAACTCAAGAAATACATACTACAATCACAATCACAAATACAATCACAATCACAAACACAAACACAAACATGGAGACAGAGACAGGTACATAGACAGTTACAGAGACAGAGACAGAGATAGAGACAGAGTGGTTACTGTACAAGTTACCTGGTATTCTATTTCTTATCATAAGAAGACGGGAGAAGACGTTTAATCTCATCTCACAAGAACACGGGTACTAAAAAGGAAGAAATGAAAAAAAAAAAAAAAAAAAAGATGAAATGAAATGTAACATACACCCGGACAAGGCCATCCATCCATCCATCCATTCATCCGCCCAGGGGGGTAAAAAAAACAATAACTCATACGGACGGGGGATGAAGGGAACATAAAGGTAAGGGTAACGGTAACGGTAAAGGTAGTAACGGTATTGGATATACACTCATGACGCTAGTAGTCAACTGGGAGAATGGGAGAATCGTGGGATGTGGGTAGAGAATAGGTATAGGGAGGGAGGGAGAGAGGGAGAGAGGGAGAGCATCAAACAACCCGGGGGAGGTGGGGGAGGGGATTACAGAGGGACCTCGTTGAAGTCGCCTTCTTCTCCGCCCTCTTTTGACTTGCGCTCCTTCGCTTTGCTACTTGATGAATCCTCCTCCTCCTCCACTTCCTCTTGCTCTTCCTCTTCCTCTTCCTCTTCCTCTTCCTCTTGCTCCTTGGCCTTCGCTGCCTCGTGCTCGTCTTCGTTCTGGTCTGATTGGGCGGGCGAGCTGTTCTCTTCCGCGTCCGCATCCGCGTCCTTCTGTGGCGGAGGCGGCGGCGTCTCATGTTCTCCATTCTGCTCACCTGCTTCCATGTTCTCCTTCTCTTCCTCCTCATTGTCGTCCTCATCCTTCGGGGGAGGTGGCGGGGGCGGCAACTCGTCCCCCTCGCCCTCATCCGACGAAACCTCCTTCTCCTCCGCGATAGGCTGACCCGTCATTTCCGCACCCGGGAACGGAGTCACAGGGGGTTCGACAGGCTGGTCACCGTCCTGCGGGGACTGTCTGGAGGGAGTCTGGAGCTGGTTCTGCGAGGGCGCAAGGGTATTGGAGGTAGCGGTAGAAACTGTGCGCTGATGCTGCGTGGAACTCGTAATCGGACCCAGATGTCTGGCCTTGGGATCGGCATTCAGATAATACCCACGGACACTGACTATGGTGCCTTCGGCCTCACAGGCATCGACCCACTCCGGCACGACAACAGGGATATTCATCTCGACGGCCTTCTCCCACAGCGGGCCGCGACCCTCGGTGCACACGAAATGGGTGGTATCGATGCGAACGGTATCGATGAGTTTACCCCCGATGCGGTCGAGGGCGGTGGCCAGGGCGTCTTTCTGCTGTGGGGGTAGCACGCCCGCCGTGACGGTGATGCCGGAGAGATCGGTCATCTTGTGCGTGCGGCAGGTGAGCTTCTCCGACTGGTAGGTGCCGGCGGTGGTGCGCAGGACCAGATGGAAGGTGTATTCGGTGTGGATGGCCAGGCCGCTGATCTTGGTGCTGCGGGTTTCGAGCGGGCGGGGGATGGACCCGGCTTTGGAGCCATTGCGGTATAGGGAAAGCGATTTCAGGGAGGCCGTGGCGAGGTCGATTGGGTCCCATTCGAGGACGAGCGAGGTTTGCGTTGCGTTGCGGAGGCGCAGGATCGGGGGCGTGGGTGTCTTGATGCCGTACGTGTTGAGGATGCGCTTCTGCAGCGTTTGGAAGCTCGCGGCGCTGCTGGTTTCCGCGACGTGGTTGCGCGCGACCGTGATATCGACGATGCTGCCGGAGGTGATGTTGTTGGGCAGGAGGACGGAGGGGAATTCGATCTGTTGTGAGGTTGAAGGCGGTTAGGAGGTGGTTGGGGTTGGTTGGGAGTTGGAGAGTGGATCGGGAAGGGGAGGGGATGGGGAGGGGATGGAGTGGGAAGGAAAGTGAAGGGATGGGATGGGATGTTGTGCAGATGTCGTGCGTCAATGGCTGCAGGCGATGAATGGATGGACGTGGATGGCTTACCAGCCTGTTGTCCTGAGTCAAGAGCACGGCGACTCCGGCGTCTACCTTGCCGACGGTCAAGGATACCAACATCGTGGATGGCTGGGAGGAGAGATTCAGGGATGGCGCATCAAAGAACGGACGAGTCTGGGGGGTGGGGGGGTCAAGGCGAGGAAGATTGGCGAGGGGGAGTCGGAGAGGTCGGAGGGAGAAAGGAGAGGCAGTGCAGGAGGCAGAGAGGAGATGATGGTTGAATGTTGTTAGTTGTTGTTGTTGTCTTCGGGCTGAATGAAGATCGGCCGGTAGCGAAAAGCCGCCAAGGAGGCCCGGCCGCGTGGTCTTTGGCCCGGCTGGAAGAATACATACATCAGTAGTAAGTATCCTGCTGCCTGTCTGACTCTGTCATGGACGACCATCTACGCATGGCTGACAGAAAACTAACTGCTGCATGTCTTGCGTCTTGCGCACCCCGGTCCTCGCAAGGGATCTCTGTAGTAAGCCGTTCTACAAATAAATAAATATACAATCCGTACTACCCGTCCACGCAGAACATCAACTTCATCCGTCAGTGCCTTGAATTCCTCGCAGTCCAGTCATATACTAGTACACTGCTCATCTCGATCTGCCTCGAATTCTGATCCAGTCCGGCATTTTGCGTCGGCCGCTTATATAGTCCGGCATCCATCTTTTTCTTGTGATTTACCAATGCACTCACCCCAACATTCATCTCCCTCTGCAGAACATCAAATGGCATCTGAGCGATCGGCTCCTTAAGTGCCAGATCCAGCGTCCCTGTCAACCCGCTTTGCCTCCAGTCCAGGTCCTGAGTCTTATCCCCGATCCTTCTCCCCTCCCCATCAAACCCATGCTCCTTCAGCGCCAGCCGGAAAGCCAGCCGGGCTCTCCGGCAACAATGTGCCCGCACCACCCGCCGCAGGTTGCTTAACGCGGATGAAATGGCCTGCCACCATAATGTTTTATCGCGGGTCGCGTACATGTGTCTGATCTTGGGTTGGATGACATGAGGTTCTGCAAGGTACCGTTGGGCGATCCAGGATGTCTTGTGCTTGGAGGTATAGCGCATCACGAATGCCTCGGTCTTGTGTAGCATCACCATGGCGAAGGATGATGATTCGACTCTGTAGACCATAGAATGGATAGCGCGGGATACAGTCACCCCGTCGTCGGGGCTTGAATGGTTTGAGACTTGAGTCGATTAGCACCGGGATATTATGCGATCATGGACTGGTCCGAGGAGAAGATAGCCAGCTCTTCTAGGAACGAGGGAATGGGGTCGTGGTCGTGGTCGTGGTCGTGGTTGTGAGCAGCAGACTGGAGATAAGCGGAGAGACACAGACAGCCTGAAGGTAGATGTAAATCAAACGCCTTTAACAGTCGAGTCTCAAGAGTCTGTCTCAACCTGACCATCCCCGAAAAGAAGCACTTTCGGCGAACAGCCGATTCTGCCCGCGGGCGGTCTGACAACCCCTTGCTGATTGGCCGGCCCCTGGTGACTCGCCTCAGGCTACTACCCGACGATCAGGCGACGATCAGGCTGCAACCAGGCAGGATTCAGGCGCCGACGCCACCGGCGCACGGGTGCTTACCTCAGCCGACGAAAAGCCTCGAAATCGCTTGCCCCCCACTTCCTCCTCTTCTGGTCCCCAGGGACATCATTCGATCTCTCCTCTTCTTCCCCCTTCGAACATCTCCTATCGTATCGAGTGGCAGACCACCGCGGTTAGCGAGATTTCAACATGCCCAAGAACAAGGGAAAGGTGAGATTCTGCAGCCTTCTCCTCCCCCCTCCCCCATGACCACCCCCGCTTTACAGATTTTCGCTCTTCAGGCTGCTGCTGCTGCTGCTACGGCGGCGGCTGCTGCTCTGGACGCTCTCTCGCCACCGTACACCCTCCTATGATGGCCTCTCAAGCCCGAAAAGAACGGATGCGATGGCAGAGAGATCAGTCCAGAGTATCGCCAGCAACTCTAAACCATAGCCACCCATACACACCACCACGTCACCCACACAAAGAAACACGAGAGAGAGAACCACTCGCTAACACACAATCCAACCAAACAGGGCGGTAAGAACCGTCGTCGTGGAAAGAACGAGAACGACAACGAGAAGCGTGAGCTCGTGTTCAAGGAGGAGGGCCAGGAGTACGCGCAGGTCGTGAAGATGCTCGGCAACGGCCGTCTGGAGGCTCTCTGCTTCGACGGCGAGAAGCGTCTCGCTCACATCCGCGGCAAGCTCCGCAAGAAGGTCTGGATCAACCAGGGCGACATCATCCTTCTCTCGCTGCGTGACTACCAGGACGAAAAGGGCGACGTCATCATGAAGTACACCGCCGACGAGGCCAGAAGTCTCAAGGCCTACGGTGAGCTGCCCGAGCACGCCAAGATCAACGAGACCGACACCTACGGTCACGAGGGCTTCGAGGACAACGTCGAGTTCGACGAAGACCGCGAGTCCGAAGACGAGAAGGAGATCGATGTCGACGACCTCTAGTCTGCCTCTCTTTGGCGAGATCTCGTACCCCTGCCTGGAGCGCCCTGGGTTTCGGTTTCGGTCGCTTGCCCTTTTTTCTCTCCACTCGTTCCAAAGCTTCTTGTTTTGTTCCTTCCTCATAGGGGGGCATGGTGGACCTCATCGAACCTCTATCCTTCCACAAAAGCTATCACTTGCTAGGGATAGGAGAGTTTCGACGACTGGTTCTTGGGCCTCGTGTGCCCTGTACTAGTAGGGGTTTCCTCCCTCTCCTCCCCGGGAGGGTCCTCGAGAGAGAGAGAGATTAGGGCAGCAAAGTCTCCCCGCTTCGCGGAGGCGCTCGCTTCAAACTGCGCCCGGCGCGGCTCCAAAAAAGTAATTCAAGGGTATGGATCATTGACAGGGGTACACCTGGGGTGTCTCCACGAATGAATGAGGATAGATTGGTTCATTTGTTTTCTCTCTTCTGGTCATGAAATCCTGTTTCATTGTGAGAGGCGTTCTCGGGTCTAGCTACAGAAGAATAGCCTGATGCGGAAAATCAGGGCCGGCTATGTATGTATGGTTACGGCCTATGTCGTGTTGGCGATTCTTGTGTCTGCTCCCTGTTTTCTTTTTTTATTATTCGTGTTTCCTTTTTCATTTCTTTGCTCCTCTGTTTTTGAAAAAACCTGGATGATAGATTTATGAAAGGGCTACGAATATTAAATTTCTCAACCAACTTAACTTGGTCTCTTTATTGATACTCCGTAATCTTGATGGTTTGAATGTATCTACGATCGTAATTGCTGAAAAGCTACATCGTACATACTAGCTATGATGTGAACTTATGCATGGCACGTATGTATATAGTATGTATGTCTGTCTGTCTACATCAACCCTCCTCAAACACACTCTTGCGAAAAAACCCCACTATCTTCCGGGCAGCCTCAACCCCAACCAACGGATCCAACTGCTCGACCTCCATATTGGCGATCTCATGAATACTCTCCGTCTCCACGATCAACCGCTCCAGGGCCTGAGGATTCACGCCCGGAACAGCGCGGAGCATATCCTGGGGCAGGAGATTAAAGACGCGATGCTCGATGCCGGCAGCCGCCATGACATCACCGGAGCCAGACGCGGCCGCGATATCAATATCCAGACCGATCTGCACGGCGCGGATAGGATCGGGCTCGGGGTTATTCTTCTTCAGCTCGGCGAAGATCTCGGCGGTCTGGTAGGGGGAGGAGGACCAGATGATCTTGAGGCGGGGGAAGGTGAGGGTGAGGAGGACGAGGAGGTGTTGGGCGGATTTGGGAGCGGAGGGGTTGACGAGGGAGCTGTTTGTGGAGACGGTGCTGGCGCCGGAGGAGGAGAAGCCGAAGTCGGTGAGGAAGGTGGTGCCGGGGACGGTGGCGGAGGCGAAGGCGTCGAAGGTGAAGGATTTGTTTTGGTCGAATTCGATCAGCAGGAGGGGGTTCTTGTAGTGTTGGAGCATGGTCTCGGCTTGGTTGTAGAGACGGCCGTTGCGGAGGGAGGTGATTAGGTCGCGGATTGATTTGCGTTCGACGCAGATGTCCGGTGTGAGGATGTAGTCGCCGACGGTCAGTTGGCAGGGGACCACGACCATATTGTTGCCGTGGAGGAGCGAGGGGAGCGCGCTCCGGAACTCGCGCACATCGACCACGACTCGAGGGGGGGATGCGGTGGCCGCGAGTCGGCCTCCGCCGGCGATGCGGGTGTTCACGGTGCGGAGGAATTGTTCTTGAGGGTCCTCTTGGCTCTTGTCGTGGGTGATGGTGATGGCCATGTTCTGGGCTTTGGGTCAGTGGATGGGATGGTTGTGGGGTGGGTGGGTTTCTTACGCCTTTCTCTTTGATGAGTTTCGTGAATGAGTCTTTCTCTCGTCGGACGGCGCTGAGATAGCGCTGCTCCTCGACAGATCCTCCGTAGTAGGTGAAGTAGACCCGGACGTCTCTTCCAACGTGGGAGCTGCGATAGACCTCCACTCGGCGGATGAACGCAGTTTCCGGTTCGTACATGATGATGTACCGTGGGCGAACCTCCTCGAGGATATGCTCGTCCATGTCCCCATCATAGGGATGTATCATGACCAGGTCATCCATATCGCATAGTTCGTAGTAGTCCTCCATGTCGTCCAGGTCATCGATGATGATTTCCTCCTTTTGAGTCTCCTCGACCTCTGTCGGTTGGATCTCATCGAGCAATGCTGAAACTTGAGCTGAGGGCTCAATCGGAACCTGAATGCCAGTGTTTGGCGCGCGTCCTGGGGCGGCAGTTGCTGCACCTCCGCCGCGGACCCGGCGCCGTTTATTCGACGGATGTCTTCCCTGCTGGTTCAAAGATCCGGGTAGGTTCCTGCCTGCTGAAGCTTGTGCGGCCTCGTCAGGCGGTTTGGATGAAAGGTTCTTGCTAACATTTGACAATGAACTCTTCCAGTCAAGATAATCCCGTAGTTTTCTGCGCAACATCACTCCGGCCGAACCTGCATTTTCATCGATGGCATCACCCGGATCTGTGGAGCTTTGCTTCGCATTGCTTACTTTGGCGTGCATTGTGCCCAGGTATTCTCGGAGTTGCCGACATGTGCGTTGGTCGCTACACATGATCAAGACGGTATTGTTTGACTCATCCACGTTGACGGGATTGAGATAAGCGTCTGTCTCGATCTCTTGCAGGACTTCCGACAGCACCTCCCACTTGGGCTGCTCTTCCAATGTAGGTTGAAGTGTAGTGGGAAACGACGTGGCTGATGAGCGAGCTACATCGTTGCCTATCCGGCCTTGATATACCCTCGACCTCGCGGTCTGAAACAGTACGTCAGCCGCGTCAAGGAAAAGCCACGGCGAATAGTTGTGTTTCGTAGATCCAGGAGGCGGTGTGTGTGCGGTAACAATGGTGTCAAGATACTTGAGGAAGGAGACGGCGTCGTAGGTCAGCAAGGCACTGGAATGCTGTCAGCGAACGAAGGTTGCTAGAAGTGGAGAATGACCGTACTGGAGAATAGCCCGAAGATCCGACAGATCGCTGACAATCTGCCTTGTCCGGAAGCTCACGCGGTGCCATATGGGATCGAGTTGACGCCTGATTGAGATATCGAAAGACCTGTGCAGAGCACTGTCCAAGGTCCAGTCCGCCATGTCCAGCCCCGTGTTTGCTTTCTTCAGCTCGCCGATGCAGATCTCCACACACTCAAGGACGGCATTTTGTATTTCGCGCATCTTATCACTCATGGGAACCTCAAGTTCAATCACTTCCGCTTTCCGGTGGCCTTCCAGCGATTCTGCGACGGTGACGTGGAAGCGCGGCCATAGTGATGCCTTGCGAAGGAAAAGGTTGCGCATGGAAGTGGCCAAGGGAGCGAACCCTGTTGCGAAAGGCTCGGGCGCATCGGAGAACGCTTTGAGGAAGCCTCGCTTGTTTTGCTCGCGGTAAGCGCGGATAATGAAGGCCTCGATGGAAGTTGCAACAATCCTGCATTTTCTTAGTATATCCCACAGAAGACCGCAGGCAGGGCGTCTTACTTGTCCGCATGCAACACGACCATCCCGGTAACCTTTCCGGCGTCAAGCAGCTCTGGGGTGGCAGATTAGCACTGATAAAACGCTGACCCGGCCAGTATCTATTCTCGTACTTGATAGGAAATCCACCACCAGTATCCTGGATGTCACACTCAGAACACCACCCTGCGCGTAGATCTTCTCGCTGGGTGCCGTCAGTAGAGGATCATCGGACTTATACAGAAACATACCGCATTGGAACCGTGGCTCTGTCGGTGTTGATCACTTTCAGACCCCTAGCCAAAGGCGTCTTGCTGATAGCATGGTGCTCCGCCAACGCTGGTCAAGGTCAGCATTGGAACATAGACTGTCTGGCCAGCAGCATACCCTCTCCGATCCACTCATTTTCCCGATCGTCGGCGCCCACGACTAACACAAGGTTGTTACCTGCAGCATCGTAGAAATGGAGCAGATTCGTCACCAAGCGCAGAAGCCCGAGGCCTCGAGCAAGGATGACCAGCTCATCCTCCGCGCGCAGTTCGGTGAAGATGTCCTGCTGGTATTGCTTTTCGGCCGTGTCAGCTAAGCCAAACGTGTCTCCGGTGCGCCATGCAACTCTGAGAAACTTACCAACGGCAAGGACAGCTTCACCGGTACATTGGGGCGTTCAGACGGCATGGGGAGCCTCTTGACGCGAGGATGTCGTCGCCTCGTCGCGGCTCGAGGCTCCAAGGCCACGCGAGGTCACGTGGTCTATGATGTAATGACTGCCAGACCAGATGCAGGTGGTGCATCATAATTATACGGAGTAGTATTTTGGTGATAATGAGGGGATGGGAGGTGTATGTGAAAGGAATGGGTGACACTACTACTCTTATAGAGAAAAAGAAAAAGGTGACATTCAAGCCCAATGAATGGGTTGGTCTTACTAGTAGTATCTAGTCCACCTAGAAATATGTATCCGCAGGACCACCATGAAGAGTACAAACAACAAACATAATAGGAGAAATGATATTACAAAAAAAGAAATACAGCAACAGTCATCGTAACCATGTCTCATTACGATCATTATATTTCCACTACTTGTTCAGCTCCTTCTTACGGGCCTCGATCTCTTCCTTCGGGACCCTGGGCGGCATGTCTGTAGAAACCAGTAAGTCATGCCCGGAAGGACAGGCACCACCCAGACTTACTGTCTGGGATGTGAGGACCCTTGGAAATATGATCCACCATCGAGGCCTTCTGGGTCTCTTGACCAGAGTTCCTTTGCTCGTGAGATGTGGAGTTATTGTTGCTGCCTCGCTGGGGCGGGAAATCGGCGCCTGAGGGGATGACTGGCATGGTGGCGGATGGTAGATCAATACAGAGCAGTGGAGAGAGACACGAGTGTGAAGCAGTAGGGTGTTGGCGATGGTCTGACGGTCCGAGAGGAGAATAAACCGAAGCGAGGAAGGTGATGCCAGAAGTTATAGTTTATAGTTGCAGCAGACGCGATGACGTCGGTTGGGCCGATACCATTTCAGGAAGAGGATGCAGTGAGTCAGTCAGTCAGTGACAGTGACAGTAGTGGTGGCAGTTACAGTGGGCCAAGCCAGATCTGCAAATGAGACCATGCCGAGAGGCGACTCCCTTGGATCTGGCATGTCTGCCTAATCAGCCATTGACTGTCTTTGTCTGTCTGTACTCTGTATGGTGCTGCTGCACTAGAGAGGCTCTGGTTCTGCACGAGACCACCCTGGCGATCGGAAACCACCAGGCTTCTGCAAAGTGGATAGATAGCCCGTACCCTATATTTCGATTGAGTTGGTCAGACAATTGAAACTGGTCGCCTAGAATCGACGAGTCATTTCCAATTCGTGACCTTCCAGCATCGGGCAATTGCGAGTGCAGCGGCGTCCGGCTGCTCCCCGCGGCGGATGAACCTAGACTCACTTAGGAGTGTGGCTCGCGCGCTTTCGATCGGTCTCCCTCCTCTTCCGGCTACTTGACCTCTTCTCCCTCCCCCCCCTCTCTCTCTCCAACCTCTCAACGTTGGCCACCAATCTCTCACTCTCTTACGGTTACCACCCTATAACCTCTCCATCCCCTTCCTCTGTTTCTATACTTCCCCCCCCCGGTCTTAGTTGGATCCGTCGTTGCCGCGCCGTATCAGCTCTTATCCGTGCCTGAGGAGCAACCAACACCCGACACAGTCCCCCCCGAATATCCTGCAATGTGCTTCGGAGCGCCGACCTGATCGCTTGGAACCTCAATTCTCACCACCCGCATACCATTAGTCCTTTGTTTCACGTCCTTGGTGCATCGTCATGCCTTCGATCCTGAACGACAGCGACAAGGAAATTGTCAGGAGAACTGTCCCCAAGCCGGCCAACAAGATCTTTGCCGTGGCCGTTGCGCGCTTATATGTGGCCCACCCCGACACTCAGAGATGGACATTCACTGGTCTACAGGGAGCTGCAGTGCTAGCAAACGACTTGGTCGGACGCACCTTTTGGCTGAAGCTGGTAGACGTCTCGGTAAGTACACTGCTATCAATTGTACGCCTGGATGGCTGCTGACGCAATCGTTGTCCTGGGTTATAGCCCGCCAATAGGGGTGTCATATGGGACCAGGAAATCTACGATAACTTCGCATACAACCAAGACCGCACGTTCTTCCACTCCTTCGAGCTCGAAGATTGCCCCGCCGGACTGTCCTTTGCCGACGAGAAAGAGGCTAAGACGTTCATCAAGAAAGTACATGAGCGGGAGAAGCATGCGAGCAAGGAGACACGACAGACGCCCTTCGCGTCCACCCGGGGCCAGGGCCCTGCCCCCGTGGTGAACGGCAAGTCGGGAATGGGACGGTCGCTGTTTGGCAGCTTGCTTGGCCATCGCTCATCATCGGCATCCCATGGACCACCGCAGGTCACCCCCGCAGAACTACCCCCGGCACCGTCGATCCAGGTTGCTCCGCCGCGGCCTCCGGCAAGCCCACCACGCAAGGAATTGCCATTCGACACCAGTGATCCGTCATGGAAGGGCCTCCTGGACGAACTCCTACAGATGGGCATCACCGAAGACCAGATTGCGGACAACTCCGACTTCATCAAGGCATACATTGACCAGAAACAAGGGTCAACCCCCCCTCCTACCGATGACCAGAGGAGAGGAAAAGTCCCCCCTCCACCCCCTCCATCTGGGCCGCCTGGCTCGAAGGTGGCCACTCTCAGCCCGCAGAACACTGGCAATAGCAATGGCAGTCGACGAGGTGCTCCGCCGCCGCCACCGCCGTCGCGCAGGACTCGAGCTGACGCGACGGAGGAGGAGCCTGTCTCGAAACGGGAACCCTCCCCCCCAAGGAACCGGTTCCGTGCGCCGCCTCCGATCGCAGATGCTGGCAAATTTGCTCATACTCCTATGCCACCCACTCGCCAGCGAGCTCTGTCGAGTGCTACCCAGGGGCCTCCGCCTCCACCACGGCCTCCCAAGACCCCAATGGATGAAAACAACCAGCCCCCGTCGCGGTTGTTCGGTGTCCCTCCGCCGTTCCAGGGCGAGCGCAAGGTGTCCGCTCCGCCCGCACCACCCGTTCGAAGCCCATTGCCTCCAGGGCCCCCGCCGCCTCCTCCTCGCCCCATGAGCCCGGCACCACCGCCGCAGCTACCTCCCAAAGTTCCCAACGCGTCTGCCCCCGGGCCTCCGCTCCCACCGCCCAGAAGCCCCGTTTCGGTGCCTCCTCCACCTCCACCGGTACCTGCCGTGTCTCGGCCTATCCCTCCCCCGCCGACATCGAGCTCGGTGGCACCTCCACCCCCGCCTCCAGTATCGAATATTCCGCCTCTACCTCGGCCTTCTCCAACCACATACGCTCCGCCGCCGCCGCCACCACCACCGCCATCGTATCCGTCGCCCAGTGCAGGGCCTCCTGCTCCGCCGCCACCACCGCCACCACCAATTGGTTCAGTACCTCCACCTCCGCCCCCTCCGCCTCCTGGAGCCGGTGCTCCTCCCCCGCCGCCTCCACCCCCTGGATTCGGTGCCCCTCCGCCGCCGCCCCCCCTCCTGGCGCTGGTGCCCCTCCGCCGCCGCCTCCCCCTCCTGGCGCTGGTGCTCCTCCGCCTCCGCCTCCGCCTGGTGGCGCTGCGCCACCCTTGCCCAAGCCCGCTGGCGAACGGAATGACCTCCTGGCTGCCATTAGAGCATCTGGAGGACAAGGAGGTGGTGGTTTGCGCAAGGTCAAGGCCAGTGACAAGCGCGACCGGAGTGCCGCACTTGTTCCCGGCTCTGCCAACGAATCCTCCGCGCCAACTCCAAGCAGCGGAGGTGCTCCTGCGGGCGGCCTGGCAGGGGCTCTTCAAGATGCTCTGGCAAAGCGGAAGCAGAAGGTCAGCGGTAGTGGTAAGTGCCCCTTTCACCCCCTCCAACCCCCCTACCGATGAGATATCGAGCGAGTACTAATCCGCCTTACAGACGACGAAGGAGAGGACGACGACGATTGGTGAGCCCTGCTCGGCTCCGTTTTTTTTTTTTTTTTACTTCTTTCTTGAACAGTTCCTCTTGTTGCCATGGCTTAGACTTGTCGGGATTTTCATATGATACCTCCGTCCTGCAGCCCTCATTTTCGTTTCCTGTTCTCTTCTGTTCCAGCATATATTCCCACAGGTGTGCGGGGGTGGATGTCCGGTCTTGGCTTTTTCTACCTATTTCAAGATTTCTGTGGGCGATTGGGGGAAAAGCATGCATATGGATTTGATTTTTGAGGCCGTTTGTGATCAGGCTCAGGCTCAGACTCAGGCTCAGACTCTTTCCCTAGCTAGTCTCAACAATGAAACAGAATGTTGCGCCTTGAGGGATGTTTATTTAGTTTCACGTATGAAAGCTAGTAACAGAATTATATTTTGTCCAGTGAATTCTCGACTCGATACTTTGTTAGGCTTGGTTGTAATACTACTAGTACTACTAGCCAATGCAGGCAAGTGGATCCACCTGGTCTGCGGCTCAACAGCACCAACCAATGATGCCGACCCTTTCCCCTTCCAATCGGACCGCAACGGGGCTGTGGGGCTGGCGCTAGAGTGCGGTTATGTAAGCTGCTGTGTGTGTATAGTTAACTAACTAGTCAACTGTATACATTATCTACTACATTCTACACAGTATAGGCAGGCAAGTACGTAGTTAACTATCTGATGGACGCGCTGGCAATATATCATCGCATACAGACTAGCAGTGACAGGAGATTCTATTTTTTGGTTAATATATTGGTACATTCTATGTATTATGCCATAGAAACAGGAGTGGAAAGTTGTGGTTTGTCTCTTGTCTCTTGGTGTTGTTGGAAGATATGAGTCTGGTGATTGTTAGGGCTGGGTTGACATCTGTGTTCCTTTTCACCGCCCGTGGACTATGGACTTGTCACTATGAAATTATAGATATTAGTACCGATGGTGGTTGATGTGGAGCTGGAAAGGAGAGTCGCTTGATGGGGTGTTCTTGGTCGAAGTTAAGGGTCCGCTCTGGGGTTGTTATGGCCCTTTTCGATGTCATCCGGGCTGTCACCTGTTTCAGTTATCATGATGTCTGAAGAAATCTATAAATTCTGTAGTGGATGTCAAATGGCGTCCTTTACACATATAGATTCGGATTAGTCGGTGCGGGGTATGGCAGGGATATATGTCAGTGCACAAATGTCAAAGCACCTGGTCTAGTCATATTCATAAGCCGACCAAGAATACACCCCAGGAAAAAACAGGGACATCAACCGAGGCGATCGAGGAGAAAGTTTCAGAAAGAGAGAAAAGGAAAGAGTCGTGGCGCTGGACTTGATCGGAGAAGCCCGGATCATCATCGGACCGGGGGCGCGCGAGTTGGATCGGGAAAAAGATGGGCGACGAGAAGAAGGCCTCGCTCCGGTCTGGATGCCGTGACGGTTGTCTTCCTGGTCGGTGCAGTGGATGTCCCCGACTGCGAGATGCTGTCTCCATCGACTCTGAAGCCGTCAGCGCCGTCAGCGTCTCTCCTCCGCTATTTACGCTCTCAGTCCGACTCGCTCTTCTTCACCCCCAACCCGACTTCCGGCGGCGGATGTTATCCCACTGACCCCCAACAACTGCATTACCACCATCACCACCACCACCACCAAGAGTCCACAGCATTCTCGCTGAGAAGGACCTCGAAATGGACACATCTTGACGCAACACCGTGTCAGGCAACGCTCGAGGCGAGCATGTTCCCTCTACCGGGCTTCTCGGCCAAGAGTCGCAGCGCCGCCGCCCGATGTCGCGCTCCGCTGGCCCAGCGCTCGTCCACAAGCCCGTTCTTCCTCCCGTATGCGCAGTCATCGCGAGCTTCGTCCACAAAGAGCCGGTCATTCCTCCGCAGACTCTTCGACTTCAACCGAAACAAGACCGTCGAAGCCAAGCAGTTTCTCCGCACTCCGCCGGCCCTGATCAGCGAAGGTACGGATGGCGGAATCACCCTCGGCCGTGGACTGGCGGCCAAGGCTTCAAACGAGCCGCGTCTGCGATGCACCGAGTTCGACAGCAACGGGGACGTGACGCTCGTGAATGGGGAGTTCAAGAAGAGCGAGCTGATTGCCAAGGTTCGTGCCGATGACCCTTCCATTGTCTCGATTCACAACTAGAGACTAACCCCAACCCTAGTACGGCCTTCTACCTCGAGACCTGCGCAAAATCGACTCCTCGACTCTGCCCCATATCCTCGTGCGACCCAGCGCGATCCTCATCAACCTCCTACACCTCCGAGTCTTAATCAAGGCCGATCGGGTCCTTGTCTTCGACGCGTACGGGTCGACGGACTCCTACATGCAATCACTGTTCGTGTATGATCTGGAGGGAAAGCTACGACAGAAGCAGTCGCTGGTGTCGGGTACCGCTGCGCTGCCGTACGAGTTCCGTGCATTGGAAGCGGTCCTGATCAGCGTCACAACCGGCCTGGAAGAGGAGTTCAACGGGGTCAGAGACCCGGTGGTGCGCGTCCTGAGGGCGCTGGAGGAGGATATCGACCGGGACAAGCTCAGACACCTGCTGATTTATTCGAAGAAGCTGGGTACGTTCGAACAGAAGGCTCGACTTGTGCGCGATGCCATCGACGATCTCCTGGAGGCAGACGACGACCTCGCCGCGATGTATCTCACGGAAAGGTCGAAGGGCATTGAGCGCGAAGAAGACGACCATCAGGAAGTCGAGATGCTCCTGGAGTCGTATCATAAGGTATGCGACGAAATTGTCCAGGCGAGCGGCACCTTGGTCACCGGTATTCGCAACACGGAGGAAGTGTGAGTCGTTCCTAACATTCCACATTCTCAATATCAACCCGCATCTTCCACTCCGGAAACTAATACACCGTACGTGCAGTGTGAAAGCCATCCTGGACGCCAACCGCAACTCCCTCATGCTTCTAGACCTCAAGTTCAGCATCGGAACCCTCGGACTCGCAACAGGCACCCTATTTTCCGCCCTCTACGGCATGAACCTGAAGAACTTCATCGAAGAATCCGACCTCGGCTTCGGCGCCGTCTCCGTCACCTGCTTCGCCATCACGGTCATTGTCTGCGCCTATGGCCTGGCCAAGCTGCGCAAGCTCCAGCGTGTTCGCATGTGGGGCGAATCTGGCTCCGGCACCGGTCCCATGCTGCCACGGGGCGGGTCACTGGTCGGTCAGCGATCGAACTGGCGCGCGGATGCTATCGAGCCCGTGTGGACTGGTCTCCCCGAGGGACGGTTGGAACGGATGAAGCGCATCAAGGACCATGCCGCTGCTGCGGCTGCCAGAAGTGCCGCTATGAAGTCTCACGATCTGTCCTCGAAGGACGGGTCCAAGGGATCAGAGTAATCTCACGCTGCAAAAAAAAAAAAGAAAAAGTATGGACGCTCGACGTAGAGCGTGCCAGACCAGTCCCGAGTCCAGAGTCCCCAGTCCTGAGTCCTCATACCTCCGATGATCACCCACCCCATCCCACCTCAACCAGCTTCGTTCGCCTGAGACGGTCCCGGATAGCTGGTATGGGTATGGTATGAATAGGGCTTATATCACAGGGTATGTATCCAGGACACGATGGATGGTCGGTCATCCATTGATAGAAGAATCTTAGAACCAACTGCATGGTAGGAGTTCGGCTATGGTTTTATCTCTCTTGCTTCCTTCCTTCCTTCCTTCCTTTCGGCATGATATCTCCATTCAACTGATCCTGTCGTTTCTGTTCAACGGAGCGATTGTATCTATCTACATCTACCTCTACTTTGGTTTACTATACCACCCACTCACCCACTCTTCTCACTCATACGTCTGTCTATCTGTCTATCTATCTGTGTGTATGTCTGTCTGTTTTCAGGGGCTATGTATGCATTGCCCCCCCCCCCCCCCCCCGTAATGATGTGTTTTATAGATGATAGATGGTGGTTTGTGGCACAGTGTTTGTGCATGTGTATATTTACTTTATATCATGATCTCAATTCAATACTCCTGTCTTGTCATATGGGATTTTTTTTGGGTATGTTGTCTACTGGAGTGTTTGGGTAGACGTTGCTGAATTGTGGTTGGTGGGTATCTATCTATAGTATCTGTCTATCTATCTTCCTTATATCTGTCTGTCTATATCATGCATGCAACATCGTCATCATCATGACAGTTATTTACTATTCAGGCTTCTTCCCCGTCCCAGACCCAGTAGAAGACCCCTTATTCAACCCCTTCGCCCTCTCAATCCATACCTTCGCCGCAGCATCCACGCCTCCCTCACGCGCACATTCCCGCCTCACCAGATCCAGAACCCTCTCTCTCAGCACCTCTCCATCCTCCTCCCTCTCACCAACCTCAACATCAGCCCCCTCCGCTCCATCCTTCCACGCCCTTGTCGTCCTCACCCGCCCCCCAATAACCGCCATATTCCGCGTACTCGGAATCCTCAACAACGTCCTCTCAACGCCATACCCGAGTTCCCGCGCCACGCTCATCGTCTTCGCCGTCAACGAGCCATACATCGATTTATAGAATCCGGCATCTGTCTGCGCCTCTTGCTTTTCCTTCCGGAGGGATTTGAGATCACCTTCTTTCGGCTGTGGCTGGTTATTCTCACCCCCACCATCACCCCCACCTATTCCTCTTTCCTCCTCGGTATATCCCTGTTGCTTTATCCCTTTCCCACCTTTCCCTTGAGACGGCGGGGGATACCTAAACCTCTTCCCCGAAAGCGCGTGCGAACAGCACGGAATGGCAATAAACGGGCTCTGGCTCTCCGGACAAAGCAGGGTGGCCAAGAGGGGGGTCCAGACGGTGAGTTCGTCCGCGTGGTTCGAGATGATGAATGTGTCTTTGGGGAAGAGGCCGTAGTGGGACGCGACGCCCAGTTCTTTTGCGCGGTCGGCGGGGGAGGAGGGAAGATCGATTGTTTCGGCGAAGGGCTGCGGGATGTAGATCTCCTCTTTGAGGTGCGATTGGACGGACGGGGGGAAGATGGACCATGTTTTGCGGCGCCGCGCGTCGAAGCCCCATCCGCTGTAGCCTTCCATGAGCAAGATGTACACGAGGACTCCGTTGCCGCAGGCGATGTCGATGAAGCCGGGGAATTGGGGCCGGGTGGGTGTGTGGGTGTGGTCTTGGGTGTCGGTGTCGGTGTTGGGCTTCGGTTTCTCGTCCTCAGGAACAACGCCATACATACTCCGCCAGAGCTCGATAAGGAAGGCCGTGATGGAGAGGTCCTCAAACACGTGTTTCGAGGGCTCGGTGCTCTCGACCCAGCGCTGACAGAGGTCCGATGCGTATTTGAGCTTGAGTCGCGTGTAGGTGTTTTGCACCAGGTGTTGCGGGATCACGTTGTCTTTGTTGGGGTTTTGGCTGCCCCCGCGGTCTTTTTTTCGGTTTGGCGCGTGCCGCGTGCGAGCCGGATTTGGGTGTTTAGGAGGGCGAGGAGCGTGCGTTCGAGGCGGGTGGGGATGAGTTCTGAGTCTGAGGGTGAGGAGGGGAAGGGGAGGAAGTGGATGGACATGGTTCCGGGGCCGGGGGTGGAGGTTTGGTCTGGGGGGTTGTTGTTGGTGGTGGTGGTGGTGGTGGTGGTGGTGTTATTGGGGTTAAAGTCGTAGAGAAAGGCGAGGGAGCGGAGGAGAGGGTGGTAGAAGGGCATGTCCTCTTTGGAGGCGACATGGGGGTTGTAGATGACGAGGGAGCGTTGTTGTCTGAGATCCTCAGTCCCCGCGTGCTCTGTAGAGTCTCTGGATACGCTGGCGCTGGCCTCGTAGAAATGGCACGTCTGGTCCATGGTGCGATCGAGGTTCGGATTTCTAGGAACCAGCCTCCTCACCACCGTCCGGGTCAGGGTGAACCCAGGGACGTCTCTTGCGACGGTGGGTTCCACCTGCTCTTCTGCTGTGGCCGTGGTCTCCGAAATGCTGTTTCCCGTCTGCGCAAAAGACTGTTCTTGCTGCTGAGGCGTGCGCAGCGTGCCAGCGCTATCGTAGAGGATGTCTGCCCGGTATAGGTGGCTGGAGGTCATGTTGGGGTTCGCCAGAAGGAAGAGCGCCATGTCTTGGATGACCTCGAGGGTGAATGGGAGGCCATGCTCGGTTAGATCGCAGGAGGTGGCCCATTCCTCTGTGCTGCTTTTGAGGACGGGCGATGGCTCGAGAGTCTCTGCCAGCGGCTTGCCCGAGAGATGGCTGACATCTCGGGGGGGCTTTTTGGTGTTTCTGGGCATGGTTGCTCTTGCGGGGTTGAGGGGATTGAGGTGAGGGGTATATGGCTGCGATTGATGGGGCGAATGAGTGAATCGCAAGAAGAGGTTTTTTTTTTTTTTTTTTTTGCGGAAAGGATGTTGTGGGCAGTGGAGCTAGGTGTTCTCCATGCTCCTGGCTGTCCTTGCTCACTTGCAGCGAGTGCGATGCCCCTCACGAGGATGGCTGGATGGATTCATCGCTGCAGAATTCTGCCATTGCTTTCCGATTAGTCAGGCGGTCGGTCATCGGTCCAGACCTGCATCTCAGACGAGGAGAGGCACAGCATTGCGGATGGTCTTGAAGAGTCATGTTCATCCAGACATTAGGAAATCCTTCCAGGTACCCCATCAGGATACGTATACAGAGGACGAATGTTGGATAGGAATTATGCCACCCCTCACCGAATGACTGGGTGTATATCATCATGTGATCCGTCTTGGCGCTCCAGAGTCCAGGCCGCGACATGTGTGCCTGACGGCGTACAAATCTTCTCCCTAGAGTCCCTACAACAATCCTGAGCGCGACGGCGATAGTCCATTCGTCGCGATTGCCCGCGATAGTGATACAGTATCTGACACGAGGACCAACCAGCGGAGGGAACGTGCCCGCGTTTGCTTGTCGCGCCAATTCGAGGGTCCCTTGGCTATCTCGAGCTAGATATCTCAGCTCTTATCTTCCTCCTCCATTGGATGCCTTCCTGATTCAGGGACGACGCTTGGCAGACCGAATGATCCCCTGGCTTGAGAGGGGGGGGGGGTTGAGGGCCCGTCTCCGTCTCGTCTGGCATGATGTTGATAGACTGATTGAACCGATAACCCCCCCCCCCCCCCCCCCCCGTTTTGCACGGAGTTTGAACCCTGAATCGTTATTCCCTTCGGCGTTTCCTTTGTGCTGTCTTTCCATGTTGGTTGGATGTAAGTAAGTACAGGGTATTTCCTCGTGTCTGCATGCGCTATGTAAGCTATCTCGGTACGGCGTGCATAGTCCGTCCATCCATGTCCGTCGCAGCGCAGCTGGGTTTACAATTGCCATGCCATGCCATGCCATGCCATGCTCCTGCAGGATCATCCATCCATCCATCCATCCATCATGGGGTTGCCTTTTGCGACGATCCGCTTAGTCAGGGCTGTTTGCGTCGAGGCTCCACTCCGTCTGGATTGCAATCAAAACTCAATTATTCTTCTGATTATTCCTCATTTAAGAGTCCCTCATGTTGATTGCTTACAATTTGCCTTTTCATTATCGTCGGCATCGGCTTCATTAATCGGGAATTACAGTCTACTTGGATGGATGCAGGCAAGCAGGCAGGCAGGCTCCGTCATCATTCATGCCCTGCCCCTGGAGACGTTCCATGGTCGCTCGAGTGGGTAGTTGAGATAGCCAGCCCCCATTATTTCCTTGGTTGAATGTGCATTGTGCGACGCGTATCTCCGAATCTACGGTTTAGAGGAAGTATATTTTCCTTCCTATGTCCGAGGACAAGACCCTCAGTGGGGAAGGAACATCGAACAAAGTTCAACTGATGCACTCACTGTATCTACAGTGTACAGTGTTGTACGGAGTATCGAATGTTCTTTCCGCTTCACAGCCTCAATCCTCCCGCCCAAGCTTCCCGCAGAGGCCGATGATCTTCGCGGACTTCGTGGCTTGTGGAGGTTGACACGGCCATGACGTTTACACATTCGATCTAGTCCGTTAGGCTTGACGCGGTGGACGCCATCTTTCAGGCTACCATCGTTATCATCTCCTGATTGCCTTTTAGATAGTTTTCTTTTCCTTTTCGCCCATTGTCCCCCTTTTCGTGTAACGAACCGCCGCCGTCAAGGGCACGGATGGCGGGACGGGGATTGTTGGGGTTTGGCATTGTTGCCAGCTTTAATTCAGCTGGTCAGCCGTCCTGACTCCATAGGTAGGTGCAGTGTACACAAGTATAGTGCTGTCGCGTCCGGCAATATCACAATGCCGGCGTGACATATCCACCGCGGATCGTCGCAAAATGAAGGAACCCCATGGAGAGAATGAGCCACTCCGTCCACACTACGGACTATCTAGATAGATAGTTAGTACATAGCAGCTAGATAGATACGAAGTGATTTGGCCCGATATCGATAGTAGTGGGGAAAGATCAATTAGGCAGCCAAATGCCAGGAACTAAGTTGCGCGGCGATATGCCCAATGGCTGCATATAGGCGGATCCTTGAAATTGAGTCTATCTACAGAGTGCCGCAGCGGATGGGCACGTCTGACTCTGGGGACTCGGGGAGTTGTGACTGGGAGGCGTCCAAGCCTTCGGGAATCGGAAGGCGGAAATTTAGCATGGTTCCGCATTAAAAATGGGACCATCCGCGCTCAGTTACGCTGTGAACAGTCATGTCTGCGGCAAGCAGCAACAATATGCATCTGTTCAGCTGTGCCCCTCTGACCCGACCTCGCAGACGCAAGGTTGAAACAGGCTCCGCGCATGGGCTCGGGAGGGCCGAGGTGGCTGTTTTCGGTCGGCTTCGCAAGATGAGGGGGCCAGTGGCCAGTGGCCAGTCAGGCGGTTCCAACCATCGCTGGGCAGAGATCATAGGTGCTGTGACCCTGTTGACCGTGCATTGTTTGCTGCGCGGAGGACGGACGGCTTCACGAACCTACTTGTTGATTGATTGTTGGGTGGAAGGAATATCCTTGTGCAGAACATTAAAGCGCGGGATCGGGCGATATGTCGGACTTGGCCGATTATCCAGCGGAGTGTATGGCGTGCATTTGCATCCGCATCCATTGGATGAACTGGCCAGCTCGGAACAATCAGGTCCTGATTGACTCGATCGAACCTCGAAGATGGCGGGGTAAGACAACAGCCAGGTGAGACAGCGGGAGATGTTTGCAGTCGCCCTATCGCCATCCAGCTATTGTCTGAGTCAATCGGTATGCAGGCAGTTACAGTCAGTAAAGTCTGTACGTCGCAGTAACAGCGGAGAAGTCTAGAAGACAATTACTAAGATTATGCAGCACCGCCCAAGACCATCCAGACACATCGTTGGCTGGTGGGTTGCTCGCATGGCCGGGTGGAGAGAGATCTAGGCCCGGAGATCAAGACGGTGAGTGTTGATCAACGGCACATACCAGTTACAGAGTACGTACGGACTGTGTACGGTGTACGGCACTGCCGAAAGCATACCAATCATTGTCCGGGGAAACTTTAAGCTCAGGCGGGATGAAGAAAATGTAGTGTCTCATCCGCAAGCATTCACAGTTGAATCAATTGATTGTATGTAGGTAGTAAGTAAGTAAGTAAGTAGATGCTGACAGCCACAGTCGCAAGAGAAAGTTAGAAAAGTTAAAGAAGCAAATTTGATCCAGCCGGGAAGGAGGAAAATTTCCCTGTTTCGGTTAAGATTGGATAAGTACCTGACCCACCGCGCCGTACCATAGATAGAAACAGCAACTAATAATTGGACAATGTGATTCGTCCCAGACGCCCCAGCCGCTAGCCTAGCAGGAGCTACTATGCATCTAGTAATGTACTAGATATGTAGATGCCGGCTAGGCTGCTGTGCTGCACTGTTTGGGACAATCCGCTGCTTGTCCCCCCTCTCTCTCGTCTCTCCAGGGCCTGGACCAGCCAGCGGGTGTTTCTTTCCCCTGCTGAGGAGCATACAGGAGGTGCTATCATCTATCTATTATCTTTCTATCTATCGACTAGATATGCATCTATGTACTGATCCAGAATGATCTCAAGATTGGTCTTCTTCCATACGATCCACCCGGAGAAGAAAACTTATCATCAGGTGTATCTGATTGCCGTGTGCTGTGGGCATCCCTTCCTCCCCTCAGCCTCATCACATAGTCATACTTACATACTTAGGTAGGGCCATCCCCATTGTGTTTTCAATTTACGTCAAACACCAACAAGCCACACCGGGAGCCCAAGGTTTCACCTTTTCCAGTTCCCTGTCCCTAGTCGCCCTCCTTGCTAATTTGGAACGCCCACGGGTTATTCTGGAACTCGCATAGTGAGCATCTCTGGAACTTTATTAATAACCACGTCGCCTGCCTATACGGAGTACTCTAGCACCAACTGCAGCAGTGAGATACCGTAAACAGCCAGATTATTAGTCCTCAGGGTCAAGTCACTTACTTTTTACCTATAAGGCATAGCATGGCACACATTGAGTGCAGTCATGATACCCCGTACTTTTTAGTTGCCCCCCCCCCCAAAAATCCATCCCTCCGCAAACAGAAAGGTATCCTAGGATGGATGGACGGGATGTCGATCCTTACTCCGGGCGAGCTGTTGTGGCATGCCGGGTTGGACAACAACACCGCCTCCCCCTTCCCGATTCCTTGTGTCCACTTACTGTCCAGACTCCAGACTCTCTCCAGAGACGGAATTCCCCAGGTGCCACTAATAATGCCAACGAAGAGATACATGGCATTGAAATCACATGGAGGCGTGGCGATGGAGAAATATCTCGGTGATAGTACCTAGTGACAGACGGTTGGGTCGCCGGGGGGGTATGATTAACATGTGTACTCCGTATAGTATGGAGGATTGGCAAATAAGTTATGCAGATAGATAAGTACTTAGTAACCTGGAGAAAAACAAAAACGATATCGGAGCTCCTTTTTTCTTTTTTTTTCTTTTTTGTTTCTTTCCCCTTATCGAAGAAAAAAAAAAGAAAATTTTAGAAGAGAAAGGTTAAGGCAATAGAATAATAATAATAATAATAACCAATCCACATGGACTGCCTGCCTGCCTGTTCTTCGTACTGTACAACTCAAGCGAGCAAGCTGCAGTCTGCACTAGGGTCCTGGACGGAAGCTCCCCCCTCCCCATTGCTAAGCCGGGTGGCCCAGTCCCCGTGGTCACATCCACTGGTTGAGCTTTTAGGCCGATCGTTAGTCGCAAGTTGGTTGTTTGGCCAATGGTCACTACTGTCGAGTATACTTGGAGCTAAGGTATGAGCTGACCCCCGAGGTGTTCGAAAGGTCCGAGAAGAAAGAGAGAAGGAGAGAGAGAGAGAGAGAGAGAGAGAGGGAGCGCGGACCATCGTGGATATTTATTGATCCTCCCAGTCCCAGTCCCAGTCCCAGGCCCCGTCCCCATCCCCCCTCTCTCCAGTCTCCCCTCCCCCCCTCCCTGTTTGACCTTGTTTCTAGCTAGTTACCCGAATGAGCTAGTGCTGGGAGAGGGAGGTAGGTGCGACTGGAAATCAGTCCAAAAAATGCTCCGTACAAGTTAGATACTATGCAAGTATCTAGTTGGATATCCGTCCCAGGAGAAACTCCAGCCGGCGCATCCGCTAGGTCGGACGGAAGAGGAGCGCTTCCCAGCTCCATATCGGTTGCGGGCCTGCGGCATCTGGAAGGGCAGGCACTGGGCAGAACTGGCCAATCTGTCCGGGTCCGATTGCAGCGCGACCACCGACGAAGTGGGTTCCGGGTGGGTTTGGTGACGGGAGGATGTGCAGCAGTGGCCGATTGGGTCTTGGCCGCATCATGGTTGGTTCGAACCAGAACCGAGTGGGTTTGGGCTGTCGTGTCTCAATCAATTCCATCCATCCACACAATCAGGTTCTTTAGTTGGTTGGCGGGCCTGGTCAGAACACTGTAATCATCTCGTCGTCATCGTCGTCGTCGTGGGCGGTGTCAATCGTCGTGTCCTGTCGCGTTGTGGTCGTGGGGTGTGGCGTCTTTTTTTTTGTCCTGCTTTTTTTTTTGTGTCATTCAGGGGGAGGGGGGAGGGGAGAGGAGGCGGGGGGGGAATAGATAGTAGATAGCATGGCTGCTTACTGACTTAGTAAGTAGGTCGCATGCAGGATCCTTCCTCATACATGAGTAGTATGAGACCATGAGAGATGTCGATGTGAATCCCCCCAATGGGGGAAGGGTGTTGCAGCTGCCTAAGAGACGCATGGTCGAATCAGGCATAGAACGGAATTATTCCCAGGAATTGGCCATCCAGATAGTACCTACTTAAGTACGGAGTAGTTGTGTAGGTAGATGATCGGGGGTATTATTGTTGTTTAGTAAGTAGGTAAGTATGTGTATCTACGGTGTACACAGTAGTAAGATTGGAAGGAAACCGACCCAGGCACAAAAACCGGTTTGAGCTGGTGCGATAGGGTGAGAGAAGCGTGGACGATACTTGTAACGGATTAGCCCACCAGTCAGGACCTTTCTCCTGATGACTACTGACTATCATCCCCGATTGAAAGGAAGCAGAAGAAGAAGAAGAAGAAGAATAATAATCATCTCATGGTGGTGGTAATAATCAGATTCATTCTTCAGCTAAGAATACCCTCCTCCTGCCTATCCTATCTATCTATGTGTCTGTGCCTGTGCCTGTGCCTGTGCCTGTGTCCGTGTCTGTTCATTTCCGATTATTATTAGTAGTAGCGTGTACTTAGATAGACACCGGCTATCTTATAATTAGCAGTATTAAGTGTTAAGAAGGAGTATTGATTTGTTGGGGGAGGGGGTCCAGTCTAGTCTGTTTTCTGCTTCTGCGGCTTCTGCTTCTGCTTCTGCTGCTTCTGCTGCTGCTGCTTGCTGCTTGCTGCTGCTTGCTGCTTGCTGCTGCTTGCTGCTGCCCTCGCATCCCGTCTCGGGACTCGGATTTCCTGGAACATTCTTGCTCGCCTTTGACTGCGCAGCATTTGTTTTCGCTTGCAGCCCGCCCGTCCTTCCGTCTTCCCCTCTCCGTTGACAGTTCTGCTCAGTAGTAGTATCAGTAAGATTCAGTCAGTCAGCCTCTCCCTGCCTCCGTTTCCGGATCGAGCCCTGGCGGGGGATCCACGGCCGTTAGAGGCTTTTGGTCGACAGTAAAGAAAAAAAAAAGATAATCCGTGAAAGCTAAAAAAAAAAAAAAGAAAGCTGGACGAAAAGGAAAGGGAAAAGAAAAATTACAGAAAAAGATACGCACGGCTCCGCAGCTCTCCGATTCGGGCTGCCTTTCCGCCCAAAGCTGACCGTCTTCCATCTTGCTTCTTACACTCCCACCATCCACCACCATCCACTACCATCCATCCCATCCTAAACTGCCGCTTCTGCTGCTGCTGCTAACTACTACTGCTGCTGCTGCTGTTCCTCTTCCCCTTTCACCATCCCCCCTCCCCTCCTCTCTCCGCCTCCCTCCTCCCTCCCTCTCCCTCTTACTCCTCCCTCCCACTCTCCCTCCCACGCCCACGCCCACTTGTACTCTCCCTCCCTCCTTCCTCCCTCCTCCCTCCTCCACCCACCCACTCACTCACTCACTCTCTCTTCCGTCCTCCCTTCTACGGCTGAAACCCACCTCCTTTCGTTTGTCTTTATTTTCTCTCCCCCCCCCTTCGGTTCTTCGGTCTTCCGTTTGTTTGTGATTCCCCTTCCTTTCGTTATCTCGCCCTTTGCGCCTTTCGCGTGTCTCCTCTTTTAATCGGTCCGGCATCACACCCTGGCTTCAGCGTCGGAGCGCGACCCTTCGTTCCGTGGTTAGGCTGCGTCAATCGCGCCTCCCAGTCGTGGTTCAGGAGATTCCTAACACCAGTCTAACGGTCCTTTGCTTTTTTCTCGTCCCTGGTACTGGTTGGTCGGAACGCTTCTTTCCATTTTCGATCGTCCATCATGGCTCCTCCGCCGCGCTTGCGCATTCTGTCAGGTTAGTCTTCCTCAGCCGCTGTTGGCAACTCACTGCACTTATCAATTCCCGACCATCCTTTCCCCTGCAACCCCCCCATGCCATCCGATCGTCCCTCCAGTGCTCTTTCAAGCGACTCCTCCACTGCATCGCCATCCAGTCCAGAATGGGCCGTATGCTAACCCGGTGCTGTGTAGTGGGCAGCAATGCCATCTCGGCTTTCTTGTCCTGGAGGCTCCAGGCAACCACCTCCTGCGACGTCACACTGGTCTGGAAATCAGGGTTCGAGGCGGTATCTCAATACGGCGTGTCGTTCAAGTATGGTCGCCTGCATCAAATCTCGCTGGAATTGTGTCTGACGGAGCATGGAATAGGTCGAAAGCTTTCGGAAACGAGCGGTTCAAGCCACGTCATGGTGAGTTGAGTTTTCTACCTCGGATCCGCTGCCAGGATGCTGATCAAAATCTCGCTACAGTCGTTCGCACGCCCGAAGAAGCAGCTTCCCGCGAGAATGCATACGACTACGTGATCCTTTGCGTCAAGGCCTTGCCTGACGTCTACGACCTTGCAGCCGTGATCGAGTCCGTCGTTACGCCCCAGCATACTTGCATTTTGGTCAACACCACCAACACCCTTGGAGTTGAATCGCATCTGGAGCAACGCTTTCCCACCAACGTCGTCCTGTCGCTCGTTTCGGGCGTCGAGATTACCCAGATCGGAGCCAGCGAGTTCGAGCACTTGAACTCATCGGAAATATGGATCGGTGCCACGAGCAAAAATTCCAACACCCCCTCTACAATCCAGAATGACATGGCCGCGGCGTTGGCGATGACCCTGAGCTCAGGCCAGGTTGAATGCAAGGTGTCGAAGAATATCCGACAAGAACAGTTTGAACGTATTATAGGGTGAATATCTGGACCTCACATCCGCGATGACACTGCACACTTGCTAACCATATTTCCCTCTAGGCCTATTGCCTTCTACCCCGCGAGTGTAATGTTTGATAATGGTAATGTGCAGCAACTGCTGCAGAAGGTTGGTGTGCGTCAGTTAATATCGGACGTGATCGACGAATTGCTTGATCTGGCGAAAACGCACGGATGTTCATTCCCGAGCGATTTCAATCAGAAGACGATGGAGAAAATGATGGCCAGCACAACACCTAACTCGATGTACCAAGACTTCCAGGCCCGCCGCCCGATGGAGATCGAGACCTATCTTGGCTCCCCCGTCAAACTGGCGACTGAGTCCAACTCCAAACTCCCTCGCGTCGAAACTATGTATGCGATGCTCCATCACATTAATGCCACAAACCTGAGCAAGCCTCGCGAATCTCCGCCGCCCGCACTGGCTCAGCCCCCACCCCGGATGTCTTCGGTCCCCCCTCCCAGAAATGGTCCTATGCGCCCGCCCCCGGGAAGGTCAAGCTCGGCGATGATGATGCCACCCCCGAGACGTGGACCCCCGATGCCCGGAATGTCGCGACCATCCAGCACACAGCCCCTGCCTCCCGCAGGGAGGATGCCTCGGGAACCGTCTTTGGAGGGCCTCGAGGAGTTCAGCCATCTTGTCGTCTACGACGATGCCGGTGAGGGTGGCGCGCCTCACAACGGCACGAATGGCTACCCAGACGTTCCTTCCGTTCCTGGAGGCGCCCCCCCTGATCTGGCCTTGAGAGAGCGTGAATTGGCACTTCGGCAACGGGAGTTGCAGCTCCGGGAACAGGAGATGCACATGCGGCGCGGACCTCGCCGGGCGCCGCCCCCCTCCAAGGCGGCGGCTTTCGACGAGGAAGATGAAGACGACTTTTTCGATCCCATGGATACCAGTCTGGTTCCGCAAATCGACCCCGACAACGTGGACATGCTGAGCATCACCTCGCGGCGGGCGAAGAAATTCCCCAGTGCCAGCCAGATCCGCAAGAACCCCGAGCTTATGGCCAATGGCGGCGGCGGTGGTGGTGGCGGCGGTGGTGGTAGAAGTGGCACGTTCAGTCGCTACTTTGGTGGCAACCGACAGAAGCGCGCCAGCGACCGCATCATGCAGGAAATCCCCGGGCTGCACGACTCCCTCTTGGACAACCCCATGATGGCGTACTCGTCCAACCGCTACGGGTCTGTTGACCGGAACCAGATGGCTGCGGGCTCCCGTACCAACTCCATGACGACGAGTCGCATGGGTGACTACCCTCCTCATCCGTACCCACAGAGCAGGAGGAACAGCCATTCTCCTGCGGCGCCGTACGGTGGTGGCCCCCCTGGTCCGCGAATGGGCCGCCCAGCGACAGCCCAGGATCAGAATTTCGGCCCACCCCATGGGCCCCCGAACGGCGGCCACCCGTCGCCTCCGGGACACGTGCGCGCGCCTGTCCCCAGGTATCCTCCGGGGCACGGTAATGCGGTAGGCCCGCAACAAGTGGAACAACAAATTGGGGTGAGCAAACCGTATCCCGCCAAGGGCACCCCCAAGCATAGAAGTCTGACCGGAAGTGCGAGCGCCAGCGCGGAGAGTGGTGATAGCGGGGCCAGTGCCAACCTCGATTCCGAGAACTCTGCCCATAGCAGCCAGATCAGCCTCGGCACGCAGCACCAGCAGGCTGCGGCGCCCGTTCGTTGAATCCCCGAGCCCGTCCCTCCCTCGTCCCTCCCCCAAGACCGCTGAGCGCTTGTTTTGAGCCCGTCCGCTATCTACTCGCCTGGCTTTTCCCCTCCCATGTCTTACCTTTTTCCCTTTCTCCAACGGCTGGTGTTCACCGTATGCTGGGGCTTCTTCCGTATTGCTTTTTGCCTCTTATAAAGGATATGCTTTTAATGAGTTGCTTTGGCAAGGAGAGCGGGAACACACTCCATGTCATTTCTCTTGTTGTCGTGGTTCTCTTACATATACACCCGGGACCTTCGGGGGGTTCGCCTCCTCGCTTGATGCTTGTCACTGGGGGAGATGCCGGGCAGGCGCGCATGTGTGTTGCATTTTTTTTGACTTCCACTTCGGTGGCCTCGAGCTTAACGAGCATGGGCATGACGCTCAACTTAAATACGTTTTTTTTTTTGACATTCCGCAGTTATACCACCGACGTTCATTGCCAGACCCCAACCATGCATTCCTGTTTCTGCAAGATAAACTGCTGTACACTACCCGACCCGGCGCCTCATCGTGTTGTCTACTCCTTACCCTCATCTCCACTGTTTTGTCGACTGCATGCCCTCCTTTGCCCTGATTTCCTTTTTGTCGCTGTTCTGTGCGGTTCTGTATGGGCGCTGGCGTGCAGCATCCGTCGGCCCGGTATTTCCTCGTTCATGGTCTGGTTTCTGGCGCATAAAAAGAGCAAGGGGCTGCTGATTTATCGGTTGATTGATTGATTTGATTGCGGGGTGTTTGTGAGAGGAGCCGGGTCGATTGTCGGCGCGGCAACTGCTCCTTGATTAGAACATGTTGACAATAAACGAGACTTAATCGATGCTTAGATTGTACCTATAGCATGTGTAACTGGATGGCATCCTCTGTAACGTCAGTACATTCACTAACTATAGCCTGCCCGGGGAAGCGTACATCACGTGATGGTGGCGGGGGTAAACAAATCCACTCCGCCTGGTATCTTTCCAGCAACATCACCATCACCATCCTCATTACCACCCAATTCTCACAACGCACCAACCACATCCACCTATTCCATTCCATTTCCAAACATGCCTCCACCCCACCACCAGCACCAACCCAGCACCTCCCACGCCTACCACCCCCGCCACTCTGTCCTCCCCGCCTCTTCCTCCTCCACGGGCACGGGCATGGGCATGGGCATGGGCAGCGCCTCCGCCATGTCCAACACCAAAGCCCGGCAATACGCCAACCTCCACGCCCAGCTCGACCAGCTGAATGCCAACCTGCATGACACCGAGAATCTTCTGCGTATGACGGCCGTGCAGGCTGAGGATATGCGGTTCTTGGGTGGTTATGTCGGCGCGCTTTTTATGGGTTCGGCCAAGGTGTTGGGTGAGGAGGGGGTTAAGGGGAATGCGGATCGGGGGGTGGGAGTGGGAGTGGGGATATGGGGGGGGGGAGGAGTTAGGGTTGAGATGAGTTGAGATGGTTATTGCTTAGGTGAGTGGTACTGTGATGGCTGGATTTGCGATGCTGGATTGATGATTGATGGATAACTCGGTCTATGTACGATCTATGTGCATTTGGGCATTATTTTATATTTTTGGATTTTTTTGGATTTTGTCCTTTCTAACAGTGGCTTATGTATGTATGGGAGAGTAGGGTTTCCACGATTCGAATGATGTATGACTCGACTCGACTCGCGTCGCGCACGCGCACGATCTACAAATATATCCTTATCCTACCTAGATACGTTATGTCGACGATTTAACTCAACTATCGACCACGAACGCTCCGCCGAGAATGATCGCCGGTTCTTCGATGTTGTGGTGTTCATAACTGGAATTTGACACATAGTCGGTTGAGTTAGCGGGGGGGGGGGGGACAAAAATCAAATCAATTCAAAACAAACCAAATCAATCCCTGACTTCATTTTTATCGCTAGTCATGGGGGGGATAATATCATCCAGATAACAGATGAAGGGAGAACTCACCTCAACGTCCCCACACCACCCGCTTCCAGAATCAGCGCCGTCTCCGTCAACGGCTTTCCGGTCCAGCGCATCGCGAACGCCCGGAGAATATGTCCGTGGGCGACGACCAGCACGTCGCCCTTTCCTTCGTCACCACAGCCGTCCAGACATGGCTTGTGGTATTTGTCTCGGATTTCGGCGATCACGGCGTCGAGACGGGCGATTACGTCTGTGGGGGATCTATACATTATTTGTCAGTTAGCATGGTGTCGTCTCAGCCTGATATCCAAGCAACCAAGCAAGCAGGCAGGCAAGACAGCTATAGATAGATAGATAGATAGATATCTCCAATAAACACCCCATCCACAACCAACATCAAACCATCAAGCCCCAAAAGGAAATCAAAGAAAAGGAAAAAAAAAAAAAAAAAAAACATACTCTCCCCCGGGACATCCATCCCTCCAAATATCCCACGGCCCCTCACCGCGAGCGTCCCTCATCTCGCGAATCTGCCGACTCGTCAATCCCTCATACTCGCCGTAATCCCATTCCCGGACGGCGTCGGTGACCTGCACGCGGGCTTCGGTGCGGATGGGCTCCTCGTCCTCGGACTTCCGGGCTGCGTTCCAGGGGAGGCGCTCCCGGCAGCCGATCTCGAGGAGTTCAAGCGTGCGTTGGGCGCGGGAGCGGGGGGAGACGTAGCTATATTGTTTCATCCATCCATGGACATGTATGTGTTAGCGGGGTCGATCTATACATTCATTCATTCATTCAGACTCAAGCTTATCTCAAATCTCAACCTCAAAAACCAAAACCAAAGCAAAAGAATAAGATAAGACAAAGAATAAAGAAAGAAAAAAGAAAGAAAGAAAGAAAAGAACATACACATGAACCACCTTCCTCGGCACAATCAACCGATCATCCCCGACGAGGGCCTTCCCCGTGGCCTTGATGCGTTTCTCGCCGTTGGGCGTCAGCGCCAGGTCCGTGGTGCCGGTGTGGCGGCCATTCAGCGACCATTCGGTTTCGCCGTGGCGGATGATGAAGCATCTTGGGGTCATTCTTTTTCTTTCTTCTTTCGCTTCTATTTGGTATTTCCTTTTTTTTTTTTGTTTTGGTGGTTGGGGGTTGATTGATTGTTTGGTTGGGAGGGAGGGAGGGAGGGGTATTGGAGGGGAGAGGAGGGGAGGGGAGAGGAGAGGAGAAGTGTTGTATGGAGAGAAGAGGGGGAGGAGGGAAGAGGGTGGGATGGGATAGATAGATACGATCACGAGGAGACAGGAGGAGCGCTACGTAAGAGTTGTAGATGGATTGTCGCGCCGGTGTGTACAGACAGTAAGACTAAGCCGGTGGATTGGTTGCGTCATAGGCTGGCTGGGTTGGGGTTGCGTCTCGGTCAACCACTACGGATCATGCGGGATCTACATATACCGGCTATGAACAGCCACGAGACAATGTGATAATACAGGTGTTCATAAGAGGCACTGGCCCGAGAGACATCCCAGACATCTAGTGAGTGATAACTAACTGATCATTGAGGAGAGAGAGAGAAAGAGAGAGATAGAGAGGTACGCTTTTTGCTCCCAGTCCCAGATGTCCCCGATCCATCCCTTGCCCCCCACAATCCAACCAGTGCCCCCACCGGAAAGCGAGAAGCGAGTCAAAGAGCAACCGAACCATCACGCCAAAGGAAAAAGCGAAGACTGAATGAAAAAGACCATGTGATAAAATTCAACTCATATTCTCCAGTTACATACGTGTTAGCGAGCACTTTCCATGCCCCGTCTAGGCCATGTAGGTGCTGGAGTCGACGCCGCCTTCGGGGTATTCGCTGCGAAACAATATTAGCGGGATCCTGTCAGATAATGTTATAACGGAAATACTCACGGAAGCGCAACCTCGAATCTCTTCTCAATCTCCTTGAGGACCTTCTCGTCGTCCTCAGTGCTGACGAACGAGATCGACAGACCCTTGGTACCGAAACGTCCCGCACGACCGACACGGTGCAGGTAAGAGTCGGCGTCCGCGGGCAGATCGTAGTTGATGGCAAGGTTGATACGCTCGATATCGATACCACGTCCGAACACGTCGGTGGCCACGCAGATACGCTTGTTGAACTCCTTGAACTCCTTGTAGCGTTTGATGCTGCCGGAGATTAGCACAGGTCCCAAGTAACAGCGAGACTGCATTCTTACCGCTCCTCCTGGCTCACTCCAGAGTGCACCGCGATACTGGGGAAGTTGCACTCGCGCAGCAGCTTGTCGAGCTCGTTGGCACGCAGGGTGCTCTTGACGAAGATAATGACCTGGTTGAACTCCAGGTTGTCCAGAAGCTCGTTCAGCTTGCGGTTCTTCTCCGCCTCGCTGAGCTTGATGTAGTACTGCTGCAGACCGTGCAGAGTGAGTTTGGTGTCGTCGTCAACGTAGACCTCGAGCGGGTTCCTCATGAACTTCTTGCAAATCGGGCGGACTTCCTGGGAAAGTGTGGCGCTGAACATCATGACCTGCTTGTCGGCGGGGGTAGCACGGAAAATCTCCTGCACGTCGCGGCGCATGTCTAAAAGCAATCCATCAGTAAGCAGGTCCAACACGGGACGAGCGGCGCGCACTCACCGATCTGGTCAAGCATCTTGTCACACTCATCGAGAACGAAAGCCTTCACGTTGCGCAGGGACAGCTTCTTGTCGCGAACCAAGGCGTTCAGACGACCGGGAGTACCAACGACGATGTTGGGGTAAGACTCCTTGTTCGACAGGAGCTCCACGTCCTTCTGGATGGGGGTACCTCCGTAGAAGACAGCGGTCTTCACGTCGGGCAGGTACTTGCTGAAACGAGCGTACTCGTTCTTGATCTGGTACGCCAACTCACGCGTGTGGCACATCACCAGGATCGAGCACTCTCCGGGAACGGCCTCCAGCTGGTGCAGGGTGGTCAAGACGAAAACCGCGGTCTTTCCGAGACCAGACTTGGCCTGGCAAAGAACATCGACGTTGAGAATGGCGGTAGGAATGCAGACTTGCTGGACTGTAGTGAGGCGGAACCGTATGTTAGACTTTACTCGATCCATAAGATTTGATAAAGGAAAAAAGCAATCCGCGTCGCCAAGTCCGTCCAGCCCCCGAGTTGATCGGATCATAAGGGAAGCACTGTGTAGTGTAGGCCTGCACGTTCCCACCAAGGACAACAAAGGCAAAATCAAGTTGCACCGGGTCGAGCAACTGAATGAGCTGCAGTCAGAGATTCTCATCACGAGCTCTCTCTGCAGGCGGCAAGAGGACGACTGCCGTTTGAACAAACGGTGGCAAAAAGCGCCCGTCCTGTGCTTTTGGAAGCACACCACAATTCGCCCGGCATCTGTACAGGCAGACTCCTCGGGAAATCTTCTGGACTCAGTGTTGCCGGGATTTCACCGAAGCAAGAGAGAAGCAAACAAGCAGAGGCTGCAGAGGCACTACTACCGCAGGGCGACTCGGCTTGTTGTAACGCGAACAGACATCCTCATGCCGCCCGCAGACTGGAGCGAAACAGGTGCCACGGAGCGACTATAGAACTTTCCCCGCGGAGATGGACGGACGTTGGAACATGGAGCAATGGAGGGAGGCTTTGGGAAAGAATACGTGATGGACTAACCCTCCGATGGATGTTCGAAACCGCAATCGGTGATGGCACGTAGAAGTTCCTCTTTGAGCAGAAAGTCGCGGAATCCGGTCGAGTGAATACCAACATAACTACCCTTCTTGTCGGGGCGGCCGCCAGAAACCGTCAAGTCGCCCTTCTTGGCCTCTCCATTGGAGGCGGGAGCAGCGGTGGTGGCCGCCGCGTCAGTGGTCTGAAGCTCCTCGTCGGAGTAGTCGATGAGATCCTCCTCGTGAGACATGGTGATCGATAGTGTTGTGATGAAAGGTAATCGAGAAAACTCTGCTGGTTGAAGCGCGTCTTATCCCAAGGCAAACGGGGCCAGGGCAGGTGGTCGCTGGTGGAAGTAACGGGGGGGGAGGGGGGTGAAAAAGCGAGTTCGAACCGATAATCTAGGCCGAAGTCGATGTGTGGTCCTCCTTTTGACGGATGAGAGATGGATTGAGGATGGAGATAGGCCGGAGCGCGAAGGAAGAGGATGGAGATGGGGAGAAGAGTCGGCGGCGCGCGTGAAGGGATGGAGCGGCTGAGCCTCCGACAGCTGCGTCACGTGAATCATAGATTAGTCACCGGCCCAGGCTCCCGCGCCGCTTCGGGTTAGCGCCAGATGAATCCCGTTTTTAGGTCAATCGTATCGTCGCATCCCATTTCCATTTCCATTCATCGTTCCATCACATACCCCCGTCATGGTCAAGTCCAACCCCAAGCCCAAGGCAAAGGGCAAGAAGGACGCAGCTGGGGGCGCGCAAAGCCATATCCGTGCTCGTCTGGACTACCTATACAATGCTGCGATCTATCTACAATCCGTAGCGAATCCTCATCATCCACAACCACCACTGGTTTGTCGACAGGCAGGCCAGAATGATGAGGGGGGGGATTACACAGCACCGCGGATAGTGCCACATGTCGTGACCCCCAGCAGTGCATCGGGCTTGGAAGCCGCGGGCCAGGACGCCCAAGCAACCACAGACCACCTGCCCCAACTGTCTCGAGTCTATATGTCGCAAATGCGCGGCGTCTCTCTTAAAGCCCAGCTACGACTTCCGGTGGATGTGAAAAGATCGTTTTGCAAGCGCTGCGATACCCATCTGATCCCTGGGACGACTTGTACTCAAGAGATCAGAAACGCCAGCCGCGGCCGCAAGAAGCCCTGGGCTGATGTGTTGGTCGTGCGTTGCTCTACATGTGGGACAGAGAAGCGTTTCCCTCAAACAGAGAAGCGCAGCAAAAGGCTGCCTGAGCGTCGGGAAGAGGCCTTGCAGAAGGAGCAAGAGAAACCAACCGCGGGTGCCTGATTTCCTTATCCCAGGCTCCGAGAGTTTCCGTCTCCTGTCTTCTCTGAACCCCTTTGTGGCGTTTCAACGCGAGTCGAAAGGGGTGTGGCATGATCGTCCTTCCAAAGAGGACAGCTGAATTGCTCTTTGGCTCCGTTTGAGCCCTGTCTGCCAGGGGTAGCCGAGTGATTCGATGCCAGGCCGTTTGGTGAAAACCTAGATCCTGTGTCACATGTTACAACCCGGGATGACGACTCCAAGTTCGGGCAAGTGCATCACGCGCAGGGCAGGGGATTACGAAGTGGGAGGTGAAACATCAACATACAATTCACAGTGGCTTTGAAGGCCAGGAATATGCGCCAAAAGAGCCAGGAGGCAATCAATATATGTACATGCGGGTCATTGCAAACCAGGCTTCGCTAAACTTCATACACGGGCATCACTTGATCAAAAGTGTGGTTTCGTCATTCTTCACGATCGCAGCTGCCACTGGGCCCAACAGAGAGTAGCTTTCATGAGCCATTCTCCAACACAGTCTCACTGATGTTGAAACGCAAGAAACGAAAGGAAAACCGGCCATGTCGGTATCATATGGATGCCGCTCAGTCAAAGAAAAAAACATAGAAAATAGATGCTCATCGGGAATCGCAAGATGATATAAGAACCGCTGCGTCATCAACTTCGTATAGTGAAAGACGTGAATCATGAAAGGGAGCCAAGCTCCAAGCAGACGATCATCAAAACAGGAACTCCGACGCTATCAACACCGTGCTATCCTGTCAAGTTTTTAAGTTTGGTGAAGCCAAAAGAGCCGCGAGGCAGGTGTCCCAGTCTTTAAACAGCGATCCTCTCCAATACACGCGAAGGGAAAGCAAAACAAACTCAAATGAGCTCCTTGCTTCACTATGATCAGAACTGAAATAAGCATGTAGAACATGGGGTGAGCAAAATCATAATAACACAGGGTCCGCGAGGACGCAATCGTTTTATAAACACGCATCATGTTCGTTATGTGGAGTAGTGTTGTGGTTGTGGTTGTGGTCGTTTTCGTATGTCGTTGGATTCTGTTCCTTTTACAGACCATCTCTTGCCTCGGGAAAAAGAGGCATGTGAATATGTGGATCCGTTTGATTGACCAATGGCGAGTACGACTGAAACACAAGCGCCTCCAGGGCAGAGGAACGTTGAAGGATAGATGCAAGAAGGCAAAAGAGGCAAGACTGAAGGCGTGGAAGTATGGTCGGAGGTCGGGGGTGTAGTATAAACAGCGGTGTAGGGCAGGAAGGTGTTTCAGTGTCTCCGGCGGGCGGCTTGATCCAGGCGTTGATCGATATTTTCTATACGGCCGCGATAGGCTTTCACGATCTCTCTTATGTGACCGATCTTCGCAAGCTCATTATCCAACTCATCAATTGAGGTGAGGATGGAGCGGGTGCGGGCGATCTCCGCATCGGCGTTGCGAATGATGTTGCCCGCGCGGTCGTAGCTGTTTTGGATGGAGAGCTGCATTTGCTCCTCCAGCTGCTGTACGTTAGAGCCAGGAGACAGAAGAGACCCATGAGGTGGGGTGTAGTGGGGGAGTGGGCGCGACCCCGTAGGTCCGCTTCAGAGGGCCGGCCACATTGAAGCCGGGGGAGCCCATGTCGCGAAAGGCAATGAAGGGAAGAATAGCACCTACATAATCGATGCGACTCCGAATCTGTTGCTGCAAGCCGTCCAGCTGTAGTGAAAGCGCTCGTAGGCTCATCGGATCCAGAATCAAACGGCCGTGACTGCTGGCGGCACTGGCGGCGCGCGAGCTGGAGTTGCTGTTTCGTCCGGTCCCTCTGCCCCGGGCAACCCCATTGGCACCATGGCTGCCCTGCAGGGCGATCTGCTGCTGCTGGCGGAGGATCTGGATCTCGGAGGAGGTGAGGCCAAGCGAAGTGTCGGGAATCGAGGCTGTTACGGACATTTGGTCCCGGCAGAGACATGCTCCTACCGCGGCAAGAGTCTAGGAAGCGCCGGCCGATCTCGTGGTGTAGAGACAGAACGGACCGAAGTTCATGATGAGAACCGATGCGACCCAGGGAAAATATTGTGCGCGAGCGTCGGTGAAGGGGGGGAACCAGAGCCAGCGAGACAGGATGAAAGAACAGGACAGAAGAGACACACGCCGAGGGATGGAGGGTGGGGGGGGGGGGGGGGGGAGGGCAGGTCGGGAGCCGGTCAATGGCGGCGACTGTCGCTTCCCCGAAACGGATGCAAATCACCTGGAGCGAATTAAGGTATCATTGGAAGCCAAAGGAGGGCAGGCAGAGAGGGGATGAGGTTCGATTATTGGGTCGCTGGCGGCAAAGAAAAAGGAACGAAGCAGGCAGCCCCCGTGAGTCGGTCGGGGGGGGTTACACTGACGGCGACGATGCGAGGAAGAAGTCGATCTGATCTTCTGAGCCGGAGACGGTCACAGGCGATTGGATTGGATTGAATTTCGAGACAGTCGACCAGGGATCAACCTCGGAAGACAGCCAGAGCGAGGAAGGAGGAGGGAGAAAGGAGGAGGGAGGAGGAGCGAATGCGAACGAAGGCGGGAGGAAGTTGAGATGAGATGGGATGAGATGGTGGTGTGAGAGAGGCGGCGGCGGAGACGGGGCAGCACGGCGACAAGAGAACGAGGCTAAGAAAAAGAAGACAAAACCAGAAGCAGTAAGACTTGATCGGACCAGGACAATCTCGCCATTCACAGCAGAATCGGAGGATCCTCTGGTGGTGTTTCTGTGGCCGGATGGCTGGTCCAGAGGGCTCTCCGGGCTGGAGGAATATGGCGGATGACGATGTTTTATGCCCGGGGATAGCTGGGATAGATGGAGATGAGGCAAGTGACGGGCAAAAGCACAATAGCCGAATGGATTGGCAATCCCACCAGAGATGAGAATCGTGAAGCATCCAGCATGACAGCCGTGACTCCGCGCCCGCCTTGCCTTGCCTTGCCTGACTTGCCTGACTTGCCTGACTTGCCTGGCTTTCCTTGCCTTCCTGCCTGGACTTCTTTCTCCGCCCGCAATTTCGACTTGCATCGCGTTTTCTCCAACTGCCATCGCTTCAACCCACTCCCTCCAGCTCCTCTCTTCACCCCCCCCCCCGAGATTGGCTTCATCAAGCACCCCCTCGACCTAATCCTCCCAATCCTCCCCTCTCCAAGCGACTGCGCATCTCCAATCAATCCCCCTCCCACCCTCCTCACCCAACCAACACCCCCGAATTGCCGCACCAAGCGCTTCTTCAACCGCCATCCAACCCCCTCACCCCCCGTCTCCAGGCGCAACGGATCCCCTCATCATTCGACCGACCAGAACCAGACCCGAAGGCCAACCCGCTGCCTAACCCGTGAGGCTAGAGTCGTGCGCCCTCCATTCGTCGTGACCTCCCCATTATCATTGGTCCTCCGCTTGCGACGACAGTCAGCTTCGCGAATCCGCTGCGCCCGTGGTTGGCTTTCCCTTTCCCCCCATGCAGCTGGTTTAGCTATCACCCTGTGAGCATTGCCCGATTCCTTTCCTCCTCGTCTAGTGCGCTGCAGGAGAGTTCCGGTAGCTGTATGTATGGCTATGGATATGCGCGTGCGCGTGCCGCGCCCGTCCCCCGAGCTCGTCCTACCCTGTCTTGTCTCCCCTCTTCCCCGCGCCCAGAATCTTCCAATCCTCCTCCAACATTGATCTCCGAGTTGAGGATAAGACTGGCTAACATGCGATATTAAATCCCCACATAGTAGACATCCGGCGGCATAATTAACCACCTATCCACCTTCTCCACCACTTAACGGAACCCATCCATCACATAACAAACCCCCCCCCCACCACACACATATACAATCACAATGGCCAAAGACAAAGAACGCAGCGTCAACCCTGCCGCCGCGCAGCGCAAACTCGACAAACAAAAGAGTCTGAAAAAGGGAAAGGCGGAGGCGCTGGCGCGACGGAACGAGAAACTCGCGCGTCGCAACCCGGAGCGCATCCAACGGCAGATCACCGACCTCAAGTCCCTGGAAGAGTCCGGCCAGCAGCTCCGGCCCCGCGACAAGCAGCTTCTGGAAGCTCTGGAACGGGATTTGCGCGCCGTGCACAAGGCCCGGGAGGCGTTGGGTGATAAGGCGCCGAAGTTCGACACGAGAGCGGGCGGGGGTCAGTATCAGAATCAGAATCAGCATGGGCGTGGGCGTGGTGGGGACGGTGGTGCGGTGCTGGGGAAGCGGAGGCGCGAGGGTGGTTTTGGTGGTGGCAGACGGTTCGGACAGGATGAGGATGGCGAGAGTAGCGACGAGACAGACGAGGAGGTGAGAAGGATACCCATGCCGCGGGATACGCCGCCACCGATCCCACGACCACAACGGAGGGGTCCCCCATCCGGCGATCAGGGTGGTGGTGGTGGACGAGGCCCGCATGCGCTCCCGGCACGACCGCCCGTCGTCGAAGCCAGAACGGTGTACGAGGCGAAGCCGGAAATCAGGAACCTGCGCCAAGAGGCCATCAACATGTTCGTGCCTGCGGCAGTCAGAGCCAAACAGGATGCCATTCGCGGACAGGGCAAGCTCTTGGAACCGGAGGAGATGGACCGGCTCGAGCAAGCAGGATACAACGCCGGGCCGTCCGCAGAAGCCGGAACCACTGCAACAGAAACCCCTGCTACAGATCAACCCGATGCTGACGACCAGAGAAGGAGATTGCTGGAGGAGGAAGAAAGGCGGTTCAACCAGGAACTACGATCTGTGCAGATCGAGGAGGTCGAGGATGAAGATGCTTGATCTCTCCATCTCTCTTTCTCCCTCTATCTGTCCTGTAGGGTGGGTGGGTGGTCACCGATTTACTATCAATCAATACCTTATGAGGCGTTTGCTTTGCTTTGCTTTGCTTTGCTTACTTACCCCCCCCCCCCCCCCCCAAACACCCAACCGGCTTTCTAAAATGTAACTATAACTATAACCATAACCATAGCTAACTGACTATAAATCAGCACGATACTCTCAAACCCTAGTAAGTTAGTGTGTGATTGAATTGGATGGAATGAAACTATATTGATTCCAATATCATCCATCTACCGTCAAACAGAGAACCCACAAACAATCATAGCTATCCTGAACAAATAGGTAGGTAGTCCAATGATAATGTTACAGCCAATTTTGATCATCGCCGCCCTTCCGTGCCATAATATGCGCCGGCATTCGTGCACGATGTATATAGATGGATGGATGGATGGATGGATGGATGGATGGATAATGAATTCTTAGAACAGTAGGTAGATACGATAGGTAGGAGTAGTTAAGAAAACAAAGATCATCAGTTTGTTTCCGCTACCATTTATCCAACCCAACCCATATCCTCCCATCCCATTCCATCCGGCACCGCAGAATTGTTTGTTTGTTCCAAAAGAGGTTAGAGGAAAGAAATCACACCCGGTACTTATGTATGTATGTACAATTGCGTACAACAAAGACGTACGAAGAAGAAGCCCCTTTCCTGACCGGCACACACAGCCGTCACTGGAGTAACGCCAACCCATAGAACGCCATCGATTGAAGAAAGGAAAGGTGAGGGGGGGGAGGGGTTCAAGAGAGTGTCAGTTTGGTGCAGGGCAGGAGAGGTCAGCGGGGACACTCTTCGGAAGGCCGTTGAGAAAGGTCAAATCATCCAAGTGGTAATTGGTAAAGTTCAAGAAGCGCCGGAAAAGTAGGTAACCAGGAATTAAATCCAAGGGGGTGGGGGGTTGTCCAATGCGATATCTGTACAGTAGTGAAATGAAGAAAAAGGGGGTAACTAGGGCATCACGGCATTAGAGAACAAAGGAAATGAGGTTGTGTCTGTCGAAGGGGGTTAGGGATTCGATGACAATGCAGCGCAATAAAATGCAATCAGGTTCCATGTCTTGCATGGGCTCTCGGAAATCACTCCATCCAGCCGTAACTCCAAAATATGTTTCGACTATTAAAATGTATGGTGAGGACACGTCGTCAATCAGGCGTTTACCCAAAATGCCTGCAGTGGTCGATTGCGCGGATCAACCAGCGGAACTGACTTGCAGGCGCTAGGCGTATGAGTATGATGAATGGTAGCGTCGTATGTAGATTGCATGGGGAAGGTTACCAGGCTGCATGCTGAGTTGAGTTACCTCAGGTTGCGGATAACCTTTCTACCCCGGTTTAAGAAAGGGCTGGGCATGTCGTCCTTCTCGGGATCCCACACGGCTGGAGGTTCTCGCTCGGTCTGTTTCAAGCTAGGACGGGAGGCATCACTGGCACATCGTTTGATCTCATCCATGGGACGGCCACCTGCACGCGCCTGTGCCAGCTCGACCAAGGTTCGACCGCCCATGTTGCGCTGCATAACGGCTTTGTACATTTCGTCGCCGCCTCCGCCGACCTTGGTGGTAAGCTGCTTCCCGCCTGTCTTGCGGGTGGGAGAGCCGGCGTCGGCAGCCAGGTTTGCTGAGGACGGGATCTTCGACAAACGACGATGAGGGGACCTGGACTTCGCCTCTCTGAGATGTCCCTCTCCTCCGGACATCTGTGGCAACCGCGAGCTGCTTGTCGGGAAGATGGGAGGCTGGGTGCTAAGCTTCTGCATGAAGGCAGCGGTGTTCTGACGGAGTAGGGGGCGAGGGGGAGCCTTGAACGGATCGGGTTTGACCTTGGGGCGAGTCGGGGACGGCAAGTCGGGGATGTCATCCTCGTCATCGGAGTATGCGAGGGTAGGTTCCCACTTGGCGCGTTGTTTTTCTGCCTCTGCGAAGATGTTCTTGCCGCAGTGGGTGCCAGAGGTCCGACGGGGGGAGAGAGAGAGCGAGGCAATCGAGATGGGAGAAGGCTCGGCCATCTGAACATCCATGGGTGACTCCACTACCGTTTTCGAGCGGTTCAGGGGGGTGCGGGTTCCCTTTGTCGGTGCTTTCGAGACGGGCGACTCAAGAGACAGCTGGCTGATGTCAGTGCTCGAAGGGGTTTCTGTGTCATCGTTCATCGAAGACCGAGAGTCCAGGCTGCTGGATCGGAAACCAGAGTCCTCCCTGTGAACGGCACTGCGTTTCTGTTTTTCGACTTCAATTGCGACTCTCTCCTGAACTTCGGATTCAAACCGTTTGCGGAGTTTCTCAAGCTCATTCTGGACCTGGCGATCGATCTCGAGTCTAGCCTTCAGCTCCCATTCGCGGCGGACGGTGTTCTCGATTTCCGCTTTAACCTGCTGCTTCTCTTTTTCCAGTTTCGCATATGCCTGCTCCACATCCCTAACCTTCTGCAGAGCCGAGTCCTCGCGTCTGCGCAGAGTCTTGGTGAGATCAGTCACCTCCTTATCCTTGCGTAGTAGTCGGATGATGGGCAAGTTGATCAGCGCGGTGGTGTCGGGACGGTGGTCCGGGTTGACACGAAGGCAGCTTGCGATGACGTTTTTGAGCTCGGGGGAGTAGAATTCGGGAAGCGGGGCAAATTTGCCTTCACGGATGCGTTGCACGAGCTGGATATGGGTTCTGGCGTTGAAGGGGGGCTCCCGCTGGCAGAGCTCGTACATGATGCAGCCGACGGCCCAGATGTCGGAACGCAAGGTGTACTTTTCTGCAGCACAGATCTCAGGAGACATGTAGAACGGGGTGCCGACATACGTTGAAGCAAAATCATGCGAGTTCATGAGCTTTGACAGACCAAAGTCGCCGAGCTTGACGGTGTTGTCGCTTCCGAGGAAGATATTCTCGGGCTTGAGATCTCTGTGCAAGATGGTCACTTGCGCCTGTTTCCCTTTCAGACCAGAGGGCTTGGGTGCGGGTCCCAGTATGTTTGATCCAACGTCGACGGCATCCGTGCCATAGTGACAGCGATACAACGCCGTCACCAACTGGGACAGGATGCGCCAGACAAACTCCTCCTCCGCGAACTTGTTGGCCTTTTTAAGGTTCTTGATCACCATGCTGAGATCCCCTCCACCGCAGTATTCCATGTAGAGGTACAGGTCCTGACTCGCTTTGAGGTGTTCTCGGTGGTAATAGGCGACAATATTCGGGTGACGAAGGGAGCTCAGGATGTTGAACTCGGCCGTTAGCTGCTCGCGCTCTTTCTGGGACATTTTGATGTAGTTGATCTCCTTGCGACAGAGGATCTATGCCATGATCTGTCAGTTGAGTCACGATCACCAGGGGAAGATCACCATCTTACAAAGCCATCTGTCTTCCGTCGAACCTTGCGGATTATCCCGAAGGAACCACAACCTAGGCATCTCTAGTTAGAGTGACGAACCGTGAGGATGAGGACCAGCAGCCATCCACGAGAGGCCCAACATACCAATCTTCTCCAGCACCTCATATTTGTCGGCCTCCGCCAGTGCAATGGCCATGGTGGCTGTAGGACGAACTCGGCCACTGGCAGAAAGTTAAAGGAGGGAAGGACTGTCGGCGGAAAAGAGATGGAAGAGGATGAGGGCGGGGTGTCCTATTGCATTTATGGACCGAGGCTGTGTGACCGAGACCTGTGGGTTAGTAAAGGAGGGCGATGGAGCGGTGCATGTAGATTGGGGATGTAGAATCAAAGAAGTAGTAGGTATGCGAGCGGATGGGAACGCTGGATGTTTAGACGCCGCCCGTTGCTGAGCAACGCAGCCCCTTCACGGCCCGTTCCTGGATGCGGCAGGCGGTGGCATTGCGGGCGGTGAGGCGCGGTGCATCTCCGGCTCCAGCATCGTTGCTGGGAGGCCAGTTCTGCGATAGAGTCCATGCGACGATGCATGACCGATGCTGCATGGGGGTGCATAGTAGGGATGCCATGGAGACAGGCTGCGTGGCTGCTTTGGGCAGCTGCATGGGGTGGAGGATGAAGCATAAGCAGCAGCAGCAAGGAGATGCGATGAACGAATGATGAGTAATCCACTTTTTCCACGTGACCTGGGCTTATCGATAAGCCAATGGCGATGCGCCTTTCGGCCTTTCCTCGCCGTCGCCTCCAGACCTTGTCGTCGTCCATCATCCCTCCCCCACCATGACGCAGGAAGAACCGACCGTCCTCCGCAAGGACCAGCTCGAGGTCAGTCTGCACAACGAGAAGAAGCTGATCAAGGAGGGCGCCATCAAGGACGACAACCCTCTGGACCTAAGCGAGCCGTTCCGCCAGCTCTGCGATGCCTGTCGTAAGGGGGATCTCAAGGTTTGTCAAGAGAAGATCACAGAGGGGGTCAATATTAACGCTCGGGATCCCTACGACTATACCCCCTTGATTCTGGTGAGTCGTCCCCCATTGCCCCCAATCCGACGTGGGGGGCGCATTAGTGACGGGGCCTGCAATAGGCGAGTCTCTGTGGCCACTATGAGGTTGCCCAGCTGCTGCTCGAGTCCGGTTCCCTGTGCGAGCGCGACACTTTCCAAGGCGAGAGGTTTGTATTCCAATTGCCGGGGTTCTACCGGGCTATTGAACTCTACTCACTCACGGTTCCAATAGATGTCTATATAATGCGCTGAACGACCGTATACGCAATCTGCTACTCGAGTACGATTACTCGAAATCTACCGATCCCCTGCAGCCTCTTGCCGCGCATATAACGTCGCTCCTTACTCGCGAGACCCCTCAGACGTCGGATATTGTTGTAACGGCTGCCGAGGAATCCCTTCATCTGCACAAGTTCATCCTGGCTGCGCGGTCGCCCTATTTCCGCACCAAGTTGGAAGCTGCGCCTGAAACGACCACATGGAGGCTCCCCAACACCATCCCGCCGGAAGCATTCGGGACGGCAATCAAATATCTCTACTTCGGAGAAGCTCCCCGCGATCTGAAAAGCGGTCCCGGGACGGGTTTCACGGAATCGGAGGTATTCGCAGGCATTGATAAGATTGCCAAGTACCTGGAAATCAATACTCTCGTGGACAGCATTCTCGACAGCGGGGACAGAAGAATGGCCAGACAAAGGCGCACAATGGAAGTCGCCAAGGGCCGGGACCAACTGGAGGACTGGTTCCGGGCAAACGTGCTCCAGCATAAGGTGACCGTGGAAACATCCAAGGCGGACGACGTCAAGTGGGACAGAGACAATGCGATATTCGCGGATGTGCTACTTCGGTCGGACGAGCTGCTCGAGGACCTTGAGGACATTGAGTCCGATGGTGCCAACTCTGGAAACCTTGCGAACGGTCAACCGTGCGATAGCGGTGCTAAGTCGATTCTGTTCCCTTGTCATCGGGCGATGCTCCTGCGGTCGGAGTTCTTCCAGACCATGTTTGCCTCTTCATTCCGTGAAGCGCACATGAAAGACAACCTGAATGTCATCAATGTGGACTGCTCCCCGGAGGTCCTGGAGATTGTGCTAACCTTCCTCTATACCGAGCGGGCTGATTTCCCGCTCGACATTGCGGTGGATGTCCTCTTCGCAGCAGACATGCTATTTATCGAGAAGCTCAAGACCAAGGCCGCTGTTGTCATCAGCACGCTCGGCAGCGGCAACATGTCGCAGGCGGAAGCCGCAAGGACGCGAGGCACGGAGGAGGATGATTTGGACATCTACGCCATCATCCGGGCTGCCTGGTTGACGCGCGTGCAGCGACTGGAGGAGTTCGCGGCTCGATTCCTGGCATACCGGCTGGAAGCTCACATCGACACTCCGGAATTCTCAGAGCTGATCCAGGAGTCGGCATCGCGCATCCAAGGAAGACAGGAGACTGACTCCATCGAAATGCTGGACGATATCCGCTTCTACTTGGGCGAACGATTCAGATTGAGGTTCGATGATGCTGGTATCGACGAGATGATGGAAGATGAAAACGCGCAGCCGGCTGCCGGCGAGACCAACGGAGACGTTGACAAGGTTGCCGAGGGGGTCGAGGCGATTGAGCTTTCGAAGGACGGCTCAGCCCCTGCTGCCACCATCGCGCCCGAACAGACACCAGAGGGAAAGGAGGCGGCTCTCATCCGGACGTTGGATGGCGAAATAGCGGTCGACGAGTTCGACAAGGATGCGATCAACTACCAGATCCTGATGGACAAGCTCGACAGGATCCTGGAGAACCTGAACCTGGACGCCTAAGCCCGGCCAGCTCACGATTGACGACTTACAGGTATATAAATTGGAACAGTATATAAACATAGAGGCTGGATCCCGTACAGGCTACATTGGACAGCTGGGCGAGTGCTCGGGAGCAATAGTATAGATATGTGTGGGGGTTCGTATATACGAATGCATTTACGATCTGAATACTTCACAGCCAACATTCCATCCACGATGTCTGAATTCCAGCAGCGCAGCATAGTACTCCTACTAGTCCTGTCTGACCCTTCAACGGCGGAGAACCCTCGCTCCTCCTCCCTCCTCCCTGCCCTTTCGTCCTTACCCCTATCCATCCCTACCATGACCACCGACCGGACCATCACAAGCAGATCACACCACGCATCCCCTCGGATCTCCAACTCCATCTGTCCATCCATCCGTCCGCCCGAACGAGATGAACCCACCAGCCACGCCTCAAATAATAAACAAACAAACTTCCTGACGGCTGGGATCAACCTGCTGATCCCACTGTAGATACGGAGTAGTAGACGGCAGGGACCGTGGGCATGATCCGCCAAGTCTACGGGTCGTGAACAGCGGTACCGGGATGTCAAATCCTACTTACCTGTCAGTCAGTCAGTCAGTCAGTCAGTTAGTCAGTCACACCACGCCACCACAGCCCTCGGCCCCCCCCAGCCCCCCGACCAACAACCAGCAGCCAGCAGCCAGGTAAACTACTCTCTAGTAAGTAAGTAGGAGATAGTTAGCCGCCGCCCAGAAACAGACTTTGGTGGTTTCGTGGCAAGCGAGCGAGCGAGTGTCCGTGCCCCTACTTTTTTTTACTTTCCCTTTGACTTTTTTTTTTTTTTTTCTTTAGGCGTAACTCAAACTTGGACCTCGTGTGGTAGTAGACTCCTTACTACTTATGGAGTATAGGAGGAGTGTAAGGGGAGGTAAGTAGGTGGTCACGTTCGTTAAGTGGGTGAAAAGAAATAAGAAGAAAAAAGAAAAGTTTAAATAAAATTAAAGATTGGGATGTGGACGGGGAGGGAAGCGTATGGATACTGGGTGGACTGGGATATCTAGGATAGACCTTGTTGTTTGTTCTTGTTCTTGTTCTTGTTCTTGTTCTTGTTTCTGTTCTTGTTTCTGTTCCTGTTCTTGGGAATAATGGGAGAATTAGTAATGCGGGGATATGTGTGGATGTGGGAGTTGACTGTGTCTTAGATATGTCTTATTTAATCTTGTTTGCTGGTTGATTGGTTTGTTAATTGGGGCTGGTTTTGGTTTCTTTTTTGAGGGGGTGGGTTTGGAATTAGATATCTCATTGTATTTATCTATATATGTGTGTGTGTGTGTGTTTGTATGCTTGATATGCATGATATGAGTCATTCAGTCAGTCAGTCAGTTGGTAGATGTGGATGTGGATGTGGATGTGGATATGAATGTGATAGGATCTAAAAGATGCATATGGGGGTTGAAGGATTGCCCTGCCCTGCACTTTTGTCAGTATTATTGTCTATCTGTCTACCTACCTATCTATCTCCAAGTGTCAGTATCAGTATCACTTCCTATCATCCACCTACACACATCCCTCATTCCACCAGATACTATACAAGGAAGTACTCCATGATATAACTAGTAGGTAGATAGGTAGGTAGGTAGATAGCCAAACATCCCTCCAACCCAACCCAACCCAACCCACATATATATATACACTGGCACATAGTACCCCATCCATCCACCTCCCAAACCCCACCATCTGCAGCAGTCAAAAGTAGAATTCACATATCACATATCACACTCCAAGTCTCACTCAAAAAGACATCAAGACAAGACAAGGATTACCATATTACTATCTCGGTGAACAAAAACAAAAGCACAAACACAAACACAAACACAAACACAAAAAGCAAAGGCTACTTGCAGCATCAGCATCGTAGCATTGTATGGCCAGAAGGGAGATCATCGTGATCTCCCGCATCCCACGCAGGACAGGCGGACGGATCGGGTCGTGCGGCTTTTTCTGACTGGAGAGATTATATTATTATAATCATTATTATTATCACCATTAGCCTTCCTTCAAGGGGGGCGTGAACGTGAACGTGGGCGTGGGCGTGGACGTGGGCGTGAGCGTGGGTATGGACGTGGGCGTCACGGTGTTTGGATTTGGGCCGGGGGGGTTAGTTACACAGCATTTCTGATAAAAATAAATAAAAAAGATTATTTAGAATGGGGATTGTGCTGAGAGGAGGATTGTAAGGAGGTGTGATATGGTGTGATGTGATGTGATGTGGTTGTAGTATACCACAATACAGAGTACTACAGTACTCCATCATGCCCTAATTAGGGATAAATGGACAGAGAGACAGACAGAGACAGACAGAGACAGATGGATGGATAAATGGTGGGATCAGTATGAAGTAAACAGGTCCAGGTCCAGTTCCAGGTCCAGTTCTGTCAGTCTGTACATACTATCTACTTAGACTACACCACACACTACACTACACAAAATATTCACCTCGAACCTCACTCCCACAAAACAATCAGAACGGTATAACAAACACGACGATCCCCAAACTCAAACCCAGATTCACCACCAGTCATCAATCAACCCGGCGCTGCAGGAGGAAAATCGCCCGCGCGCGATGGAAGTCAGATCGGCCGGACTGATGACTGATTGGAGCCCCCAGCCCTGGTTGTTTCTTTTCTTTTCTTTTTTTTTTTCTTTCTTTTTTTTTCTTTTTTTTTTTTCTTTTCTCCCGGTCGGGCATTTTCGTGGATTGCGGATCATCCATCCACATTGTCACCACCAACCATATCCATATCCTGCATCTTCGGGGGTTTATGTGCCAATCGGTCGAGGCTGTGCGGGATGCCTTGCTGTAGTCTGCTGGTAGGGTTGGTGTTGGCAGAGTGGCAGGGTAGCTATGGGTATGGATGGATGGATCTGTAAGTGAGTAGTATGTATCTACAAACTACTTACTGCAAGTGTGAGTCTGTGAGTGAGTGAGTGGGTTACTAGCAACCCAGCAATGGTTTCATTTCCCGCCCATTCCATCCCTCGATCCAGCCCTGTCTGTAATCTGTCTGTATGCGGGCGGTAGCAGCCCGGATTGCCACGACAGCAGGTCTTGTCGTGCATGCATCAGGAGATGGAGGGAAAGTGCTTCCCGGTTGGACCCCATACTAGTAAGTTAGTAGGTAGCATGCATTTGCATCTTACTTGTAAGTAAGTAGACAGTAGTAGTTTAGTAATATCCATCTATCAGAAAGAATTCCGAAAGGTGAACCCGAAAGTCTGAACACCGATCGACAGCGCCATCGCCTCGATCGGGCGTGCGGGGATACGCGACTGATTGGTGCAATATTCTGCGAGCTCAGATGCCGTTGAGTCTGCGAGAGAGAGAGAGAGAGAGAGAGAGAGACAATTCGTTCATGGGGTCTCAATTTCCAGCAACCATTCCCGACTGTGCAGGCACGAAAAAAACTCGAATAAAGAATGAAGTTCGGGCCCGAAAGAGAGACAAACCAGACCAAACCAGACCATACCACCCCAAACTTTCCCCAAGACCAAACCCCAAGACCCTCCCGGACAAACAATAATCAATGAAAAGGAAGGCTAAATGGGGGGAAGGAAGGCCCTAACGCTACGGAGTCGCCGGAGTGGATTCTGATAACCAAGTGGAGTCTGGAGCAGCCTCTCCACCATTGAACAACAGGCACTTTCAGGCTTTCAGCACTGGCGCTGACTGACCGAAGCGACCATTGTATTAATTCAAAAGGATCATCCACTTAACCAACGCAGCAGCACTAGCCTCTCTGTATGGTAAATCATGAGGGCACGGTAGGATCCTATCCTCCTCCCCTCCCCCCTTCCCTCAGACACTGCCACTGCTACTGCCCATCCTTCGCGTCCCCGCCGCCCAACGTGGCCACCCGCCTCCAAGGATTCAGGAATCGCCATCGCCCATCCCATTCCTGATCCATGATCCATCGGCTTATTATTATTATCCCTGGCGGCTCTGGTGAGTGGATGGTCACAGGGAGGGGGGGCGGATGATCTGTCGTGGCAGGTCGTCGGCTGCGACGGTGGAAGCCCTAATTCGACTGACCCTGTTCAATAATAAATAAAAAAAAAGCCCCAAACTTTTGTTCCTTCTGGACCAGCCAGGGCCAGGGGCAGACCGATGACTGGGGATTGATGACGTTTGTCTTCCCCCCTCCGGGGGGTCTTTTCACATCCGGTAAGTTGTAACATCATGCATGGACATGAGATGGTGCCACATCGATCCTGCTGGCTGGGAAATGCTAATAATCAAGGCACAGAGGCTGGCACACACTGACCTTCGATTCCGGTTTCTCGGGTCGGTGGTGCTGGTGCTGATGCTGTGGCATAGACCTCTCCAGTGGTGCTAGAGTCCTAGATGAACCATCATAGTCAACAGATTGGCCACTAGACCGCCACCAAGATAGTTAGCATGTAAGTACCTAGTCTATACCCCGAAATAACAATGCCACCGCCCCGTTGGCGTTGCCACCGACGCACGGCGGAAATGAGACCCCGGCGTGGACGACAACAATAACCCCCCCCCCCCCCCCCAATCCCCGGCGCAAATCCAAATCCACCCCGGCGTATGTAGCTAGTCTACTACCTAGAGTAGTATCTAGATAGTGCGTATGCCATCGAGACAAGGTTAGGTTATCCGTATCCCATAACTAGTTAACTATTCCCAACGGCCCCCAAGCCCAGTCGATCGATAAGCGAAGGATTTAGCACGAGAGGGGGTGACTAGTAGGTAGATACTTAAGTTGCATACCTTGTAACTAACCAACCCCTCTTGGTACTCTGCCCCGATACTATGGCACCGTGGCACAGGCTGGGCTGTTCCCAGTCCCATGTCATGGATACTCATGCATGTCCAGTGTCCAGTGTCCACGCGTAAGCAACCCGGCAGTAGTATCGTATCTACTAGTTCTCGGTACCTACTACATGGGCTGTAGCAGGCCCCTCCGAGTATGTATGTAGGTAGGTAGGTAGGTGGTTAGTACTCGGAGGTCAGGAGTTATTCGGCGATGACACCGTCGGAAGGAATACTACTTAACTACTCTACTCTGGTGGGTACGTACGGAGTACTCTGTCTTAGGTAGATAGGCAGGTAGGTAGGTCGATACGTGAGCGACTGGGCGAATGGACGACTAGGCGACACGGACCCTGAGCCAATGCAGGAAACCCGGTCGATCAAGGCGATAGAGAGCATGATTTCATGCAGCAGCCAGGGAGGTAGGTAGATAGGTAGGTAACTGGTACTTCGGTAGGGTAGGGCAGAAGTGACCGATAGTAACCGTTACTGTCGTCAGTCAATAATGATACTGTGAATCAGTCAATCAGGGCATACAGAAGCAGCAAAAAAAGTGACTTACTTACTTACTTACTTACTCCGGATCTGTCTTCTTCCCACACGGGCTGGGAACTGGGGACACATCCACCACCACCACCACCACCACCGTTTTTCTTTTTCTTTTCTAGGTATTTATTCTAATTTAATTGTATCTATATTTTCCATTTCTTATCCCCCAAGCTGCGGGGAATGTGATGAAGATCGACAAGATATCCCACACATGTAGATAAGTCCGTAAATCTGAAGAAGATAAGTAACTAGGTAAGTTATATTCTGCAGACCCAAAGCAGCGGTCAAAAGAGGCTGAAACCGCTCTTCTGCACTTGCGGGCACATCCATCCTATCCTCTATCCAGTAGAAGATAGACAGACAGACAGACAGACAGAAAGAGAAGAAGGCAACCTGACTAAGAGTGCGTCATCCCCGACAATACCAGGAATGCCGAATTTTGGGGGGGGGGGGGGTTATAGTAGACGATCCGCGCTGGTTGGTCGGTTCGTCTACGTAGATGATCGCCTCGATGGATTCTGCAGGTGAATGGAGCAGGCAAGATGGGGATTTGCATGGACGGCTGCAGTTTTTGTTTGTTAATTACTTTAGCTGCGTGCTTGCTTTCTTGGTTGGTTGGTGCGGGCTGTTTGGACCTTTTGAGTTTGCGGTCCGAGTCTCCAATCCCATCCCCCCCCCCCCCAATGGACTGGCTGGGCGCTTGGACATTTGCGTTCGTTGGTTGGTGGCCACACACACAGACATCTCGTCAGGTCAGATGATATGAGTCGAGTCGAGTCTTGTGATGTGTATCTACGGTATGTATGTCCTGTGTGTGCCGGATGCAGTGTAGATGCAGGATGCAGGATGGACGGGGACGGACGGGGGATTTGCTGCCTCGCGATGCATGATCATCGCATGGCGCTCAGATCAGGTACGTAAGTAGGTACTTAAGTAGAGTAGGTAGATACATTCACTGACTGTCTCTCTCCTGCGGCATGGTTACATAGGATGGTGGTAGAGTAGGACGGACCGACAGGCTGGGACTGGATTATTCCCCCCATTTGGATGTTGGATTCCCCGTAGATACTTACTTACTCTACAGTGAATACACAGTAAAAGTAAGAGTAACCGCTGCCCTCGAACGGCGTAGCGCTGACCCGGACGGGGCAGTTAATCAATCTCCATCCCCGTGCGTATCACAACTCGATAGTATAGTCTCATACTTGGGGAAAAGGAAAAGGAAGAGGAAAATAATCCCCTCGGTGGCAACCCGACCCGACCCGTCACGGTCTTGGTCAGTGTGTTCCTATGTATGTATGTATGTATATATGTAACTACTACTATAATAATATTATTATCCCTCCCTCCAGGGGCAGCAACCAGACCAGACCGATGGCACCGGTACACTAACGCAACACCAACAACACCAGAAAGTAAAAAAAAAAAAGAAAGAAAGGAAAAAAAAAAAAAAAAACACCCAAGAATCCAATCCTCCAATCCGTTATCCGCAAATCCCGTGTCGATCCTTTCGGCGGGACAATGGCTCGCGAGTTTGTTGTGTCAGCAAATGACATTGGCCAGGAAAGGTCCGGGCCCCCCCCACCCACCGGCGGGGATTTAACACGATTTAACCTCGGGCAGATGTCTTTTTCTGGAGAAGTTTCTGGGTCTTCTACGGGGCCGGGCTATTCCCGGCTGGGTAAGGGGCCCGGCTGCCATCACACCGGAGACGGGGAGATCTGGTGAGACGGTTTTCTGTCGTCTGTCTGTCTGTCTGGTCTGTCCTGTCAGTTGTTTGGCGGGTTGGGGATTTGGGGTAAATATTACCTATAGCGAGGGGTAAATATAGAACAAGGGTTGAAAGTCAGTTGGGGTTGGATGGAGGATATTGGAGACATATACTCCTCCCCCTTCTACTTAATAAATAATATCTACACTGTTAGGGAAACTATAGAATATTATTTATCAGTGAGGATTACGAATCCCCATCCCCCTCCCGACAGAGTTTTCCAGAAAAGTGTAAATCATCTACGCGAAGGATTCAGGATCACTCAGGATCCCTCCGACACATGGTACGGGGTCATATAACCATAACCATAACCATAACGGATTTAAGCAAGTCGATACAAACTAGATGCTAGATAGGGGGGGGGGGAGGGGAGGGATCGGACAAGAGCCCCAAAAAGGCGGGCTTGAGGAGCTATGGCCAGACACTTACCAAGTCTGCGACAAAAAAAAAAAAAAAAAAGAAGGGGGAAGGAATAATACTACGGAGTAGTTACTAAAAGAATGATCACTAATTAATTAATCATCCCTGATCCTGATCCTGATCCTCCGGATATCTATCTATCTATCTATCTATCTATCTAGCACGTGGAAGTGGGAATTGGGAAGTGTGTGCACATACACACAACCACATGTTGCGGAATGTCCTCTGCCTCGGTTACCTTCCTTCCCAGGTACGTAGATACGTATCTACTAGATACTTAAATAAATTAATTAATTAATCAATCCCTACCCCCCCCCCTTACTCCATAGCAATATAGACGTTTCTATTCTTATTTTCGCTCCCGAATGTTCTATCCGAATAGAAGCCCATCTCCGTGGATATAGATAGATAGATAGTTATTGGTGTCTTAGTGAGGTCGGAGAAATTTACTTAGGTTATTACTACCCAGGTGCAGGTGCGCGGGCGTCGGTGGAGTCACTGTACTGTACTTTACTATACTATACTATAGTCCGAGTTAGTTGTTGGTGGGACGCTGGGAACAAGGCAATGCCTGGTATTAATGATATACTCCAAACCCCGAATGGATTCATCTCAGGAATCAGGATAGGGTCATCCGGAACGGTCGGCCAAGTCCAACCCTAAGTGACTAACTAAGGTACTACCTGACCTAGTACCTACCACAAAGCTCCAACCACCAAAGACGGGCAAGTATATAACTCCCCAAGTAAGTACCAATTTATGGAACCGGCTAGTCAAAAACCGACGGTTTTAATTTCAGGCTCAGCCAGTCATCGCCCCTTCCCAGCGTCCCAGACAGGTTTTAGGTTTGATTGACGTGTCAATGCCTGCTTGTTAATGGGCGGCCCGAAATACTATCTGGGTTGTGGTTTGTGGTTACGAACCAACTTGAATGCATTGGTTTCCCGTGGCTAAATAGATGGTTGGTAGATAGGGAGGATCTGGACTGGCGGGATCGTGGATCCATGCAGCCGTTGGAACTTGGAAGTGTCCTATTTTTGAGATGTGGGCTAGTACCTCGTATCTGCTTGTCTGTCTTTGGGGTGCTCCGGAGATACTTACTTATGTGTGTTTGTGAGGTATAAGGTGTTTATCTGTGTTTGGATATGTCTTTCTATAGAAGGAGTTTTGTGTTTTTGTGTAGGGGGTTGTGTTTATTCGTTGTGTCGGGATGTACTCTATTGGAAAAGAGATGGGTTGGTGGTAGATTGCATTAGGGTATGTCAGGGTGGTTCTCAATATCCGGTTCGATATCGGATATATAGGAGGAAAGTAGGATGTACTATAAGTATTCGACATCTGCCAGAATGGATTTGGTTGTGGGATATCCTATTAGTATTATTATTATCGTCTTTCGTGGAATTTATCTGGCTACGTATGTGACAGAAACAAAGTGGTTTAACTCAAAAGCATGATGACAGGATTGAGCTTGTACACACGGATATATATAACCCACACACCCACTAATCATAGATATTCCCACTCCAAGAACAACATTTTCAGCCAGGAAGACAGCAATTCATGCCACATCCGTCTCTCAAAATATCTTAATTGACAATAAACAACATTTATGGAGCACATGGTCTGTTGTAGAGGAAGATTGGGTGACAGTATCATTGATTTGATCGCTCCGATAGTTACAGTGCAGTCGAGATATGACATATCTCTGTCTCCCCGGAAGTTGGTCTACGAGTTAAACTGCTGTTGACAGATAGAAGAAAGAGTTTACGGAGTAGTTAGTTACTTCTATGTAACTGGCTATTATGCACGAAAAGGTACATGGATACCATGGTACATTATGCCATGCCATGTCATGTCTGGTACTTTCTGCAGTAGGCATCTGGAGACGAAAGTTGAAAAGAAGGCTGCCAGGGTCGTAGGCACCATTGCCAGTAATGGACCACAAAGAAAGGGGAGGGGAGGGATGACTTCGCACAAGGATGGCATAGATCGAAGATGAGAGAGAGAGAGAGAGAGAGAGAGAGTAAATTGTATGATGGTGCTAGCAAGGGTGTGAAGTGAAGCGATATCAAACAGACAGACTACAGACTACCAGTAGTTTGTCCTGTCGGACAACCGTTGTCTCGACCACCGTTAGTCTGCTGCACGCCAGGAAGCCGACCTGGATTTGCCTCTACAGCCGACAGGCTACATTCTCCGTAGTAGACCCAGTATTTGGCTAGTGGGATGAAGGGATGCCAAAGAAGGCCGGGTGGCAAGACAAGCAAAGCAAACAATGGCAGATGGATGGCCTGAGGGTCTCGAACCCAGTCTACGGAGGACGATTGTCATTCCCAGACGGGAAACGCATCCAGTCTGTCCTGACCTTTCGTTCAGAGTAACCAAGTTAGAAGTCGAGTCCAGACTAGCATCGGTAGACACGGGGGGCACCTTCCTGGCGTCAGGAACGGAGATATCCACGGCGGCGCGGCCAGGATCGTCGAGTCGCTCGCTTCACGCGGCGAACGGCGAGCAGCGAGCGGCGAGCGCTCATCTTCATGTGATTGTGATTGGAATTGTGATTGAGCCAGGCCTCGAATCGAAGCTCGATCGAGTACGTATCCATACTCCATATACGGGAACTCCACCATCTAGCTTGAACTGGAACTGGAACTGGATATCTCCTCGGCATCATGGTCTAGTCCAGTCCAGTCCACAGTCCCGTTCCCATGTCGCTATCCATTTCCCCCGTGTATAGCAGCAACAGTAGTGAAAACAGCAATGATAGCAACGGCAAAAGCATGGATCATCGTCACCCAAACACCGAACTCCTCACCATCCACGGAGCACCCCCATGAACAGAGGCAAGACTCCCAGGCGCAGCTGATGAAGGGCGTCCCTAGTTCCTCGTGGCAGTCTCATCCATATTGACCTCCTAGAACCCCCCCATCCATGGCTGGCCTTATGGGCCACCCACGCGCCGACCCACCCCGCCAGGCCCAAGGCCGGAGATATCCAGTCCAAAGCAGGATGGAGTGGGGTCCGCCGGCTGCCACTAGCAGCCGTAGACCATTCACGTCGAACAACGGATGCCGAAGGATGGAACGGAGTGGGAAACACTCAGCATGGCAAGTGGCTCTGGCTCCGCGGAGGCGGTGGTGATCTCCAGGCCAGGGCCAGTTGGCCGCCGACCGAGGCCATCCGACAGGATTTCAGATGCGCGATGGGGGGGGGGGGATGGGATCATTGGGATTGTGGACTCCACCACGCACACGATAAGTGGGGATCGTGTGTCCAATCTCCGGGAGTACGGCGACGTGGTAGCTGAGCCGATAGTGCGGTGGAAGTACCGAGGTTCTGCCTGAAGTCTCAGTAGTAGTGGTGGTGGGAGTGGAAACGAGTACGGAAGAGAGAGAGAGAGAGAGAGAGTTTCTAGTGATGGCACCGTTCCTAACAGATGTGACACTGACTTTGACACTGACACTGACACTGACAGGTAGGTGGCTGAGGCAAAAACCCGGACTGGCACGAGGATGCGAGTCATGCACGCCCAAACACGCAGACATACGCAGCTCCTGTCACCCATGCCTTTGTGCAACCAGACTGCGTGTCTCTCTCGCCCAGTCCCAGATGCATCGCTTCCTTTTGGGATCGACCGCCGAAAGGGTTGGCTCCATGGGCAGGATTGGTCCGAGATCCTTGGGACTGGGTTTGGCTCTGACATCGGCTAGCCATGAGGCATGACATGACTCGGGCCAGCCTGGGTCGGCTGCCCACCTGGTGGCCTTATACTAGGCAGATATATTAATTTAATCATTTAATCTATCTATGGGGAACCAACCGATCGAGGGACCCATTCTGGCATCCACATGTTTCCGAACGGTGTGCTGGTGGTAGCCTCGCAAAGCAGAATCCCTCCGATGAGGATCATCGGGGAAAGGCGTCCAGTCCAGCTGGAGTGGAGGATTTCTTTTTTTTTTTTTTTTTTTTTTTTTTTGATTGAAGAAGCAACGCGCATCAAGTGATCGGGATTTAGCAGCGGATTGCAAGTTGCAAGAATGTACTGGACCAAGTGGCCACTACTAAGTCAGGCATGTGTAAACGAGGCCGATTTGGGGATGGCTCCCGGCAGATGAGTAAGACGATGAGGTTCTCAGAGAGCGTTTAAAACCAACCACATTGATGGCAGATCCCAGGAAAATATCTCCTGGGCCCTAGCACCTTCCCAGAAAGTAGGTAAGAAAATAGAACCCAGCAATCCAAATTATTCATCCCTGAAATCCCGCATTCCTGCATTCGGTATCCAGTTTGCTGCATTCTGCATTGTTGACCGTATTGGGGTGGTAATGTTACCCCCGGCGCTACGTAATGGGGAGGGCGACCGGGACACAGCGTGACGCTTGCCCAAATAGTGCATCGGCTTTGGTGCCAAACTCGGGAAGGGCCGACCGCAGCTGCAGGCGGAGCCGACGTCTGCCACGTGAAATGAAGTGACCAGGGTCCAGAACTTCGCCAGCCCGCTACCACCGCTAGGACCGTCTCTAGCGGCGCCCGCTCCAGCAGTTCTCTCCCCTTCGTTGTCGGCATCTTTGCTCAGGGGCCGCCCACGCTAGCCAGTAAAACCCCCAGTCAGCCACAGCTTGCGTCGCGAAGCCTAAAGGCTCAAACATCACCCGCGCCTTTACACAGCCGACCACCCACCACCACCACCACCACCATCACCATCACCCTGACCACCCTGACCACTCTGACCACCCTGCAGCTCCCCAATCCTAAGCTTCCCCCCCCTCCCCAAAAATGCCGCTAACCTCGACTCCGGCCATGTCGGATCTCGACGCCCCCGACGGAGTATCATGGCCACCACTCCTGTACGCCGGACAGTAACAGTACCTTCAGTCCTCCGTAGTAATTAATCTCTGTAATAACGGTATTGACCCCTGGCTGCCTGGCTGCCTGGTTGCCATTGCTTGGCCGCTTGGCTGCGACTTGTGTTCGTTCCCCACGAACCCACCGCGCCCCTAGTCTAGTTCCCTGATGACGATCTGCGCTCGACGCCTTGACTAACCAACGTGGCGTTCGGGGAAGATGCTGGATCTAGGCAAGTTAATCCCCATCCATTGTGCCGGTTGCTTGAGACTGAGGTAGGCGCTTGCCCTCTGCCGGCCACACCTCCAATCACAGGCGCGACGCCTCGATCCTGACGGCTGTCACGGCCGTCAAGTGCCGGGCTCTAGATTTCGCTTGTTTGGAGCAAGCAATTTAGCAAGCCACTACTTGGAAACCTAGCAGCTTAGCAGCTTAGCAAGCAGCAAACCGGGGCTTTTGGAGGCTTGGGCTTGGATATGGAGCCTTTGGAGCAAGGAGGTGCCACCCAGACGACCAAGTTAGCCCCAGTCGGGGCGGGTCAGGGCCATCGCGTATGGGCTGATTTCCAGGATATGACGCTTGTCCTGCATGATGGCGTCCATGCGTCAGTGTCCAGTCTGCACTCTGCAGATGATAGAGATCGGTTAACCGTGTGGACGTCGGGTCTTTGTGTAACCCTGACCGGTGGGAATAAAAATAATTGGGAATTCAAATTGGAATAAGAAATAAGAATACGAGAGGCGAGGTACGGAGGTAGGTATCTAGGTACCTCTCTCCAGTCTCCACGGTCGCATGGAGCCGCCAAAAGCAAAGACCACCACTGCTGCAAGAAATGGTACTCCGTAGTAGTCCGTAGAGACTCGGAGGTCACACAAACCGTCGGAGAACGCCGTACTTTGGGCCTCAGGCACACAGTAGTACGGAGTACTACCTTACCTATAGTACCTAGGTACATAGTACCTAGTTACTACCTGTAGGTACCACTAGTACGGAGTACTCCCACGACTTTGTACGCCGTACGGTGTGACCGTGACCACTTACCCTGTATACTGGCTCGATGCTTTGAAGCCCGGCATCAGTTTCCTCCTGCTGCTCTTAGTTTGATCGGCAACCGTCACATCTTGCTTAAGTACAGTTTACACTTACCGCCCGCCTATCTATCCATCCTTCGGCAAAGAACAAAGAAGCCAGACAGACGGTGGCCGGGACGGCGACAAATGAAACAAACGAGTGGGTGGCTAGCGGTGGTTAGCAAGGTTTGGCTAGTGGCTGGGCGGGTTGTGCCGCGGGGCCTTGTTTGCTTGGGCCCGAGTCTTTGAGACTTTTGAGGTCTGACCGTCAGAGTCCGACCTCGGTATGCGAGGCGCTCACTGGTTGCGTCGGGCGGGGGATCCGACACGACTCATCATCCATCAGTCGCTCCCGTCTCGAGGGTCGACACTCGACAGGGTGATCTCATCCCATAATTCAGAAATAGCAACCGCTACCCTGTCTGAATCCAATAGTCCCACGACCACTGACTTTCGTCCACTCCCGTTCCGCGCGCGCTTGCTCATCATTCCATCATGGAGTTTCTATTCTTAATATTGTCAGGGGACAACAAGGGGGGAGGCCCCGATTTATTGATACCCGCCGCTAAGCGACTTGCAGTAGTATTCCCGAGGACTATTGGGGCGGTCCAAGCTGGAGCGTTGGAGAGCGTTGGATGATCGGCGCGCACATCATTGTCAATCTTTATCAACTTATCAAGTTTATCTCGGAATCTGCCCGTCGCCCGACCGTCGTCCAGCCGGACGCCGTCCATGCCGAACAGCTCCGCTGCACTGCTTACTCATACTAGTTATCCCCATCCGGCATTATTCCTTATGAACGCCAGGGGGGGGGGCCGAGAAACAGGAACAAAGAAGACATATCACGTCACAGTTACACCGCGGAGGCATATTTGAATGATTCGATTCGAGTGATTCGAGTGATCTGACGCTGCATACATGCATGGACCACCGTCCGCCCGCCCAGGCATGCGTTTACCCAGTGCGTTCAACACAAAGGACCTTTCGCATCCTGTGTATCACCGGATCGTGGAAAGGCCCCCGAAGAAGAAAACGAGATGCGATTCATTCGGTAACCCAAGTCATGGCAAGGCATTGAGTTGCGTTGCGTTGCGTTGCGTTGCGTCGCGTCGCGCGCGACTAAAGATTGCGACCACAGTTCCGCTTCCCTCCCTTCGTAGTAGGTACTCCGTAGTTACTCATGGCAGATGATGTACGGTGGGTGGGTGGGACAACGTCAACCTTAACCCCTTTCCTCGCCTCATTGATGCCCGGGAATAGTAGGCATGTCAGGATGGCGATGCGGCGGAACATGGGTTCGTCTTCCTTCGTTGAGATCACCCGATTCAGGCAGGCCGACCAGTTCGCCCTTCGCCCACCCCATGCCATCCCGTCCAAGGGCAAGATATACAAAGTAATCGACCGACCCTTTAAGCTCGGCGATTTTCCCGTCCACGCGCTTAGGCGAAGGCTATCCTCCCCCCCCTCCCGGTAGATAGATGAGGCAGCACCAGCACACTCCATCGATCTCATATGATCATCAGCATCGCCCAGCGCTTAGGGCTAGTTGCTGTCGTATGCGACCCCATAATATGGAGTCCATGCTTTTGGGCCATCCCATCCCATCCCATACATCCATCCCATACATCCATCCCATCCATCCATCCCATCCATCCAGTCCCAAATCCAATGATCCATTCCATCATTATTCATCGATGACTAGATACACAGTCCCTACTGACTACCTACTATAGATAGTACGGACTACGGAGTAGATAGATACTACCGATTTCATCTGATGCGATCACAACCCATCCACCCACACCCCTCAAGGCTCAAACACGTGTACAGCGCCCACTTTTCTTCCCGTTCGGGTCTGTTCTGGAACCTCCTCTGACCCAGTATAGTTGCCCAGTGACCCAGTGAACCAGTGAACCAGTGAACCAGTGACCCAGTCGTGACCCAGTCGTGACCCAGTAGTGACCCAGTCGTGACCCAGTCGTGACCCAGTCAGTACTAAGATAGATAGTGACCCAGAAACCCAGGGGGTGAGTGAGGGGTGAGGGGTCGTGAGGGGAGAGAGGGGTGGGTGCTGGGTAGAAGAATCAGAAAAAGCCCTAGCTACGGAGTAGTGTCGACGCTCATCCGCACTTCCGAGGGGGGGAAGAGAGGGGATGGGGAGAAGGGGGGGGGGGGGAAATGATCGTCCTGTCTCGCGGTACTTCCGAGGGAGTGGATCAGGGCATCAAGGGCTCCCCCCATCTGACCAACCACATCCCACAAACCGAGTTTGGGTCCCGAGAATCAGAAGCTTGGGTTTTTCTCGTTCCCTGGGTTTGTGTTGCGTCGTGTGGGCGCCGCCGCGTCGGTTCGGTCTTACTCGCTCGCTTTCTTTTCTTTCCCTTTTCCTTCCCCACAACAGTAACAGTAACAGTAACAGTCATAGTAACAGGAATGTTGTCGGCATCTCCCACTTTTTTTTTTTTTTTTTTTTTTTTTTTTTTGTGGGCGCCCGCGCCCGGTTGTTCGCGTTTCCTGGCGAAATAGGATAAGGATATTATATTTCCGATTCCGTGTTTCAGATTGGGGATTTCCGTTCGCTTGGATGAAACTTAATCTGAATCTGAATCTGTGACTTGCCCGTTGAGGAGGGGACTGAGGGTCTTGGTCTTGTAGTTTGGAGTTGGAGTTGGAAATGGGACTTGGGACTTGGAACTTGGAACTGGGAGGGGTTTGATGGCGGGGAGGAGAGAGGTGTGTTGTCTTGTGTCTTGTCTCAAACATCTCGTAATTATTGATTGCTGCTACCGGTTTGCGTGCTGCGGATCAGAAACATCACCCACCCGCCCCGGACCCGAATGGACAAATACGCAAATATGCATGACGAAGGAGACACCTACCACCTACTCCGTACGTCCTACTACCATGGAGCTCCGGAACTCCATAGAAGGAGGCAGGCAGGCAGGCAGGCAGGCAGGCAGGCAGGGAGGGAGGGATGGAAAATTCTCGGAACCGGCATTCCATTTCCACAACTACGGTAGAAACTATAGTAGG